CTAAACGCTTAAATAATATTTACGATATTATATTAGCTACGAATAAAACAATTAAGTTAAATAGCTACTAATAGCGTAACTAGCTTATAATAGCTTAGTTATAGAAATAACTAAGCTCTTACTAGTATACGCTAATTATAGATATAACCTAGAAGTATTTAAGGTTATTTAATAAGGACTATAAGTAAAACGAGCGATACTATAAGTAGATTAGCTATACAAATTATATAAAAAAATATAATAAGAACTTTAATTTATTAAAGAACGAATATCTACTTACTATAATCGGAAAAGATTATAAGGACTAATCTTTTAAGAGGGAGATATAGTCTACCTTATATAATAAAATATTAAAATAAAACAACTAAGTAATAAATTAGATTTTGAGAAACTTAGACTATTTAAGGTTAAGAAAACTATTTTAAAAGTTAACTATAAACTTTTACTATTAATAATAATATAGATATACCTAATATTTTATATCTTATTATTAGAACTAGCGCTATAAAACGCTATACTATAGGGAAAAATTAAAGTCGATAATAATTAAGAATATAAAGTAAAATAAATACTAGATATAAGAAAATAAGGTTAGTAATAAGAGTACCTTATTAAGTAGAAGGGATATAGACTAAAAGAAAATACTTAAGAACTACTTAAGTACTTAACCTACTATAGCTCTTTACTTTAATAATTCTATTAAAAGGTTTAAGAGGGATTAAAGGACTAAGATCTATAAACTCCTTACTAATACTAAATAAAGACTAATTCGCCTTATTAAGAACGCCTAATAATTATAAGTTATTTACTACTTAATACTTATACGTATTAAGCGTAGGTAAAACGCTATCCTTAGTATTTACTTCTTAGATACTACGATAAAATAACTTAGAACTCTTTTCCTTTATATAATTCCGAATCTTTTAGATATAAGCTAAACGATTAACGGCGATAGATATTAACGACTAAAGGTTCGTAAGCTATACTTAAAGCTCTAATAAGGCTTCCTTAGCTTCCTCTTCTTTAAAATATAGCCTACGCTACTCTACTAATAATTTAGTTACTAAAAGAAATATATTAGCTACTACGTATAGAAAGAATTAAAAGATACTTATAAAAAGAGGCTATTAAAATACTATTATAATAAGGATAACTACTAGCAATATAATTATTATAGCGCGAAGAATTTTCAGCTATTTAATAATTTATCTTCTTTACCTTAAAGTATTAAGTATATAGTATATTAATAGGATCTTTACTTAAATCAATATATTTAGTAAGAGTAGCGCGCTTAAAGGCTTTTTAGGAACGATTTTTTAGTATACGACTAGATATACTATTAGTAGTATATCCTAAAAAGATAAAGAAATAAGGAACGATATACTTACGTATAACGTAATAAGGATATATTTATATATAGCGGCTAAGGCAGCTATAGTAGGTCTTATAAATAAGACTAAAAGGAGGGGAGATATCGTATTACGACTATAGCTACTAGGCCGCTAACGGTCGACCGCGTTAAGTATATAATATAGTCTAATAGATAAATAGTTAGTATAACTATTTAATAGATATAGGATCGAGGGGACGTAGAGATCTAAGTAATCTAGGATTAACGAGATTACTACGCTCTATATAATCTAACGTTAGGGATTATAGCTAGGCCTATAATCTAAGGATAGTCTTTATAGGTATATATAGCTACCTACTTTTACTCCTTTAGATAAATAGCTCTCTAGCTTTTAATATAGATCTTTATTACGATTCTATCTTTAATTTTAATTACTTAGTTATAGTTATAGTCTATAGTCTATAACCTCTAACTTATTACTAACGTAATATACTTATTATTACTTAGACCACGCCCTATTATATCTATTAATATAAACCCCTTAATAGGTTTATCTCTTAAGAATAATACTAGTCGTTATACTCCTTTATTCCTAAGTAACTATACCTTATATTAAAGGGTAATAATCTTATATATTATATCCTAAAGCGATATAGTAGCTTTAAAGTTAGTTAATCTAGTTTATTATATAAGTATATTAATAGTTATAATATTACTTAGAGTAACGTAGTATTATACTAAATAAGAGCTTTTAATATATAACGACCGGTATTATTCTTAAGGGATAAACCTATTAAGGGGTTTATATTAATAGATATAATAGGGCGTAGTCTAAGTAATAATATATATATTACGTTAGTAATAAGTTAGAGGTTATAGACTATAGACTATAACTAAGTAATTAAAATTAAAGATAGAATCGTAATAAAGATCTATAATATATAAAAGCTATTAAGCTATTTATTTAAAGGAGTAAAAGTAAGTAGCTATATATACCTATAAAGACTATCCTTAGATTATAGGCCTAGCTATAATCCCTAACGTTAAATCGTATAGAGCGTAGTAATCTCGTTAATCCTAGATTACTTAGATCTTTACGATCCCCTCGATCCTATATCTATTAGATAGTCGTGCCGACTATTTATCCGTTAGACCGTATTACGTGCTTAACGCGGTCGACCGTTAGCGGCCTAGTAGCTATAGTCGTAATACCTATAAAGCTCTATTTAACTAAGGATACTACTTTAAGGTATAAAAGGAAGCTATAGGAATTATACTTCCTAAGTAAAATAAGCTAGACTATACTATCCCTAAGGCCTATAGGGTTATAAGTCTACTTAACTACTTAGGAAAGGTCCTTAAAAAGCTATACGCTACCTGTTACGGCCAGGCACATACGAGCCTTGACGGCTATAAAGATGTATTGGCACTATGAACGAAGACTCAAAGCTAAGGAGCAAGAAAGGAAGACTAGACTACACGACCGAGCGGGCCCTTATATAGACACGAGGTCGCGCGTGGGCACGTGATGCTGCTTGGGCACGTGACACTGGTGAGGTTCTGCGCTGGCGGCTCTACGCTGGCGCCCAGGGTCGTGACACTACCCCGTCTAAGGCCTTGATATGCGTATCAAGGTAGTCAGTCGTGGCGGCGGGTTCTTGGTTTCACGGCTTTCTCTGCTGTGTCGTCATCGTCTCGTTCCTCGCAGCCCTCCTTCGCTGCAGCACATTCGATCCAGTATTGCAGGTTGACGGGTGGGCCTGCTGCGTCCGGATGTTCATCGTGGAAAATCTTCAATGCCATTGGTGCGTTACGGAAATTCCTAGCCGGGTACCAGGTCTCATCAGGGTCACATCCCTTCCATAAGACCTGGTATTCCAGTCGTCGACTCCTACCGGTTACTCGAGACTGCTGGACTTGATCAACCTCCACTCCAGGTTCACCGTTGATCTCCTCGGGTGGCGGAGGTGACTGGATCTGCTGGGGCAAGGGTTATCGGCTGCTTTTCGAAGACGGTCGGCGTGGAATAGGTTCTTCATTTTGTACGACTCGGGCAGCTGCAGTGCGTAGCTATGACCGCGTTCTTCCAGGATTACGAACGGACCTGACCATTGGTTATCTAGCCGAGTAGTCGGAGCGTTCGTGGCGAAGCCTTTCCTGCTGAGAAAAACTCGGTCACCGATGGCAAAGTCGGTTGGTCGTCGTTTCCTATTAGCCTGTTCCTTCTGACGTTCTTGAGCGGCGGTGGCAGCATTCCTGGCGTCTTCCTGGGTTTCCTGGGCGGTCTGCACAAGTTCCTAGCTCTGGCGGCGGGTCCGGTGGCAGCGGTCTTGTCAGTCGGGGCAGTGACAGGGGTTCCGGATATCTCGGCCTAGGGCTACTTTTAACGGTGCCATGTCGATGGAAGAGTGCCAAGACGAGTTATGGGCGAAGTCGAGGGCGGGCAGCAGGAACTCCAGTTGTCTTGATGCTTCGTCACGTAGAATCGTAGCTTTTGATCCAGGTATTGATTTGTGACTTCTACACCCCTTGGGTCTGAGGGTGTAGGAGCTTCCATGACGATGCTTCGTTCCCGTGAGCCGGTTAATCTCTGCGAGGAAGGCGAAATAAACTGTCCAGCGTTGTCAGAAATCCATACGAGGGCATACCGAAGAAACGATAGAGGTAGCGGAAGTAGCGGCTAGCTAAGACTTCTGCTGTATCGTTTTCTTTCCTGGGAGCGTGGCGATAATCCGGCTTAGCTTGCAGACGAAGGTCCAAACATAGTCATATCCGTAACGGTCTTTCGGCATATCCTTCCCGTCACATTCGACGTGCTCCCAAACAGAAGTCGGCACGGGCAGTGGATGGAGCAGTCCAGGGTCTTGTCTCGAGGGTTTTGTTGCGGCGGCAGTCGTGGCAGTTCCGAATATAACGACGGATATCCTCCTTCATCCTTGGCCAGTAGAAGTCTCGTTGGAGCAGCTTGATCACCTTGTTCTGTCCGGCGTGAGCGAAGATCTGGGGCTCGTGGGCTTCGCGAATGAGCGCGGTCTGAAGAAACGTCTGCTTGTCTGAGGTCTGGGCTGGTACGATCAGGTGTGTTCCATGGGTGCCGAGGTCTTGGAGGAGGTTCTCTTGGCGGATCAACGAAACGAGTTCGGCTCCTTCGGGACCGAGTTCGGGTCTAGTTCTGGGCGGTCTTGATCGGGCGTCTGCTGTATCCCTCGGTCTTCTGGGGTCTGTAGGGCACTCGTGGCCCTCAGAACTAATGGTCTAGTAGGCTTAGGTTCGGGACTAAAGTTCTGAGGGCAGGTTGCCGGCGGCCGTAGGGTCTAGAGAGTCGGTCGCGAAGCCTAGCCTTTCCGGAGGATCAGGGTCACCGTGCGTTCCTCGGCCCGGGCCTTTACGGTAGGGAGCTCCGCTGTCTTCCTGGAGAGGGCATCGGCGACTACGTTCAGTCGACCGGGGCGGTAGAGAAACGGATGTCGAACTGGGCGAGAAAGTCGGACCATCTGATCTAGGCGCTTCGTAGAGAAATGGACTAAGGCTTCGTGATCGGTGATCACATCGAACTTCTGGCCTAAGAGCTCTGGGTAGAAGTGCTCTAGACTCTGTACGACGGCGAGGAGCTCTCGATCTTGGATTGGGTAGGCTCGCTCGGCCGGGGTCATGGTCTTAGAGAAGAATCAACGGGCTTCCAGGTCTGATCAGGCTGTTCCTGCCATAGAACACCAGCTGTGGCATTCCGGGAGGCATCGGTCTCCAGTCGGGTCGGCAGTTCTGGTCTAAAGAAGGCGAGGACCGGGGCTTCGATAGCCAGGCGCTTGAGTTGATCAAATGCTTCGCGTTGCTCCGGGCCCATCACAAAGGCAACATCCTTCTTAAGCAACCGGTTCAAGGGTTCTGCCACTCCGGAGGCGTGGTAGCAGAAAACACGGATGAAGTTGCATAGGCCAACGAATGATCGGATCGCGGTGCGGTCTCGGAGGTCTTCAAACTTCCAGTCTTGTATCGATCGAACTTTCCGAGGGTCGACACTAAGGCCCACACCGGCTTCAAGCAGAACGCCGAGGTAGTCAACCTTGGTCACGTTAAATCTAGACTTCTTGATGTCTCCCTGGAGGTTGGCCTGATGGAGTCGCCAGATCACTTCTTGACAGTCTTTCCAGTGGTCTTCTTCTTTATCCGAGTAGATCAGGACGTCATCTGCGTAGGCGCTGGCGCACCGGTCGAGGAGATCGTGAAGCTGCGCGTTGATAAACTGCTGGAACCAGGCGGGACCTACCTTCAGACCGAACGGGAGGACTTTCCAGCGGAAAGTTCCGAAACGGGTGCGAAAGGCGGTCAAATACTCGAGTCAGGGTCCATGCGGAGACGGTGGAAGGCCTGGATCACATCGATCTTCGTAAAGCGTTGAGCTTCACGGCAACCGAAAGCAGTACCTTCGAGGACGGAGCGGGCGTGATGCGACTTTTAAGATGATCGTTCATCCAACGGTAGTCGATGCAGAAGCGGCGGGCGGTCGTGTTCGGTTTCGGAGCGAAGAGGACGGATGCGGCGTGCGGACTCGGATCGGGCTCGATGAAGTCTATCTCCGGAGGTGATCGACAGTCTCTTTCTCTAGAGGCAGATACTTAACGGGCGTGCGGTACGATGGGGTCCTGTCGGCGAAAGAGGCTTCTCAAGCTCTAGGACTACATCGTGACCGGGTCGGCTCGAAGGTAGGGTGTGGGCCTCTTTCTTCGAGAAGAATCCCTCTAGATGGGTGAGCTGGGGCGGTAGACGACTACGGACACAAGCAACATGCTCAGGGTCTTCTCCTGAGGAACGGAATGCTTTGTCCCTGGTAGGTCTTCTGATCCGGGGAGACTTTAGCAATGGTTCGAGCACTAGGGACGGTCTGGTCAAGGCCGGAGCTTGGCTCGAGCTGGACTGGATCCCGGGGCATCAACGGTTCGAGTTCGTTCCACTGTTCGAATCTCTCGTGAGACTCTACTTGGCAGACCAGAGCGTTAATCAGGGCTTGATCTTCGGAGGCTTGGACCGAGGCGACGGAGACGAAGTCGGTAGCAGGGGCGGTCGTGAGCTGAAAACGGACAGACTTCTTGGCAGACGGAGACTTGGACTGAAACGACGGAGACGGAGTCGGTAACGGGTCAGGACAGAGGCCGGAGGAGCTTGATCAGAGCGGCGCCAGTTCTTGTGGAGGATCCGGTAGCGTTTCTCCTCTTTCTCGAGCAGGCGGTTCCGCCTCTCAGCGTCGGCCTGGATCTTAGGGTCGATCCGACCCGAGCGGGGCTTGACGAGAGCTGGATCGTCGGGAGAACTTGGCGAGGCAGGAAGATCATCTGGCCAGATGATCTGTCGGGCGGCGCAGTCAAGCAGGAGGCGCTTCTCCCGCATCCAGAAAAGACCGATAAAGATATCATGGCCACACTCAGCTATATCAAATGTCTCGTTTGCGAACGAACGGCCATCGATGACGAAAGTGGCGACCAGCTGTTTCTGGATATAGCCGGCTGGCTTTCCACGGAAGTCTTGGAGGAATCCGACTCGGAGCTCCTTAATCTGGGCTCCGAGTCTTTGGGCGGCGGACTGGGCGAAGGTTGGGCTAACCAGCAAACGGGTTTCGGCTCCGGTATCACAGAGGGAGCGGGCAGGTAGGCTCACACCATCCACTTGGACTTGACTTGGCTGAGTGAATGACTTGCTAGACCTACTCGCTATCTGTGACACCTTAGGGACCATCAAGGAGACTTGTGATGGTCCTATTCGTTTCGAATCTTGATCAGAGTCGTTGGCAGGGACAGGGACGAAGGCGACACGGGAGACAGCATGGGTGCGGTCGGGACACTCGCGAGAGAGGTGCCCTGTTTTTCCACAAATAAAGCAGGTGCCATTATCCCAATGGGCCCTTTTCTCATCGTCGGTCAAGGCTCTGCCAGCATCACGCGAGGTGATAGGGGTCGAGCCGGTCTTGTTCGGAGTCTTGGCGGTAGTCGGAGCAGTCTTAGTCGGCGCGCGGCGAGATCGGTCGGAAGAGCGGGAGTCCTGTGTCTGCCTCATACTCCTCTTCTGGCAGTGGACAGCGTCCTTAATGAACCCACAGAAAACCTCGTAGGTCACGGACTCGTCACGGGTCTTGGTCAAGAGGCTGTTATCTAGGTTGGCCGGGATGTGCTGCCACAAGGTATGCTTCATCTGGTCCTCGGCACACGACCGGTCGCAGTTAAGTAGTCAAATTCCGCAAGAAAGTCCACAATGTCGGTCTTCCCATTCACGGTAAACTGGAGGCGTTGCAGGCGGTCAAGAGCCTCGGAAAGCTCATTCGGATTGCCATAGGCGGACTCAAGGGCTTGGATCATCTCTGCCACTCCAGAGAAGGGTCGAGTGTCAGAGGAGAAGCGGGTTTCAAGTGCTCGGCGGGCTTTTCCCTCGAGCAGGTTATACAGACAGACCATCCGGCTGTTCTCAGTCCGGAAGGTTCGTACGTCTTCGTCAAATTTGTTCTTTATGCTCAGGATGAAGGAATGGAACTCGTCCTTCTTCCTGAGAACGTCGCGAGACCTTGATGCGCGATTTGGCGGCGTCGCTGTACTCGGGGTTCTTGCCCTCTGGGAAGGGGCAAAAACAGGCCAGGCAGCTTTGCCTGTTGGTCGGAAGGCCGGGCCATTTGGGCCGGCAAAAGCAGTCGAGGGCTCCCGGTGCTGTCGATTTGATTCAACAGACGGAGAGCGTTCATTTAGACGGGCCGTTAAGGCCGCAATCTGTCCCCTCATCTCGCGGATGAGAGCGTCTTGGGGCTCAGGGCAGCCATGGCTGCTATTTCGGATTCAGTGGCTTGGCCAGCAAGCCGGGCAGAACGGCGAGGCTGATCAGAGGGCAGGGCTTCCTCGGATATCATAGTCTCGAGGTCAGAGTCTAGGGTCGGAAATGATACCACGCGGAATCACGGTCAGATGCCTGCACGAGCAGGGACGGTCGGAGGTCAGACGGGACGAATCCCTTGGTCGGAACGGTTGGTCGGACGACTACACACGCGTAGTCTTGGTCGGAACGGACGTGATCTCAGCCTTGAGGATCACTTGGTCGGTGGTCAGTCTTGGTCGGAACGGTCAGAACGGATGCGCTGGATTTACGTCAGGCGCGTGTGACGTGAAAGCTCGGTGCCTATTTGCTTAATCGCTGGCAAGCGATCTTATTGAGCTTTGAGTAGTGTTACGGCCAGGCACATACGAGCCTTGACGGCTATAAAGATGTATTGGCACTATGAACGAAGACTCAAAGCTAAGGAGCAAGAAAGGAAGACTAGACTACACGACCGAGCGGGCCCTTATATAGACACGAGGTCGCGCGTGGGCACGTGATGCTGCTTGGGCACGTGACACTGGTGAGGTTCTGCGCTGGCGGCTCTACGCTGGCGCCCAGGGTCGTGACACTACCTAGCTAAGCTATTTAGCTAATATGGCCGGGCTTCTAAGCCCTATATAGCTAGGGGGACGAAAATAGCGGTTAGCTATAGATATAGCCTTCCTCCTTCTATATTATATCTAAAAGAAGCGGGAGTTTAATAAGAAGACTATTACTAGTACCCTCTTATTAAATATAAAGGGCGCCTTTAATTTCGTATTAAAGGAATAGCTTATAAGGGTCTTAAGGGAATTAAACCTCCCTAAGGCCCTTATAAGCTAGGTAGACTACTTCCTTACTAAAAGGAAGATCTAGCTAGCCTTCGAGGGGTAAGTCTAGCCCCTTATAGACCTAGTAATAAGAGTACCTTAAGGGTCCCTTATTAGCCCTATTTTATTCCTCTTATACGTAAGGGGGATACTAGCGGCTAAGGGATACTAGCTATCTTATATAGATAACTTTAGTATTTCTATAATATTAACCTCGGCTAAGAAGAACGTTTAGTAGCTAGAAGTAATAGCTATTAACCTATTCGAATAAGCTAAAGACTAAGGGGTCTACTTCGACCTATTAAAGATAGAACTTATTTACTTTAGTAGGTAATAGCAGCCTATTTTAAAGGGTATAATAGTAAGAGGCTTATTTTTTAAGGTAAAGCCCTTAGTATAGTAGCTAGGGGTCTTCTTTAATTCTAAGCTCTTATTTAAATAATATATTAAGAAGAAGGTAGTCTCTATATAAGCTACCTTTAAAGGACTATCCCGCCTAACCTCTACGTAAAAAGGCTTATTATTTAGAGCCTTTAAATAGCTCTACTAAGCTTACGTAACCTCTATAATAGACTATAGGGCCTAACTCTAGTATAGGGGGCCTAAGACCCTTAAGAGCCTTATAAAGCCTTTCTAAAGGCTATAAAACTAAGCTCTTTTAAAGGTCTTAAGAGCCTTTAAAGGATCCCCGATTAAGGGTTTAGAAGCTAAAGCGGCCCTACCGCTACTAAAAGTACGATTTAAAAGGGTATACCTTTCTTATACCTTTTAGACCCTATACTTCTTACCTAGTTACCCTATAAGGTAAGCTTACGACCTAGCTATATAAGATAACCTCGCTAACTTAAGCTCTAACCTAAGGGCCTTAAGCTATATTAGGCTATATATATAGCTCTTCCGCCTCCTTAAAGGCCTAGTAGCTATTATAGGACTTAATTATAACTTAGAAAGAAGGAAAGCTAGCTAGGAGTCCTTATAAGCCCTAGAGCCTAAGGCCTTTATTATAGTAATAAAAGCCCTTAAGCCCTTAGCTAAGAAGTAATACTAACGCCTCTTAGCTAGCCTAGCTAGCTTAAAAGACTTTAGGTTATAGCCCTTAGCCTTTTATACTAATAGCTTTAAGGGGTGCCTTAAGGGGTCCCTTATAAAGACTAACGCTTACTCCTTTTATAAAATAGGCCTAGAAAATAGGCCTATTAAAGCGTACTATAAGAACCTAGGGCCCTTAATCGAAGTAGCTAATATAGAGCTATTCGCGATACTAAGGGTCCTAGAAGACCTAGCTAAGAGGCCTCGGCCCTTAAAGCTTAGCCCTCTTAACCCCCTTATAGATACCTATATCTTTATAAATAGCTAAGCCGCTATAAAGAAGGTTATAGGTTTCTTAGACTAAGCTATATATATTAAAAGGCTCCTATCTAGCTTAGAAGCCTTTTATAACGTATAGCTATACTAGTACCCTAGCTACCTAGGGATCTTTAGTAATAAGCTAGCCGACTAGCTAGCTAAAAGAAGCTTAAGGGCCCTTACCTAAGGGACCCCCTTAGTCTCTATTAGCTACTTATAAAGAAAGGTCTAGTAAGCTACTAAGGACTATTAAAAGGGACTCTAGGCTACTAAGGCGGCTAAAGGCCCTAGGGCTAAGGGCCTAGGTAAGCACTATATATCTATTTAAAAGACCCCGCTTGCCTTAGCCAGAAAGGACCTTATAAGGAGGCCTAGGCCGACCCTCTCGGCCTTTTACTAGCTCCTCTTTAGGGCTAGCTTCTTATTTTCCTTCCTAAAAAGGACTAATAAGGTAGACCGAGACGACTGCCGCTACGGCTAAGGAAGGCATACGGCTAGGCACCTTATTCTAAGGTGCCCGAACTATAGGAGGGAAAGAGAGGTCCTTTACCGGACCTTTAAGACATAGAAGGGGGCCCTTAGCCTACCTATTCTTTATAGCTCTAAGGAAGGAAGGGAAGCCCTTCTAACCTTCTTAGCTAAAATAGAGATAGGGACAGCTAAGTAGCTCGAAAAGGAGTAACCTAGGGGTCCTAGGGCCCTTAGGGGGGGAAATCACCGCGCGGGAGGAACCAGACTAACCTTTCCTTTATTATTTACCTTTATAGCTACCCTTTCCCTAATTGGTTGTAAGCCCCCGGGCTCTATAGCTAGCTAGGACTGCTAATAGGGGCCTAGGCCCCTACTAGCCTCGCCATGGCCCTAGAGGCTGCATGCGAGTAATGATATAAAAAAAAACGACACCAAGATCGAGTGCATATACGGTATGTCGCGTAACTGACACTTTCTCGCGACCGTTAGCCCAGTCTTGCCCCGCATCGTCTGCCGTAGCTAACAAGACAAGTCGCGCCTTCTCGTAACCCGTCAGTCAGATAATGACTCTCTACACCTGTTCGAGGCGACAATCACAAGCGAGTTCCTTCAGATGCTGGAGCGTCCCCGCCTCGCTGCGGTACCGACCCAAGGACCCACTATCAAGCACCGAACTATTCGTTTCAGCCCGGAGTGGACTTTCAGGCAGCGACTTATGTCGGAAGTCCTAGATACGGATCCAAGGCCAAATTGCGGTGACTCGGACATTGGCGAAAGCATGAATTCGCCACTGCGCAATGGGAAACGACGGCGAGACCCCGAAGATGGAAGAACACGTGCTATGAGGCGCAAGACGTAGAGGCGCTGATGCGCCTGTTGTTCTATTGTACGGAGCTGCCTTCTGCATTAATCCACCTATAAGACTTCTTGGTTTGTGCACACGGCTCGCGGAATTCTACAGAATACCCAGATAAGGTCCATTCATGATCGACCTTGCCTGTCACGGGGAGACCAGGCAGGCAACAGGGTCCTGCCTAGAAGGCAACAGCAGTAGCTGGAGTATGATATGGCCATCCCTCCTCCAGTGAGAAGTGACGGGCGGCCAGAGATCAACAATTGCATGAATCGCTTCCCGTTCTTCACTCTATTTCGTCGTGTTTGTGCTCCTTACGTTGCCGTAGCATACATATATATATTGGGACTCGTCAAGGCTTCTCTCGCACGTATATAGATGCTTTCCCGTCTCCAAGGCTACCATGAGCGATCCTGAACTGGTCAGTGGCGAGGATTAAATCGCTGAGCTTCTTATGCTGGTAAGTGCGAGAATCGAAATCTGAGTGCCTTTTCATCAGAATTTCTCCAACGTTTGCAAGGTGGGCCCATCCGTCATCATGCGAACTCGCCTCCACTGCCGCTCTCAGCCAGGCCCTGACCTAATCGGGGACATCGCTTTGTCCTTCTGAAGCTGGACGATTCGTAACCCCATCAGTATGGCTTATAGGGCCGTCCTTCGGTGCAATGTTGTCAACGTAGATGAATTTGTCGCAAGCGTGTCTTGCGTTCGCCGCAGCGATAGACCAACAGGCCACTCTCGCGGATCCGCGAGGCCAGTCGAGTGAAATCGCTGTCACTCGACACGATGCAGGAGCCGTCGAATCGACCGGAGTAGAGCAGGTCCATGGTGTCAATCACCATGGCGGAGTCTGTTGCATTCTTGCCATGCGTACACGCAAACTGCTGAATTGGCTGAATTGAGTTCTCGAGTAGGTGAAATTTCCATCCCGTCGGGGTCATGCCCGTCCAGTCACCATACGCCCTTTTCACAAAGGCGGTGCCGTATTTTTCAATTTCTGCCAGCACTGGTCTAGTCATGCTGGGTTGAGCATTATCCGCATCGATTAGAACGGCTATCTTAACCGTTTGCGAGTTACAGACCATGGCAACTGGTTCTCCACGACCGTGTATAACGATGTGAGTATGTTGTATGCCTGTGAGTGGTGAGTTAAGGCGTACTTGAATAATGTGTGCTGAGAGGTGAGTAACCCTAAGGCGTATCTGCGCTTTGCCGGCACTCGCATTCGAAGAATCTGTTCAATCCGAGTGTGCCGCTACTACACATCATCGCCCAAAGCGTCAATCCTACTGTGTCAAGCCTGTGGGGAATAAGATTTCTACATGGCGCTGGAATATACCTCACCACCCACGATGCGCCGGACGTAGACCCTGCGTCCTGATACAGGGAAACAGCAGCCGTGGAGCCAGGAGCATTAAAGTTGGAACCTACGGGCGGCCACGTCGTCGCCGTGCAGAGGGTCTGTCTTTACAATGCCAACACAGCGACAACACAAAAATGCCCTGTCTGTTACCTGGCGGATGTTGCCAAACGAGACCGCCGGGGCGAAGCTGCTAGGAGAATCAAGTGGCGCACGAACCGAGGGTAAGTCTCAAATCTTTATAGATCGCCCTTGTCGTGTCAGGCGAAGCGTCCAACTCAATCGACGTAGGTTACGTCCAAGGTTTAGAAGCGACCGCGTTTGCGGCGAGGCGATGGTCCATGGTGCAGTTATATAGTGTGACGTGCGGTCCGTTTCTTTTCATCTTCTGTCATACATCACGCATACCGCTTTATCGTCGGTTATCGCCGTGGTCTCGAAATACTCGCGGCTCGTTGCGGTTATTGGATATCACCGTTCTCGGCAGCGGCATCATGGCTGAGGAACACGAATGTCCACAAGCCACACTACTGTGGTGGGACCATCAAGACTTGGAGGTTCGATGTCCCGGGTGCCACGACACACATACACATCAACACCACCGCCTCTCTAACAAGGCAATGACTATGCGCGCCGAACCACTTTGCTACGGACGCCGCCTTACGGACGCCGTGTGGCTGATCTATTCGTTAGCTATATTATATCTTAAACGGACGGATATAGGTTCTCTCGTATTTATTGCATAGAACTATTATACTCTACGAGGAATAACTACTAACGTAGCTCTAACCGGTAAAATAGGTTCTTAATTACTTAGGTAGCTATAGAACTAGGATTAAATAAATTAAGTTATATACTAATAATAAATCCTTAGGAGAAAATACTAAATCTTAATCTCTTAGTATATACTTAACTTATACTAGTAAATATTTTATATATATATACGGATATTAATATTAGCTTTATATATAACTTAATAGTAAGTTATATAGCTTTATTAAGTTAAGCGGGCTATAACTATTAAGTTATTATATATTAAGGGCTAGCGTATACTTAGCGTAGTAATATAAGGCTAAATAATTATTTATTTAAAGCTAAGGAGAAAGGAGGAAAACTCGATTTTATTTACGCTAATTATTTATCTTCCTTAGTCCTTAGCTTAACCTATATTTAAGTACTATTTAGTATAAGTTTAAGTTAAGCTTTACTTATATATAGGTCTACTTTAGCTTAACTTTAGTATAGTTACTATAGTATAACCTTAGCCCTTTATAAGTATAGCCTATAATACTACCCCTGCCTTCTCTTTTTTATTAGTAGTACTTTTTTTCCTTTCTTACTACCTTTTTATTATTACCCTTCTTTATTTCTTAAGCGTATATAGCCGCGTCCTTTTACTTTAAGCCTACCCTATCTTTTTATATTATATACTTATTCCGCCTTATTCTACCCTCTTTTATATATATACCCCTGTACCTTACTAACTATATATATGCCCTACTATATATAAATACCTTTCTTTTTCCTCTTTCTTTTTTCCTTTCTTTTTCCTCCTTTAAGCTTTACTTTCTTTATATATACACTCTTACTTTACTTAATTTTTATCTTTACGCCGCGCTATATTATAACTACTATAGGCCCTTATACGCTTACTAGCTTTTCTACTTTATATAGCGGTACTTCTTATAGAGTAAGTAGAGGGATAGATATAAGTATAGTCTATAAGAAGAAGGTTAATAATTTATAAAAGAAAAAAGGAAGAAAAGTATAGGCTTAGCTTATATAAGTATAGAAGCTACTTATATATAAACTTAGCCTAGACCTTAGTCTAGGCCTATATAAGGTAAAAGCCCTTATATTATACCCTTACTTAGCTTTTAAAGGGGCGCGACTTTAAATAATACTTAATACCGCGCTTAGGAGGATAAAACCCTCGCGCGAACTATATACGCCTAGTCGCGGAAAAAACATTAGTAAATAATATATATCTCGCGCAGAGAGATATAAGAAGTATATATAAAATATATAAAGGTAAAATTAAAAGTAAGGGCTCGGATAGGTAGGGCAGAGATATTTAATTCTTATAAGGGCAGTAATTTAAGTAAGGGAGTAATTATTATATTACCTTAATTATCTTTCTTTCCTCTATCTAACGCCCTTCTTTATACTTATCTAGTATCTTAATTAATAAAGAAGATCCTACTTAAAGAAGCTATTAATATCCTCTTAACTACTAAGCTTTTTACTAGTTTTTCCCTTTTATTTTAGCTATTACCGGTATATCTATCTTATCTCTTACTACCTTTATAGGAAGCTATCGCTACTTTTACTTCCCCTTATGCCCCTACCCTCCTCTTTGCACCTCTTTTTAGCTCCTTCTTTTAAACCGGTTTTTTAGCTTCCGAGGTCCCTCTTACTAAGGGATATCTCCGAGAACTACGAAATCAGGCCATACTTTGCGATAAAAGTAATTACTTTACTTTTACTTAGTAAAAAAACATAATAAATATTTATTTCTTAATTGCCTAGTTTATAGATACTATAGAGAAGACGCGTAGGGTAAAGTTACGTGCGATAAATATATAGGGATACCTAGTCCATTTCCCCGGGGATTCTGCTAGATAACTTTTAACTGGGCCCTCGCCTCTAGTCGGTTAGGTCATCTAATGCGCTAGATTAATACCAGACGGTCAATGCTGGCCGAATGTTAGTTCTGCACCGCGAGACTTGGGCGTAATAGAAGCCTTAAAAACATAGACCAACCATTACCACCAACCATTACCACCAACCGTCGTCTTGTTTATTAAACAAAGGTCCTTTGCTTGCTGTTTATGGCTGCCAGGCCACCTGGCAAGGCTGCTTCCGTAGGGAGGTCGCGGACGATGAACTATGGGGAGGGAGCCGGCTGATTCCGCGATTCAGCTCCTTGGGGGCGTGATGCTCGGCATTTATTGGCTAACAACTAGTTGGCGGAACGCGAACCTCTGGAGACTCTTTCTCCATCTGTGGGGCGCAATTGTACTCACGTGGCGGGGAATACGATTGCATTACGATTGCGGCTAGATAGTTAGCCTCTTGGCTCCTTCATGCAACGTGCGTTATCTGCGCTCGACTTAGATGCAGATGACGTTGGTTCTGTAAAGCCAAGTTCCGATTCCGGCAGGTCTCGTGACTTCGCACCTCTATATGGAGAGAAAGGGACCTAAGGCCTGCGCACTTCGCTTGCTTCTTCTAAATTTCTGATAGCAACATGTCAGGATAAACATATCGCGTGACATTGACATTTGACATGGCTGCTGTCTTGAACGGGAGGGAGAGATCGGTCGTCGAGCGGAAGGCGCTGCTTGCAGGTGCCGATTCGAGATTCGTTCTAAAGGTGGTTATTGGGCCGGAGGACTCAGTCATAGCAACAATCGATATTGTCTTTGATGACAGAAGGTAGTCTTTTGTTGTAAATAGCGCTTCTACATGTTTTGTTTCCTAAGAGAGGATAGATTTTCTGTGTGTCCAACGCTCCTCCTCCCTCAATCTCTATTAGCCCCTCAGGGAGAGAAAGTGCTAAAAAGCCGACCGATCTGTCCAAAGAAAATAAGAGATGCCATGCATATGACGGTTATAAAGAGTCTATCGGCCTTAACCACTGCCCAAGTCAAGGGGACGAAGGTCCCGGTTATATACACAAAAACGGTGTCCATGTGGGTCGGGACACCTCCTTGACTGGGGGGGAATGTCGTTTGACATGATCGACGATATGACCGAGAAACGAACCGACCGCGCTGCAGCTCGCCGAGTGTGCCTACAAGCAATGCATATCATATAGCGAGATTGTCTAAAGGTTATAGCGTGTCCGATAAATAGATAAAATTTATTTCAACGAACGATATGTAAAGTGAATACACATATATACGAGCCGCGTGCCTAATCGTCGCATGAGGGCATGTTTAAAACATCTTGTCCAAGCCCTTTAGATGCTGTGCCTACATACGCAATTATCGCTTCTGGCTTTGTGCCACTAAAACTCCCTTTTCGTTCTTAACTTGGATATCAGGAACCCTCCTAGCAGTAACGGTCTCAGAGATGCCCGACTCGGACTTGAAGGTAATTGTATAGTCCGCATTGATGACGATGGTGGTCAGCTTGTCCGCATCTTCCGACCGAAGAATGTGTTGTTTAAATCCGACTGTCGTTTCTGAATCAAATAGCCGGTCCGTCGTGGCTTTCGCGACAGCTGCCGCTGCGACCGAGGCGGCGACACTCGTTACGGGGCCGGCGAGCATACCCAACACCCCAGCGGTAGCGCCAAAGAGACTGATGGTGGTGACCGTTCCTATTGACTCAAGGAAATCGACCACGTCCCGAAAGTTGTTGGGGTTCGTCATGTAATTGATCGTTATGTCGTCGTTGTAGAAGCTGAGAAGCCACCAGTCCCGGCCAGTGGTGAAAGGGCCGGTATTATATTCCACCGTGGTTCTGTTGTCAGGGTCCGGGCTCTTTCCTTGCTCAATAAGCGGCCACTCGGCCCTGCTCTTATAGACGCTGCTGTATTTGTGAATGAGCGAGACGGACTTGATTTTCTCGGGCGCGTTGTTTTGAATCGTGACACTGGCTGTACGCTTTACCGTTCCCCAGTCTATTCTTCGTTCCAGCGACGAGGGCACCGCAGCGGTGATCTCGACGAGTGCGAGGAGCGCATACAGGAAGTTCTTGGTCTGCATTTTGCGTCTGAGCCGGAGCGGGAAAGGGGCCAGAGGTGGGAAAGATAAAACGAGTGATGAAATGGGGTTGGTCCGAAGGTGATGCCGGTTGTAACGATAGTATGGTTGATATCTTTGTTCACGAGCTGCTCCAGCCGAACCTGGAAGGGGCAACGATCTCAGTCTTTATACTTTTTCTACCTGACTTGACGAGGCATAACTTTGCAGCGAGCAACCTGAAATCCAGTCTCCGAATGCCCATGCCCTGTCATGCGGCACATGCCCGCCGTCTCTGCCAAGCTGGGGTAAACATAATGGCGTCATTTTCTCTTCTTCCCCCTGCCGGTTGTCAGCCAGCTGCTCAGCTCCAGAGATAGACACCAACCGCCCTTGGCCCTGCTGGAATTCTGTGTGGGGATTGCATGAACCCGACTTAGGCTTGCTCCTCTCGCACCGTTGTCGGGAAGATCCCTGTTCGTCGCCGGGGCCCTTGGGAAGCTCAGGTAAGAAATGAGAAGCCCAGCCAGCGCCGCTTTCTTCGTGGGTGCGTTTCTGGGCCGTGGCCCGATGCTTGACTCCAAACACAGAGAGATTCGCAGAGACGGGAAGGACGGCAGATACTGCCCTGGGGCCCTGGCAGTTCGGCCGAACATCTCGTGTTTGCTTCCACCTGACCAACCGGGGTCCATTTTCCTTATGAAACGGACAGTCCCCCCACATGGTACTAGAATGCGAGCTAGCGAGCGGTATCGTGGAGCTAATGGTCGCGCCTTATATCTAATTTCTCGTCCAGTTAGTTGGCTCGTCTTGACTAATGCGTGAATGGGGAACATGGGCGGCAATATTCAGTCTAACACTGGCGCCAAGTGGGTATTTACTGGTGCGGTATCAGGGGAATCCAACCGTCCCGGCTGTCTGTCTGCCCTGCCTGAGATTCTTCATCGTACTCTCATTACGCTCATCCACTCAGTCTCGAGACCAGATTGACGCCAAGCTGCGGGAACTCCTCGTCCACGGCATCACCTCTCGCTTACATGCAACTCCTGACTGGCTGGGCCTGTGACTTTCGGCCATCAAATGCTTTCAAGATGACCGCTTGCTATCTTGCTGTCCACGCGCCTGACTCGGTTACCTGCCCCCACGTGTTGAGGGTTAGGATGTGATGTCCATCAAGGTCCAGGCACGAATATGTCCACGTATATCGTGGGGTCAATAGCGGAGCCTCCATTCCCTTTTATTTGCAATGGGATCCACGTTTCCCCCCACCGTAAGGCGACACATTCTGTGTTGTGGCTAGTCCCGGCCACTGTTTTCCTCATGTGGTCCTGCACCGAATAGCTATAATAACACCGCCTCACATGCCGACCCCTGATACGATCCTTTGTATGAGACAATAGCTCTTATCTCTGGTCCGGGGGTGGAGCACTGGGAGAACTGGCCACTGGGCGATTGATCCCTTCATTTCACCGGCAAATTCCGGCCAACTCACTAGCTTCTTGACTTGGACTCTCGACAACATGGGGTGTAGGACAGGTTCACGCTGTATATTGCATGTATATGCACCAATTCGGATATACGCCTCTCAGGCGACAGAATGAGCTTCATAAGCACAATCGCCTGTAAGTCCGAACCCCTAGATACCTCTTTCTGCATATCGACTACGAGGGTAAGTACCTCACGTTTGTCGCATATCAGCACGCAATACGAGGTACGGGAACATCGGGCTTGACACAGTGAATAAATACGGGTTGCATCGTCGTATGCGTGCATGATAACGCCCCAGGATAAAGCTTCCCATTTTCGTTGACTATCTTACATCACATGTCCCATCCTCATCTTGGGCCACTTTTTTTGTTTGTCCCAAGTCCCAACGCCGCAGCACCCGCACTTACGAAACGGCCCGTAACCCTACCTCTCCTCCCTATAGCGTTAATATTATCAGACGAGTAATACTATTCATACATACATATATATCTCTACTTATATATATTCCCTATCTTGAAATACGTACTTACGCCAGCCCGCCCCGCCTATTTATACCGCCCTCGCCTAGCAAGGCAAGTAGCGATACCGCCGAAATGCCTACACTCGCACCTACGCCGCCCGCACCCGCGCTTGCGCCACCCATATATACATGCAATGCACCTTCGGCTATATAACGCACTTTTAGCTATACAACGCATATATCTAAATTCACCTAAATCACGCATTTCTAATTCTTAAGCTCGAAATTATAGCAACTAGGCCCGCTAATTAATCTAGCCTTTCTAGCCCTTATATCTATATAGATAGCGGCGCCTACTTATTAGCTTGCTACTTAACGACCCGTTTCCTAAGACGAAGCTATAGGCGCGCCTAATAATATTGCCCTTATAGCCGCGCTACCCCTACTCCGTCCTCCTCTTAATATTCTTTCTCTTATATTGTCTAAAGCTAACGATCTCTCGTATAATATTATAAAAGACCTTAGACTATAGCTAAGTTTATTAATCTTATTATATAAGAGGTATAGTTAATTAATAAAGCTATTACTTTGTTAATTCTATTTCTTTTTACTATATTAACTATATAGTAGTGTCGCGTATACTATATGCGTTAATTGACGCTGTCGCTTATATCTGACAGGCGGCTACATCTTTTTCGTGATAAGTAGGGGGGATCTAGTAGCGCGACTACTACTTTTACCCTTGTAAGCTAAGACCCTTATATATATATAATTTATAAAGGTAAAATTAATAGTAAGAGGTAAGATAGGTATAGTAAAGTTATTTAAATCTTTTAAAAGGCAATTCTTATAGTAAGGAATTAAGTATTATAATATTTAATTCCTTTCTTTTTCCTTTATCTAATGCCTCTTTTTATATCCTTTTAATATCTTAATTAATAAAGATAATCCTCTTTAGCTTAGTATTTAATATCTATTTATAGACCGAGCTTTTTACTATTTTTCCTCTTTACTTTAGCTATTATTAGTATATCTCTTTATAAAAAGCTACTACTACTTTTACTTTCCCTCTCTCTCCTACCCTTTTTTATACCTCCTATTAGCTCTTTCTTTCTTCTTTTATACTAGTTATTTTAGCTTCTTAGATCTCTCTTATAAAGAGATATCTCTAATAACTATAAAGTTAAGCTATACTTTATAATAATACTAATAGTATAATTAAAATATAATAATAATAGTATAATAGTATAATAGTAGTAATATAATAATATATTAATAATAGTATAATACTAATAATATATTAATAAAATAATAAAAGTATAATAATACTATATTAATACTATATTAATACTATATTAATAAGTAAGTATTATAGTTTTTATCGTTTAAAACGCTTAGAAACGTATATTATATACTTAATTGGACTAATAATAGGCTATAAATATAAAAAAATTAGGTTAGGCTTATACTTATATATACTTATAAGCGTATACCTTTTATCTTTTAAAGTAGTACTAATACCCTTACTATATCTAAAGATATTAAATATTATAATTAACTTATAAGATACTAAGAAAGTTACTTAATAGATCTAAGTAACTATAAGTAGCTAGATTAGTAAGGAAACCTATTTTCCCTTAAATTATATAGAGATAGATGGTTATACTTATAGACTCCCTCTTTTAAGTAAGATAGTATAATTTATACTCTCTTTTCTTAATATAAAGATATAATAACTAGCAATAGATACCTTACTAATTCTCCGCTCTCTTTACCTAACTAGATTATTAGCGTTTAGTAATACCTTAGATACTATTAAGCTATACTTATAAACGGATATAAGATAAAAAGTACTAGATTATAGCAGTCTATAAGGCTATTCTAAGCTATAGAGCTCGAGTAAAGATATCTAGTTAATTAAAAACCCTACTAGAAGTTAAACGGCGGGGCCCTAGATTCGGCACCGCAACCGAAAACGAACTGATCATCGATCAAGGGCTTTTCTCGGGAGACGACCTGGACACCATCCGGATCGTTGACGAGGAAGGAGAATCCATTGCCGCCCTGAGCGTTGGCCCACATCAACCTGAAAGGAATGTAATCCCCGGCCCTCTGGACAGTGTAGGTAAAGGGAGTCGAGGGGGCGTTCCAATTGCCATGCACCTCCATATTAGTGTTTGTAAATCCATACTTGGCCTTGTCACCGAACCAGGCAAGAACCGCTTCATCCACGTACAGGGGAGTAAACGTGTACTTGCCTGCCTTTTTGGGATGGAAGTAGCCAATATGCAGGATAACACTGTATTCCCGAGTGGGAACCTCGCTTCCATAGACCGTGCGAGAGTTACGATAGGAAGGGTCGCCTTGGTCCAAGCCGAAAATCTTCGTTGTGCCTTTAATAAAAGGCGTCTGGCCCTGAAGGAAAGTTTGAATATCAAAAGACGTATACCAGCTTGAGCTAGGAATCTTGTTGTAGGGAACGCCGCCAGGTTGAGTCGTATCAACCCGTCTGCCCTGATAGAAGGCCCACTGCAACCCAGGCTGGCAGGTTTCCTTGGGACAGGGACCATTTTTGCAGCATTTATCCTCTATGCGAATGCATTCTCCATGGCAGTCCTCCATGCCCTTGGGACAGCATTTTGCTCCAACTTTGACGCACTCTCCATAGCAGTCCTCCATGCCCTTGGGACAGCATTTTGCTCCAGCTTTGACGCACTCTCCATAGCAGTCCTCCATGCCCTTGGGACAGAATTTTGCTCCAGCTTTGACGCACTCTCCATGGCAGTCCTTCATGCCCTTGTGACAGCATTTTGCTCCAGCTTTGACGCATTTTCCGTGACATCCCTTCTCGCCCCTGGGACAGCATTTTGCTCCACCTGCGATGCATTTTCCGTGACATCCCTTCTCGCCCCTGGGACAGCATTTTGCTTCAGCTTTGATGCATTTTCCCTGGCATTCCTTCTTGCTTCGAGTGCAGCATGTGGATTTCCATGAGATACACTTGGCGCCGCATTTCCTCTGATCAGGAGGGCATGGGTTGTCAGTGGGCTCCGGCCCGCCCCCAGTAATGGTGGGGTTGTACTCGGGAGGCGTCTCATTCTCCTTATAGTCCGATGCGGCGATCTGTTCCCCACGAGCATAGTTCCTGCCCTGCTCGTTTGCAGAGTTTTCAAGAGTCTCCGAGAAATCGAGTCGATATCTCTGCGCAGCAGAAGGTTCAAGATCATCAACGGCAAGCCCGTTCCTAAAGAGCAAGGTGGCGGCAAGAATAGAGATCCTCATCTCGAATGAGTAATTCGGCGATACGAAGAAGGCAAATATGAGATCTGATTAGAGAAGACAGTGGCGTTGCTTTTGTTACCTAATAGAAAAGTCCAGTTTTGATGGTTGGCGGACCTCGGTACTTATAGTTATCAGTTGGATCCCTTCTTGCCGTGTCGTCCAAATACAAGTGATCGTGTTTCTTAGCCATATGCGGGGATGATGACTGGTTTCCTGGAATGGCGCCGTTACTGCCGGTATGGGGAACCAGTCCAGAACCTAAGCTGCCTTGAGATCTACACAGAAATTTAGTAGACTATTTTGCGACCATATATGTCTTTGAATACCCCTAAAATAGCAGAAAATAAAAAATCCATCTTATGTCCTGAGCAAGTCGATCGGACACCCCCCGTCGGAATTTTCCTAGCTTAAAATAGGGTGTTAGATTCTACCGATTCTCTAGACGGATTTCAAACTATTTCCGGAGTGGTTCTCCGTGGCTACTAAGCCGATCGATGTCTTGAATTATGTATCAAAACCTATGCTCCTCCTATCGACAAGTAGACAGTAGGAAAGCTCGAACTATTATCCATTTTGCCGGTCTATAACAGGACAAACTATACAGCAAGCGATATAACTTTAAATTGCTAACGGGCTGTCACATACCATTGCGTCTAGTTTCACAGAGCGGTTTTTGACCCAAAGGAGCCAAGTATGTTAGGGAGCTAGGTACCTTTAGGAATGGGGTGCAAAAGGAATAGGGTCCCTTAAAGACACAGACGTTCCGAACGGCAGGGCGGTTATTAGTACATATTATTATTATTATAGTAAGCATAAAAAGTGATTCCAGATAGTTTTAAATTATAAATTAGCATACTTAAACGTCTGGCCAAGTAAGAGAGAAATCCTCCTTAGAACGAAATCCGACTATAGGGGTTCAACCCTATGCAAATGAAGCGTGATGTGGCGTGATGTGACACATAATTTATAATATGGGCATTTCAGAGTGACTATTAAGGTAATTCTACTTTGCGGCTAATGACTAAGACAGTATAACAACTCATTAGAAGAGAGGGTTTAGAAAGATTCTGGACCACGTAGAAATTTGCTACGGGACAAAATAGTAATACTCTAAATAAGTTGTACTGAGTAGCACAATGGTTCAGCCCGTCCAACAATTCCCCTTTCCAATACCCAAAGACCTCAGAATACGAGCACAGCACGCACGGCCCGAACAAACGGCGGGCCGCGCCGCTACGCTCCCGGAACCCCACGCCGACCCCCGGGCGCAGCATGGTCCCCCGGCCACGTCCACTGACAGCGTGAAATGCCGTAAGACGTAAGACTGGGGGTAGTTCATTTGAAGACATGATCCGGCCATGGAATAACGTGCTAATTCTCCTCGGCCCGTGTCGGACCCCCATATCGGACCAGTCCGAATATCTGGGGCGCTCCTGTAATAATCCTCAAATGTCATACCAGCAAGCTCCTTGTCGATCGCCCCAAACACGGCATGACAGCGTGCCGCTGCGAGCAAGCAGGCCGAACTAACAGGTCTCGAGCACAAGCGTCACGAGGCGGTCATGCTCGGGGCTGTCCGCAGGAGAATCTTTGCCGCATGAATCAGCTCGTCCCATGCGTTGCGAAGCTTCTCCCTCATCTCGGCGGCGCCGTCAAAGTACTGGTGCCCGATGCGCATCAGGTCCTCGCGGAGGTTCTCGCGCATCCCGGACACATTTGCAGCATCGTGGTTGAACTCCTCGCGCTTTTCCTCGCGGCTCAGGTTGGGCACCGCACACAAGCTATCAGCACATGCGGCCATGGTTAAACTCGAGAAATCGTGGCTACTTGGACACGCATGATGCGACGTTGGGGCCAGCAGCTCGGAGACCGGGGGGTTTGGAAGTTGAATAGGTCAAAGTGTTGGATATTACGCAACAGGGCTGGACTTGCAGGCCGGAAACAGGTCAAGCATCACAGAGGCTCTGCCTCGAACCACAACTCCGGCGATCAATGTACGTATTATGTTGACGCGTAGTCGTAAGCCTGAGCCCTTCCTGTTTCTTGACACGGCTGCTCGTGGGTGGCCATGAACCGATCATACCACAGCTCGGCTCGCCGGCACGGGTTGGACTTGGATTGAAGGTCTGAGGTCTGACCCAGCGTGACAATAGACGACCCAACTGTCGACACTGCTACATCAGATATCAGAGATGTCGTATCATTGGCTTGGGATTGATTCAAAACGTGGTTCACCGAGGCAGTGCTCCCGCCTTGGGGTTGGACGAGGAAAGCCAGGTACAGGATGATGAGCTTGAGCCAGGACCTCCTCGCTAAGACGGCATATGTGCGTTGGCCTGAGAAAGCTGGAGTGGAGCGGACATGAGGGCATCGCCAACGACTATCCATCGTGGATCGAGTATACAAGTCTCAACTACCAGGCATTTCCATCTAGATCCAGACCTTCATCCTGCATAGAAGCACATGGCACATCTAAATACTGCCCGCTCTTGTCGAGACATCAGCCCCTTGACTTGTCAGCCCACAGATGCAAGGTCCGAAGCCTCGCAGCTTTTAGATGAAACCCCAAACAAGCCAAGCCCTATGCGTATTTAGACTCCATCACCCTGCAGCCGCCGCCACCCGCAGAGCCGCGTTTCCACAGCCGCAAGCCACCAAGGTAACAGCGCATTTAGGGCCGAGTCACACTGGCCGAGTCTCTACACTGAGCGTATATGCTCCTTTTGCCCCGGGCCAAAACATAGCCCGGAAGGAGCGGGCAGGGAGGTGAAATCGCTGACATGAAGCCGGGCCGATGAAACCCTCCCCCATCTGTTCCCCAACGCCCCCGTCCCGTCCATGTGTAGGCGCCGATGAAGGAGCCCAATCGGAGACGTTGCAACTGGCTGATCATGGTAGGAGGGGGCGGCACGAGGGCACTGGGCAGCTTCGCCACCATGTACAGTATTCTTGTTATTTTAGAATGTCTGTTCTCATGAAGCGTCACTGCTGTATCATGCCTTGAGAGACAGCTTAAGCCGCGATGCTGATATATAAAGTTCGTCTTGTTTAGCTGACTTACCGGGCATCCCATCCCCTCTTGGCCCTGCATCACTTACTTCCCCTCTTAAACCATCAACTGTTTTATCGACTCTTCACCTTCACCTGTCGCTTTCAAAATGAGGTTTATTACCAACCTTCTCCTTGCCGGCGTCCTCGCGTCCCCGATCCTTTCCACCGCCATCCCTGACATGGGCGAGGCCGTGGACCTTGTTGATCGAGACGTCTCTTCCGCCGAGGGCGATGGCAACAATCTCTTCGCCAGGAAGGTGAGGCTTCCCTGCCGGGTTCACGTGCCCAGGGGCTCCAAGGTCACCCAGTGTGCCGAGACGTGCTCACAAGACTCCCTCGGCCCTTCATAGGCATGCTCGGGCACGTGCAGCTCGAATGGATGCCATTGCTCTCGCCCGGTCCGGGCCTGCGGCTGCAGCAATGTTGGTGGCGCCTGTACCTGTCCTTGAGAGGATAAGATGATATATGCCGTCACTGGTCGGCGTTTTGGTTGAGGAGCTTGGGGTCTATCTATGGTTATACCCAAGCATATATCTCACAGCCTGTCGTTTACTTGATGTTGTAGATGGGTTCGATTAGGTCACTCGTTCTTATACATGTAGCTCGATCAAGTCAATTCCGCGGCTGTCTTTGCTTCATGTGCAGCAAGTGGGCTGCGTGAGTTGGCAGAATAACACTACGCTCCATGTCAATTGCAATTAAGTCGGCAGTGTATACTTTCTCGTCGCCGTCGGCGGTGGCCCAAGGGGATCCAGGGCCAAGCCCGTGTCCAGTTATCTGCCAGGAACAGGAGCCGATCCCGCCATACCTTCAATTCCTCGGGACTCCAGACGACTACGGTAAATGCAATTCTAATACAGCATCGACCCCGAAAGATCATTATTTCCATTGGTATAAGCCCCGAAACTCGAAATAACTCCGCGATATAGACGTACTGTCTACCCGCCCGTCCTGCGGAAATCCAGCGGCCTGCCCAGCCACCATGCCTGCGAAAAATGAAACAGAAAACAAGTCGCCGTCGAATATCCCGGCACTTTTTCTACTCTTCAGGACGTCTTCCACACCAGCTGCACACTAAACGTGGGTGCCGCGCCCTGCAGATGCGCCAGGTAGGCGCTCAGCTCCTGGTCCTCCCCGATCTGCAGCGGCAGCTCGCGCCCCTTGCCATCCTTGAGGATGCCCTCGACGCGCACGCAAATGGTGCCAGGAAACCTCTCGACGGCCGTGTCCCGGAGCTCTTCTACCGAGTGGGTGTCCAGCGTCGCTATCCATAAGCCTGCACTCGCCATGAAGCTCGACGACGGGTGCAGGCGGAAGTACACCGCACACGCAGAAGAGACGGGCTCAATGTGCGAAAAGACGGACGCGGGTGACGCGGTGGAAGCGTACTGGGGATGGACGTATGGCTCGTCGATGAAGTCTGGTGGTGCGTGGGCCCCGAGAAGAAGTGAAGACTCCATTTGCGATTCCATTCCCATGGCCACCGACAGGGAGGACTCGAGGACCGGGGCCTGGGGCAGGGTCTCTCGGGGGGTTGCAAGGCTCAACGCTTGTGGCCGCTCTGGGACATCCAACGGGGTGCTCTCGGAGCTGCTTGCAGGGCTGAAGGCCACCTGCGAGGTGTGCGACACTTCCGACATGTCGTCAAAGGCGTTGCTGCCCACGTCGTCTCCCAGATCTGCCTCAAGCCCCTCGGCTGGCGAGCCTTGACGCTCCATCGTCTTATCACTACCCGTTGCCCGCTCACCGTACGATGAGACGTCTGCACCGAGAGACGGCTGCTGGGTGCTTCGCTGCTCCACGCGCCCCTTGCCATCGCGGATCCTCTTCATGACGTCTCTGGCGACAACCTCCAAAGCTCGAACCTTGTTGCGCGAGTCTGGGTCGCCGTTCACGCCCTCCATGATTCGCTGGACCAGAATCGACCTGTCGCTCCATCTCCGCTTCAGGTCTTCCCACTGCTGCGGACTCGCCTCTGACTTGCACTTTAATGACGACTCCGACAGCATGCGGTGAAGGTCGGCGCGCATGTCGCGCGATTCCTCGGGATTAACGCCCAGCGCGTTTTTAGCTTCGGCCAGCGTCATGCGCGTCTCCAAATTGCGCATCCTTTTGGTAACGTCGGTGCAGATCACATCGAGAGCCAGCTTACCCGGCTCGGGATGGTCCCTGGCCGTCCACAGGGCCGTCTGGAGCTGGGGTAGGTCCCGCACCAGGCGCGCCTTGACTGTCTCCCATCCCTCGGCGCCAGCGAGCGTCTTCTTAGACACGCCCTCTTGGTGACATATAAGCCGAAAGGTGCTGCGAAGGGTGCGGTACGTGGCGGGGTCCAGGCCGAGGATGTGGCGAGCTTGGTCGAGCGTCGTTTCGGACGGGAACCGGGCATTCAAGCCGGCTCGGTCGTCGGACGCGGCTCTGCGCCGTCGCCGTCGCCGGTTCCGCTTGCCGTGGTCGGACTCATTGGGGAACGATTCGGGCTCGTTTCGGACAGCGTGTGTCGAGTCCTGGCTCTGAGGCTCTTGTTCCACAGTGCCTCCGCTGCCTTCGGGCTCCCAGCTCCTGAACCTTTCTCCGTTTGGCGCCCGCAGCAGCCACCTGTTCCGCGTCCTGAGGCGCATCAGCTCTCTGGCCTTGATGTTGAAGCCATCCTCCTCGTTCAATACCCGCAACATGTCCCGCTGGGCGAGGTTCTTCTCCCAGAGCTCCTTGACCCGACTGACTAGCCGGTCATTGGCGTGCGCCGGCCGCTGCTTCGGGGGAAAGTTCCAGCGTCTAAACTGCGCCTGGAAGGCCCTCTTGCTGTTGTCGGCGTAAGTCGACGGACGTGCCCTTGTGCGACGGCTTGAGACGGGGAGCGCGAGGGAAGCATTTATGGCGTCAAGAATGCGCGCGTTACGAGAGACGGAGCTCGCTTCGAGTCGTGCGCCTTGAACAGGCACTCAGTCACTCACCTCGGGGCGAAGCCGTGGACGCTCTTCAGATGCGCCCTGATGTCCTCGAGGGGCCTGCCCTCGTCGATGTAGAGCCGGTAACATGTCTGCTGGTGGCGGTCCCAGTCGTAGACCATGATACGGGCGAGAGCAGGGTTGACATGTGGTCATTGGCAGGACGTGGAGCGCGGACCATAGCGGTGGAGACGCATCATGGCCAAATGGAGATGGAAGAGTCCAACCAAGGAAGAGAGACGATGGTTGATGATTGGGAGTATTATTAGTCAGCGCAGGGCGCGGTCTTTAGCCGAGACGACAATGCTTTGCTTTGCCTGCATGCGACGAATTCCATCGCCGCTCCACCCCTTCTCCTCTTACTGTACGCCGTACTTACGTCTGATTCCAGTCTACAATCGTCCTTGTTAGGGTTTCGGGCCACAGACGGCTTCAAATCTCCTCCCTTAGACAGAGGGTTTTCTTCGGCTGCTTTCGCTCATCAGATCCGCGACTCGACGTCGACAAATCGCCGCACCAGCATGTTGAACCTCGTGTCTTCGGTCTTGATGCGCTCGGGCGTCAGGTGTCGGACAAACCTGGCAGCCGGGTGGTTCCAGGCATGATTAATGAGCTGCTCGCCGAAGAGGGAGCCGTTGTTGCGCGCAATGGCAGCGGCAACTGTCGCGCTCTCTGCCGGGCTCAACGGCGCGTGCATCCACTCGATGTGCTGCCTCGGCCACAGGGGCCAGAAAAAGGCAGCAGGCGACAGTTGGCAGACTTCCTCGGCGTGTCTGTCGGCAAGCCTGGCCGGCAGGACGACGGAGTGGTAGTTCCAGAGGCGGGGGTTGAAGCCGTCGTACATTCGGTACCAGCGCTCGAGAAAAGGGGCTCCTCGTTTGGCCAGTATCACGGCATTCGTCATGCCCCTGCGGTTGCCGCCCTCGTGGGCGAGGACCACGTCGCGCCGCCCGCTCAGCAGACGGTCGAGGGGGCGTAGGATGATGGCGTCGGTGTCGAGGTAGATGCCGCCATGGGCCCGGAGGATCTGCAGCCGCAGCACATCAGCCTTGTGGGCGGGATCCCAGTCGGACGGCGCAAGGCGGGCAAATTCATCGAGAAAGCCCGGCTCGTGGCGCACGAGGGTGACGAGCTTCCGCACGCCGCTCCACCAGGGACCCTCGTCGCTCAGATGAAGGTAGTGCAGGCGGATCTCGCCATCCGGGCCTAGGTTTGCCGCCGCGGCGCGCACGGCCAGCCACAGTACCAAGGTGGCGGGATTTGGCCTGTCCACGCCCGTGATGAAGTGGGCAACCCTGGGGATGCTGGAAGGCATGTTGGGCGCGTTGATGCGGACCGCGGTGCCGTCGAGGCAGGCCTGCTCGTCGGGCGTGGGCTTGAAGTCATAACGTGTAAGACCGGTGACGTAAAAAAAGGCCGGCCGGACCAGCTCGAGGCCTGTTTCGCGCAGCCCGCGATGGAGACCGAGTAGGGCAGCGACGATGAGGCTGGCTGCTACGACAAGACAGAGGTGGAAGCTGGCCCGGCGCCGCCAGTTGGGGATGAACATGCTTCTCCTCGACTCAGTACTGGATCGTCTCGACCGCCCAACGAGCGGGAGACGGCAGATCGTGCCTACAAGTCCATACACGGCACTCTGTGGAGAGCTTTATATAGGCCAGGCGTTTTGTTTCCCCCCAAGCATACGCAAGCCGGCCAAACCGCATTCGACCAGAGTGGAGCTTGAAGCTGCGGCTCATTGCACGCGTAGGGCATAGATGGCAGCAGATATTATTAGCCTTTTTGGTGCTTATATGCACATGTGCTGCGGATCGGTCTCCCTGCCGGCCAGACCGTTCAAGGCAGGTTTATCCCGCAGGGGCCCCGAAACTAAAAGACGTAAGATGGAACTGGGGCCTAGTCTGCCGCGAGAAATGCACCGCGAGAACATGGGCAACTCTGTTTAGCCAATTGAGCTTCGGTCGGCTCACGACGACCTTGTCTGCCGCTTCGTGCTGGGTTGGTCCAGCAACTCGCGCACGTCTCTGCTGCGCTTGTGCAGGTTGATTCGCATCGTGAGTGAAAGGACGTCGCCGGTCCTTTATTACCGCCCGGAAGACGTCAAGTCGATGCGGATTGGGGGCGGAAGGGGGAAACACGACAGTCAGACGACAGTGGCTGAGTGAGGTCTGGCTGAGGCACAGTGACTGTAGGTCAACAAGCCCGAAGCAATGCGTGTCCAACCAACCCTCGCCTCCTGCCGCCACTTCCTGAGAATTTCCAAACTGTCCTCTGCTCGGCGGAAACTGCGTCGGGGGCCCCCTTGGCCGGGCCCAGCTCTAAGCTCATCGACACTGACAACGTCGGCGAGGGGGGCAGAGCACGATTCTCGCGTCATGAGCAGGCATGAGCATCGAACATTGCGGAGGCTCAGCGGTGAGCTATCCAAGACGCCTCATGCTCAGGCGAGGCTGCCAATGTCACCATGGAAACCACGTTTAGGAAACAGCTGAGTGCAATTGCATGACTGGTGCGTGCTGTGAAGGCAGGTCCGTCAAACAGCCATATATCCCAACAATCAAGCTGACATGCAGCACCTCAGACGCGCAGACTCATGCAAATGTCTCTTGGACATGCCAGGGGACCCTGCTTTTTCCGACTCCCAGTCCATCAACCCCCTAACCCCGATGATCCAACAGACAGCAACCCCATCACTGGGCGGCCGAGCATCTCGGGGCATGTCGCAAGCATTGAGACCGGAAGGTGTCGTCAAGGGATGATGGTCCAAGTCCAAAGTGCAATGGACGTAAGGCGCACGAATCTCTCCAAAGTCAGGCCGGCGTCATGAAGAGGGCTCAATGGACCTGCTCAAATCGACAGGAAACAGGGCGTCAACCTTCCCCGTCGGATTGTCAAAGATGGTTCTTCAGGCTCAAGTCAAACCCAAAGATTCTCTCTAAAATCTTGATGGTCTGATAGGCGTTTTAGCATGGATCGCCACTGCCGCGAGCCCGTGCATGTTGCGCCATGGATCAACTCGGAGGTAACCTGGGACGACTTGTCAGCAAAGCCTGGCACGGAGTAAAGGTCAAGAATTGCCCGTACATGGACCGTCAGATTGCCTCGAGGCCCTTGCTACGTCCACGACCTCGGCGCAGCACATGGCTCTCAAGTCGGACCAAGCCATCGAGCCCCCCCAACACCCGCTTTGACGCTCGCCTCGGTTGTTCAAGCAGAGCACAGCTCTGCCATGTCCGTGGATGTAGTTCTGGTATGGCGTGGTGTTGCTGCTGCTGCTGCTGCTGCTGCTCTTCTGGCTCAGAGGGGCCGAGCTCTTCGACTTCGACTAAGTTATCAAGGTTGACGTAGACGTCGTCCTGTGCCGAATGGCCGGCGTCGGTATAGACTTTTCCGTCACCGATCAATCATCATCAAAGAGAGGTTTGCAAACAAAAGAGGTGATTGCATGACTGGTGCGTGTTGCGTGTCCTCAGGTCTTGGTCTTGCTAGTGAGGCATGGGGGCCAAAACAGCCCCGTGATGAAATATGGCGAGGGGGAGAAGAGGAGCGATGTTCTGGCAAGCCAAGAGAGCGAATTTAATATTGGGTGCACCCTGGGCGTCAGCACTGGCCCTGCCCAGGTGCCACTGGCAGCCCGCCAGGGACAGCCCGTCCAGGCTCGACGGTCCCCGCAATTTCAGTGGACCTCGGCCCAAGTCGGGGCCTGCGTAAAGTCCGTCGTCCGTTGCACGACGAACCACCACTCCTCCCTCCACCACGAACGGCCTCACGCTGCGCAAATCAACCCCCCCCTTCCCTTCCCGACCAAGCCGAGTTGCAACCATGTCCCCCTCAACCCTCCCGGACAGCTACACCACCCTCTCCCTCCCCGCCCTCCGCTTCGCCCACCACCCGCCCTCGTCCGCCTCCGTCACGCCCGTCATCGTCGTCTCGCTGCACCGCCCCGCCGCCCGCAATGCCTTTACCGACACCATGGCAAACTCCCTCGTCGCCGCCTTCAACATGCTGTCCGACGACCCGCGCGTCCGCGCCGTCGTCCTCGCCTCGTCGGACCCGGCCAGCAAGACGTTTTGCGTCGGCATGGACTTCAACGACGCCGGCGACGCGCCCCTCGTCGAAAAGGCCGAGCTTCATCGCGATCAGGGCGGCCGCGTCGCCCTCGCCATGTACTCGTGCGCCAAGCCCGTCGTCGCCGCCGTCAATGGCTCCGCCGTCGGCGTCGGCATCACCATGACGCTGCCCGCCAACGTCCGCATCGCCAGCCGCGGCGCAAAGGTCGGCTTCGTCTTTGGCCGCAGGGGCTTCTGCATGGAGGCCTGCAGCAGCTTCTTCCTCCCGCGCCTCGTCGGCGCCAGCAAGGCCTTGCACCTCGTCTCCACCGCCGCCGTCTACCCGGCAGAGCACAAGCTCTTCAGCGACCTCTTCAGCGACGTCGTCGCCCCGGACCAGGTCCTGCCCACCGCCCTCGCCATCGCCGACGACATGGCTGCCAACGTCAGCCCCGTCGCCTCCCGCCTGATGAAGGACATGATCTATCGCGCCCCCGCCACCCCCGAGGACGCCCACCTCTTGGAGAGCAGGCTGTTCCATGCCCTCATCCTGGGCGACGACGCCCAAGAGGGGCGCGCGAGCTTCCTGCAAAAGAGGCGGCCGGATTTCAAGGCAACCATGGACGACGCCCCCGCGTGGTATCCGTGGTGGAGTCCAGTAGATGTCAGGGTCAAGCCCAAAATTTGACGGCCTGCCGCCTGTCTATGTGAGGGAGCTGATTTCCATCTTCCAAGTGATAATAATCTGCTGCTGGGCGGCACACAGTCTCTGCTTTTCTTGCTTGTACGTGTAATTTGTCAATTCGCAATCAGACTCCGGACTGGAGCCACAAGGGGCCCGCCCAGCCCGAAACGCTGTCGTGTCCCTGACCTTGGAACGCCTGGATAAACTGCCCACCGGCCAGCCCCGACCTTACTCCAGCCATGTATGCAAGCCGTCAGGCCTCGAACCTAAGGATAAACGCTCACTCATCCAAGCACCAAATCGAGACGACGCTCCTGCCCTTCAAAATTCACCTTCCCTCCTTCCGCTCGTGCTCGCCGGTCGAGCAGAGACCCTGAGCAACGACTGATATTGCTCGGTTGAGGCCCCTTCAAGCCATGCAGTCATGAGACAAGCGAAACAAAACAAGGCCGGGATATGCAAAATGGCCCCTCCTACTTTCCCTTCCATGACGCCATGCAAACAAGACAAAAGAAAGACAAAGGAAATATGGTCACCACGCATCTTCTCGACGATGTCAATAACCAATGTTTTGTCGATGACGTGGTGCTTGCGGTTGCGATAGACGTGGAGCTGGTGGCAAAGCTGCCATCATCCCGTCTTCTGCAACTACTAATCACCCAGGCTCTCCTGAGTGGTTCAAGGCTCTGCATCGTTTCTGCAGGCCGACACGGAAGGCTTCCAAACTCGGTCTGCTCGCGCAAAGGCCCTCGCCGAGTCTCGAGGCTAGGAATGACCTCATCGAGCCGTACATGTGATATCGTCGGGCAGGTGTCGCAAAAATATAACAAGCGTCAGCGCTTGCCGCCGCCACGAGGCCCCCCGCACCATTCGAGGCCGTAGAATCAGCTTCCTGGCTCGCCGACTTCTCCTAGCGCCGTCCGAGCTTGAGCAGCCGAGTCCTCAACCAGAGCATGAAGGCGGTCCAGACACCGACGGTCCTGTGCTTGGCTGTCTTGGTGCGCTTGGATGACTTGAATTCGACGTTGTCCGCCCTAGCCCGAGGAGCCTGCCCCAAGGAAGGGCTGTCGTCTGCGCGGCCGGAGCAGGCAGACTTTTCGTCGGCCTCGACGAGACCGAGCCCAATGCCGCCGGCAACCACCCTCCGGCGCGGGCCGCTGGAGGTGGGTCGGCCGGATAGGCTGGCCTGGCTCGTCCTGTGCAGTCGGGCTTGCTCGCGCTCCAACTTCTGGGCCTCCTTGCTGCAGGCGCGTTCTCGTTTGCGAACCTGCTCACGGGCGTACCTTTCCTCCTTGGCGCGCTCCTTGGCCTCGAACTTGCGACGGGCCTCGCGCACATGGTCTTGGCGGCTGACTGCGTCGAGCTCACTCCGGGAGCGAAGTCGGAAGCCGGCCATGTCGAGAGAGGAGCGAATGGGGGACATTGGCCCGGTCGACGAGGAACAGGATGGCGCAGCGGTGGTGGACTGGGGAGAGGAGATGGCGGTTGCCGGCGGCGCAGTCGTCGACAGTGGTGAGTCGACGAGGGAGGCCCCGGCGCTGAGCTGCAGCTCGGAGCGGCTTTGGTTGGCGGAGCTGGAGGCGAGACGCTGGACGGAGCCCGAGAGCGAACGGCTGGCAACGACGTGCAGGGCGTGGATGCCGTCCGACAGGGAGCTGGCGGGTTGGCTGGCAAGCGAGGAGCGGCGAGGCTGCTGCTGGAGGTGATGGGCAGGCGGCCGGGCGGCCGAGGTCGAGACGGAGTGAAAGGAGGCGTTTGGATCAAAGTCGCCGTCGTCTTCGGTGATGGTAGGCGAGCAGTCGCGGGCGACGACGTCGAGCGAGGCGCGCGAGTGAGCGTACGAGAGCGACGTCTGGGGGGTCTGCTGGAAGGGATGGATAAAGGAGCCGCCGTTGCGCCCACCGCCGCTGTTGGTGGTGGCAATGGAAGCATGAGAAGCGGCGCTGGCAGAGCGGGCGTGCGAGAAGTTATGAGGCCGGCCACCTCCTGCTGGAACCCCTCCCGCGGCCCCTCCCGCGGTCCCTGCTACTGCACCTCCAAAGTCAGATGGAGACAGCGAGAAGCTCACGTCGCGCGGCGACCTAGCGGAGCTCGGGGAGGCGTAGCATGTGTAGTGGGGGGAGACGGGAGGAGTGTCGTAAGAGCCATGGTGAAGGCGCTCGAGCGAGGGCTGGTCATCCCAACCGCGGTCGAGGTCGAGCGACTCGCGGTCCGAGTGTGAGTGCAGCTTCTTGAGGAGGGGCTTGACGACGATGCGGCCTCGTGGCTTGGTGAGCTTGGCACTGCCTCCACCACGCTGGCCCAAGGTGGTCGGCCGCAGCTGCAGCGAGGCCATGGCCGTGAGCGGGATCCGAAGGGCGCGTCACGGCCGCCGTTTGCTGTCTGTCGATGCGTCGTTTTCGGGGGTGGATGCTGCTGGAGACGGTGAGGGTGACGGAGGCGTCGCTGGCGTCGTCGAAGGTAGGATACTGAGGGATGCAGATTCATGGACTGCGAGTAGGTACGCTGGAGAGCAGGTCGGATAGTGGGTGGCCGGGCAGCCAAGTTTGCTGCGTCTGACGAGACTCGGTGTAGATGGGGCAATGGCTCAAAGCATGACGGGTTCTCGCCTCTCCGTCTCTTGCTTCGCTTCTCTCTTGGCGCCTCTCCTCTCAAAGTCGTACCGAGGGTGACGGGAGACGAGGCATATGGAGGGGGGGAGGTGCTGCAGCGCCAGAGGGCGCAGCACAACAAACAATCCAAAGTAACCCTACCCAGGCAGGGGAAGGCCGCCGCTGTCGATGGGAGACCAATGGCGGGCGGGTATTGTATGCAGGAGGATGAGGAGGATGAGGAGGATAGATGCGGCGGCGACGACCAAGAGCTGGGGGTCGACAGGGCGCGAAATCAATGGAGGGAAAAAGAGGACCAGCAAGGGGGAAATTGAGAAGCGAGAAGAAATGACTGAATGGATGAATGAGGGCCGGATGAGGGGCGGCGGACCAGGGGAGGCGGGATGAGGACGAACGAAGGACCCTGGCCGGTTACGACGGGAGTCTGTGTGTACCTACCCGTGTTATGAATGCATGCATACATGGCAAAGTCCATGTACGAGAAGCGGCTACTCGAGATGGGCGTCCAGAGGTGGAAGAAGAGCAAGAGGCGAGCAAGAGGTGATTTGGCGGTCCTGGGGAGGTGGGGGGAGGTACCGGTACGGCCGCCTGGAGAGGGGCAGGGCGGGTCGCTGAGCGCGGGTGGACGAATGCGTTTGCCTGGGGCTGCTGTACGCACTGTACTTTGCGTGTGTGCTGTGGCTGAGGTGGCTTGGGGGGTGACGGCACAAGCGGTCTAATAAAAGCGGTCGGCCGACTTAACCAAAACACCGAAGAAATTGTCCACTGGCAGCTGAAGAGGGAGGGGGCCTTGGGATGAGCTAATACCTAAGCAGGCACTTACAGTACGCACTAACAAGAGGCACTAGTAGAGTACCTCAGGTGGCTGACGCATTGTACTCGATGTACAGTACCTCTATATCCGTACTCCGCACCAACCCACATAACCCTATTTTACCCTCTGCATCAGGCAGGCCAAGCAGCTGAGCTTTTTTACATCAGCACCAGCATCAGCAGACGGGAAACTCTCCGCCATTTGTCAGACATGCACGACAGCTGGGCTCCTTTGTACTGTACCTGCGCCCCCGTGATTCGTAACTCGTTGGCTCATCCGCGCCCCCCCTCTCCTCCCCTTTTGACCTCAAATCGCCGTCAAGTTCGCCTCACCTCACGCGTTGGCTGCATAATGGTGCACGTGGCCCTACTTTTGCGGGGAGAGGGAAGAAAGACAAGCTTATGTAGCTACTGTACCTGACCCGAACAGACGAGGCTAGCATGTACAGGGACTTGGGAGATGTTGGGTGCCCCCAAGACCTCCTATGCCGAGGCCAAAGACGGTGACTTGTGTCTGTTATCGGCCAGCCTGCACGGAGCACCCAAGACTGCATTCGCTAGTCATGTACGAGAGCATCCTCGGCCTGTCGCTGCGACCTTTCAACCTCAGCGGGCCGAGGGCCGCGCTCGGAAACGGGGTGCCCGAAGACGTCTTTTTACGCGCCGTTCTCGTGGCCAAGTACTGTACCCCGACCCAGTATTCATTCTCTCGGCCAGACCTGGCCTTGGTCGACGGAGGTGAGAGGCTTCTCCAGCAGACGAGGACCGCTTCTGGAAATGTCCTCGTCGACTCCGCCACAGCCGGCCACCATCCGAGGCGTTATGTTCTCATCCTTCGTGCCAACGGGCGATGAGAGAGGCCTCGCAATTGTACAGTACACACGTTCGTTGCCTCTGCCGTTGCCGCGGCGAAGCGCAAGCCAACAAGCCCAACAAAGGCAGACGGGCCTTGTGTCGTCGATGCAGTCTTCTCCCGTGGAGCGTCAATTGTTGACGGTACTGGCTGCCTGCAACGGCTCATGGCCTCTTCTGCCATGGCTTCCATGTCCACGTATCCGTATTCACACCTTTTCCGCCTCTCCTTTGCCCAGGATAAGCATCTCCAGTCTCGTCACCACGGGCCAAAAGCCTTCGTCGAGCGCTGTCTTGCTGCCGCGGCATGCACCTGCAGACAGATGTATGTCGTGCAATTGTGTCGTCTTTGTCGTCGAACCAACCTCGTCGGCTTCAAACAAAGTCGATCCGCCACCTCGTACTACATACAGTACTGTACACACCTACACCCACTAACAGCACAGTGTGGGTGTGTGCGGGGTTTTCTTGTTTCTTTCCCCCCCCTCTCGACGAGATCTACAGGGCAACCGTTCCCCATGTGCCTTTCTTCAACTCGTGCCGGCGGCTCCTTCTAGGGCTGCCGCTAAGACTGGAAGACGGAAGCTGCCTCTTGGCTCTGACGTCAGGACTCTCTTCTCCACCGTCGATCAAGTCGGCAGGGAACTTCGGCCGTTGATCCTGGAAATCCCCAGAGCCAGCCTGTTTCATCGACAATCGACGGCCGGAGCTGACCCCGCCCCTCGTGGCACCTCCTGCTCCTCGTTGGCGAACTCTCCGGCTGCAGCCTCTTATCGGGCCGGTACAGCCGGGCGACGAGCACCGCCACAGAAAAAACATTTTCTGCGCCGGTTGACGACGAAGCCGAAGAAGAAAACACGGACAGAGCATGAAAATAAGAATTAGGAAAGAAGAAAAATTGAAACAAGCCGGTCCAAAACCGGAAAATCAGGAAAATTGACGAAACGGACCCTTCTCTGCCTGCCTCCGCACCATCATGAGAGGGGGCTCATCGCGGCGAGGAAGAGGCTGAGCAACGCGCACTACACACCACCTTTGGAATATCATGGCAGAGGGATTGGGAAATGGATGACATATAGTGTACAAGAGGCAAGGAAGCCTGCGCAGCAAGACGCGTCGTCGTCGTCGTCGTCGTCGTCGTCGTCACCATCACCATCACCATCACCATCATCATCATCGTCGTCATCATCATCATCGTCATCAGCATCGCTTAGGCGCGCGTCTTCCTCGCCCTCGACCGCAAAGACTCCTCCTTCTCCCCCTACTTGTTGGAAGAAAAGCATCTCGGAGCGCACACAATGCGCCTCGAAAACAAACGACTTCTCTGTCTCGTCGCACCGCCCACTCGGGTCCTTTCCCCCCTTTGCACAACCGAGTCTCGCTCAGTGCCCTCCGGACAGCCGTGTTCCGACTGACCACAATTTGCCTCTCCCACTAGCCATCGGTTGAACCACCCGTCTCATGCACCATGTTGTGACCGTTTTGCCTTTTCGCTTCTCGTTTGTCCCCCCGACCCCCCGACCAAGACAAACAAATTCCCCGCCCCCCTCGTCTCAGCCGCTCCCGGCAACCCACCCTTCTCGTGCTCCCGGCCCAGAATCTCGACGCTGACGGCTGATTGGATCTAGTCAATTCGCGATTCGCCCAATCAATCGGTCTCTCTCACCCCTTGCCCCGTGTGCTGATGCGGTCGCGTCTGGCTGATGCTGACGCCGTCTGCATGGACGTTGCGTGCACAACAAATCATCAGCTTTGACAGAGAAAGGACCCAGCGGAGTACTGGTTGTTAGACTATTACTATCTGCTCCCAACAGACCAACGATGGCCCGGTCCTGTCTCACCCCCGCTCGGGGTGCAGCAAGAAACAAAAAGGCCCAAGACAAGCGAGAACAATGTCCCCTGTGGCGCCGCCACGATCAGAGACACATCCATTGCAGACTCGTCTAAATCAAGAACCCCGAGTGTCTCTTCTCCTCCGTCATTACATGCGTTACATGGAAACCTCGGTTGGTCGCCTTACTCATTTGTTGGCGTTCAAAAACCGTCTCCGGCATATCAAAGCTCACGATGCTGCACACTTCCAAGGATATCTCGAGAAAAGAAGGTAGATTTATACCTCTCTCAGGGGCACCTCCCCAGCACGCCGTTCCCAGTCAAAAGCTACTTCACAGGCTCGTTTATCTGATTATCACAAAGGGAGCGGGCCGGGGACCATAAGAACCTAAGATTCAGGTCTGGTCTGGCTGGCTGAGTAGAAGCACCCCATCGCCAAGGGGAGTGCAGTACTTTTCGGTTCTTTCCTTTCTCGGCTCTGTTTTGCCCGGATCGGCTTCCAGAGCAAATCTATGTGCACAGAGCTGTTACAGAAACTTTCAAAATACGAAACTCTCATCACCCCAACTGATGCATGGAGGTAGCCAATGTATGTCAACGTAAGTAAAGGGGGCATAGAAGAGAAGGAAGAATTTCAACGTCAATTAGTAAAGGCAAACATGTTCGAAGAAAGCCAGTACAAGAAACTAACATAGCAGAAGCACCTTTTATATATAGTCTACTACGAAATATTCGACACTAGACTTGCGGTTATAACATGCTTTTATATACAGATTCAACCTCCATGGCTTGTGTGTCAGACCCACTGCCTGGTGCCACCCTTTAGGACATCATCAGATTCGCCATATCTATCGCCTACACTTTGCCTGTACGTGATATCTTCACCCAAGATAGCAACGGGAAGGTCTCCATCCCTGTCATCCAGCGGATCCGTCGCCTTTGATCGTGGACGCGTGTTTAGTTAGATCCATGCAAGATAGAGTGAAACACACCGGCGGGTCCATGTCCACCAGCCTGATGGCCTTGTCGTGTCGGGCCTTGGCAGGGCTGGCGAATTGATACTTATGACATGCCCAATCAGATGGTATTGACTCATGTCATCAAAGCCGAGATCCAGGTTTTGGGATATCTTGGGTCGCCACTAGCCATCTCCATCGTCCACTAGCCATCTCCATCGTCCACTTAGCAAGCAACCCGCCAAAATTAGACACATGAATTTTGAACAGAGATCCTTGTTACACAAGTCGTTCCAAGTCATCGCCCCTTCTATGAATCTATACGCGCCCCATTCGCCCTCTTCATCGGCACACCCAAGCTTAGCATGGCATGTCATCACCATACGATGGGCCCTCAACCCAAGAGGGCGTCATTGTTTCCTATATAGCGTTCCCTTGTTGAGGTGCGTCTCATCTATTTTTTGTATACACATCGGCTTCCCGGAAAGATGCCAGAACTGCCCACTTATATGAGCATGAATGAACTTCCGAGGGGCACTCTTCCAGTTTCGTAACCTGGCGGAGGGCTCCATTGTTCTGTATATAGCATTTCTTGTTGGGCTGAGTCCGATCTGCGATTTGCCCTGCCGCCCCATATCCACGCCGGCTTCTCGGATCGACGCCGAAGCCGCTCACTTCCATGAGCATGGATTTGCAGGGGCCACTCTTCTAGTATCGCAACCTGACTGTCTTCTCCGGTCACCGTAGCTTCTCCGCGGGTCTCAGGTCGTCTCGGAACAGCGGCGACGCCATGACTCTGCCTGCCCTCTGTCCATGCTACGGCACCACAGCTCACAGGCTTCAGTGGGCGCCGGCGTGGGACCTTGGCACCGCAACCATGTACTGACACCGGCCATCCCAAGGTCTGCTGTTTCGTTCTGGGATCTTCCCTCTTTGGGCTCTTGCGCACATGAGACGGTGCCAGCTACCTTGTCAGCTAGCTGTGCATGAGTATCATCATACGACACGTCGCCGAGTTGGCGGCTGGCATGAAAACTGACTGGTAAGGCTCTGGAGCTTGGAAATTAAGGATGAGTCTCGTCGTCAGCTCAAGTACATGTGCTCTGAGTCGTTGACGACCGCCATAGCTATATTATTGTTATTTTTGAAATTACACGAGTAACGTCAAGGAGATAAGAGCTATATAATGGCCGCATCTGCCCGTCTAGCCAGATGTGTTGCATCACTATCGCTTTGAGTTTCTTTAGCATCACTCTCTCTGAAGCCCTTCTCTCTTTTCGAGATCAAATAGATCATACCACTCTTTTCTTCGTCCTACTGCCAACGCCATCATGAAGTACTCCCTCGTGCTCGTTGCTGCTGTCGCGGCTCTTGAATCTTTCGGGCTTGCCGCTCCCGCCGGTGTGGACGCCGGGGTTGACGCCTTGGTTGTCTCCGGCCCAGGCAGAGAGGCGTCGACCAACGTCGGCGCCGAAACCAAGGCCGGTCCCCAAGGAGCGGAGGGCGAGGCCCGAGGCTCCCTCGTTGGTGATGCTGGCGTTATTCAGCTGCAGCTGCAGCTCAGCTCGCAGGATGTGTCTCAGGAGGTCGCCAAGGCCGGCCTTCCAGAGAACGTCAAAACCCAGCTCTCTCAGGTAGCTGAACAGAGCGGCCCGGTCAATACGGAACAGGACCTCGCCAACGTCGTTGGTGCCCTCAGCAAGGCCGCCGCTGACGCCACCAACGGCGACAACGCGACTCAGGCCCCTGTGGTCTTGGCATCGATCAAGGGAGTCATTCACAACGCCATGGGCGAAAGCACTGCCTCCAATGTTGTCATCGGTGCCGCCGTTGTCGCTGCCACTGTCGGAGAAGAGCTCGATGTTGTCATCAAGATCACCATGGATACCATCAAAGCTCTTCAAGAAGCCGCCAAGAGTGCCTCCCCACCTTCCGGCGATGTTTCCACTGCCGCTGGAAACGCGGATGGGCTGAACGCTGCTGAAGTTAGCTCTTCCGCCAAGCAGAACTGCAACTCTGATACATGTCGCACTGCCATCAAGTCCGTCATCGATTTGTTGAGCCAGGGCAGCAGCCACGATGTCGCCGCCACATTTCTCGTGGCCGTTGAAGCCTTGGGCAATTACAAGTCTGTCAACGTCAGGGTCGAGACTGACTTCGCCGAGAAGGTTGTTCCCAGCCTCAAGGAACTCGGCCCTGACGCGGATGGCCAGGCGGCTGCAACCAAGATTGGTCAAATCGTCCAGAACCTGCAACTGGACAACACACTGCCATCCGAGACTGCCAAGCAGGTCACGGACGAGGCCAACAAGGCTGCGCAGGACCTTGCGAAGCTCCCCACTGCCAAGGAAGCTTCCGCCGAGGCCACAAGCGCGTCGTCCCCCGGCGAAAAGGTCTGCGCCGACGCGGCTAAGAAGATCTTCGACAAGTGCCTACAAGATCTTCCCAAGGACCAGCGCCTCGACCGCGAGGGCTGCGCCAACCAGGAGCGCAAAGCCAAGGAGGAGTGTCTCACCCCCAAGGCCACAAGCGCGTCGTCCCTCGAGGAAAAGGTCTGTACCGACGCGGCTAAAAAAATATTCGACAAGTGCCTGGATGACCTTCCCGAGGACCAGCGCCTCGACCGCGAGGGTTGCGCCAACCAGGAGCGCAAAGCCAAGGAGGAGTGTCTCGCGGGCGCGCCGGAGCAGACCCTGAAGGCCCCGAAGGTTCCCACCAAGAACAACTGCCGCGCCAAGGGCTTCAAGGCCTTTAGTCGTTGCAAGAAGGAGAAGCCCACTGATTTTGAGGCCTGCAGCGAAGAGGGCCGTAAGGCCGAGAAAGAGTGTGGTGCTTCTAAGAAGCAGTAGCAGTGGAGGCAGGGCGCTTGGTGACTTACACCCGCTGTACATAGCTACCGCTCCCTAGAATATATAAGTACTCAAAGTTAGCGATTCGCTCGTACAAAGCAGACCGACTGACCATGCGGCGATTAAGCCTCAAGAGGGGTCGAGCATTCTATGTGGAAATCGCCTGGGCTTGGTTCTCCCGTGCTCCATCCGGCGGAGCTGGCTGCGTCTGTTACATATGAGTCGTCAGCCTCCACACAGTGTTTTCTTGGCCGCAAAGATTCACAGTGAAAGCTCTTTGAAAATGTGAGGTGTCCTGCTGAGTTCGTGCAATAGTTCCAGGGCTTCTCCACAAGAGAGACCCCGATCGGTCGAGTTGCGTAGGGTGGATCCCATGCTCTGCCACAACGACGACGGCGATATGGTGGACGCACCCACCAGTTTCGCATGGTTGCGAGGGCTCCGCGTGCTCACCATGCATGGCCTGCCGCCGTCTATGCAGCCGATGTGGGGGCCAGCGAAACGAAACGAAACGAAACGCCCGGCCGGGGAGGTATTTGGTGGTGGGTAGGCGCGAGTACAATAAAGGGCTCCTCATGTGGCTTGGAAGTCGACGACGTATGAAGTCTGCTTCTCAGGTTCCCGCGTTTGCTGGCCTCATCTTTCCGTCAACTGCAACGGAGCAAGTCGGCTGAGACGCCACATCTCACATGTGCATATTGATCGGTCGGCGAGCCATTGCCGGCAATTGGCTAAGCATGGGAGAGACTACAGTAGCAGTCAGCTAGCTCTGTCTCAGATGCTTCCTAGTTGCTAGCCATGTCTTGTCCGCAACCACGAAAAGAGGCACATCTCCAACAGCGCCTCTTGGGGGCCGCTGCTGTTGCCGATGGGACGAGGGGCATGGCGCCAGACGACAACTGAGGCCAAGGGAAAAAAAGTGACGATGCGTGCTGCGCGATCTGAGACAAGCATCACCCAATGTCAGCAGAGGGTTTATGGCAGATGCGGGATGCAGGCAGGCGCGCCAGAGACGAGCCTTGCGCGAGCGGCTGAAGCACGGCGTACCCCTGCTAGGCCCATCCATCCGCTGATGAGACATTTCGACTCGGCCAACAGACGGCTGGGTGAATGCTGCTGTCCAGACGAGCAAAGGGGGGGTTGAAGGTGATGGTGACATGGGGGTGAAGCATTTCCATTCCGGAGTATTAGTCACGCAGTGCTGTGCTGATTACTAACGGGCCACCTCGGTCATGGAACTCAGATGCGGCTGGCCTCGGGGAAACACCAAACTATACAGATGGAAGCATTTGCTTGCCGTTGGCCTTGGTTTCAAAACAGAGCAAAGAGTCTAGCTGCCATCCTCTCGGGTGCTCAGAGCCCCCTGCCCATCAGGCAGAGATGGGGCGGAGGCCTAAGCCTGCTGAGGTAATACGTGCCACTTGCGCCTGATTTTTCCTTTGTCTAACAACAACACCTTGATCCTCCAGTCAAAGATGGATGCAGATTTGCAACCACACCAGAAGAGCGACGTCGCACGCATCATCGCCACGACTTTGCACTCGCTCTCATGTGATCCAATCCCAGTCCGCAAGACTCACTTTTCCAGCCACGGTCTGCCAACCAAGCCCCATGCATGGAACAGATATGCCTCTACCTCGACCCCTGATCCTGCTTCTGCCTAAGCCAAGCCGCTTGCTCGCTCGTCTCGGGCATATGGGAATATGGCGCCGTCGTCAAAGCTCTAGGGCTTCGTGCCGCCACCCGAACTGGCTTAGCATCCCGCTTGGCCATCCCTGCCTGAACTGTACCAGCCGCTGTGCAGGAACAAGTGTGCCTCTGCGACTCGTTGCCTATTCCTCTCCGCGGCGACTCGATGCCGCTTCCGCTGCGTTGACTCGGTCGATGCCCTCCCCATGACAGCACCGTCTCCCAATCGGCTACACTTCTGCCCGTGCTCCTTTCCGTCCCAAGTCAGTATGGGATGCGGTACTTGACTAACCAATAACGGCAAGCAATGGGCCCCTTGCCGGCGCTCGCCACGACACGAGGACCGAGGACCCTTGCTCGAGACTCACGCCATCTACTTTGTTTTGCCCTTTCTCGGCCTCGATGCTCATCAAGTCGAGAATGTCTTGAGCATGTGCGGTCGAGGCATCGCTCGGCAACATCTCACTCTATGACCGGCGAGACATAGTGTACTCCAATCATGTTATGCACTGAAGCCAAGCGGCTCCGGGCGGCAAGCCAAGACGGCCGTATCCCGTTCAAGAAACCAGTACTCACTGAAGGCGACGGTACCTGCCGGATGGCGAAGTCAAGGTCGAGTCTTGCAAGAAGCGAGAGATGTCTCCATTTCCTGGGACTCAAGGAGCGACAAGAAGCACTTTTCTCGCTCTTCTCGACGTTGTCGCCAACGGAGTATCATGCCTGATCTTTCTACCTACTATAAAGGTAACTTGCCAGTCATCATGTAGTGTTCGGAGACCTACGAAATGCCTGCCGTGAATTTGGGCGTGGAGCCGGAACCAGTGCGTTGGGGGCGCATTGGGATACACCAGATGACTTGGGCCGCGTCGGTTTCGCGAAGGACTCCAATGAAGTTGCTACTATGCAGTCTTCGAGGAGCTCCAGAACAAAATCCATGGAAGCACCCATGACGGACCAAGACGCAAGTCATTACCGCATCTTGGTAGGGTCCATGGTCAATTATGTCGTCGTCGCAGCCGGCTCTCATTGACACGCCGCTTAACTTTGAAAGCATCCTTCCGCCGCTGCCTTGCCGCGACAGCCCTTGGAGATTGCTCATATATCCCGTGCCCCCTCTCCAGCCAACTTCAAGTCGTCCTTTATATGACAACAGCTCAGAGCAGCGCGAAAAAGGTGACGCTCGGTGCTCATTGACTTTTCCGGCATTGGAACCCGGTTCTGGGCCATGTCCCCGAGCAAGGCTGTGTTATTGGCATATCTTGCTGGAGAGAGGGTCGAGGGTCGACGTGGGGAATCGCGGACCTTGAGATGTGCGCGCAGCGGCTCTGAATGCCTCGGTGCGCCGTGAGTCGTTCATGGGGACTGCAACCGGTACAACATTGCCATTGGCCTTGGAAACACGGCCTTTGAGAAGAGCAGCATCGGTGCGGACGAGGATGCCATGGAGAAGGAGACGTCAACGAGGCGCAACTTACTGAAGAGACTGGGGGCGGAGGCCCGGCCGTACTGATTGGACGACGACGACGAATTGCATCCCAAGACTTGAAAATGAATGAAGACCAATATCGAGTTGTATCGAGGCCTGTGAGTAGGCGGCTGGTGTGCACACGCACGTACCCTGCTAGGCCCGTCCTGGTGTTGAGACATATCCACGGTCTGGCAGCCAGTAGAAGCAGAAGCAGCACGTCGCGACGGACGATCCATCAATGCCAGGCTGCCGGCTGGCCCGCCCGATGCCCTTGTCTTTAGGGGGAAGGGGGAAGGGGGAAGGGTGTCAGCGTCTCACGAATGCGCTCGGGGCATGGGAATGTGGGCTCTTTGCGAGCACGTTTTGACGCTCCACGGGAGGGCCCATAGCGGGCCGCTGGGACGACGATGACAGGGTTATGGCGAGTCGATAGCCGAGGTGGGGGGCAGGATGGATGACGGATATTCGGGCGCGCGCCTCTCTCCGTCTCGCTGTCTCTTATCACTTCCCTTTTGCACGGGGGAAGTTGACGATCGAGATGAAGGGCTTGCGATGGCGCTGCTGACGCGGCAAAGGGTGAACAGGACAGGTTGAATGATGCCCTTGCGACTGGGAACCGGGTCGAGATTCCACGAGGACTGAGTCCTTGCATGTCCATACAAAAGCAAGCACCAAGACAGACAGCTGCGCCTCGATTTGCCTGCAGAGACGGCACTTTCCACCCACCCGAGCAACATTGCCCCGAGGCACGTCGTGCGCCAAAAGGAAGCGTGGCCGAGACGCCGTGTCAGACAGAAAACGTCTTGCATAGGAAAGGGCATCGTCATGTCTGTGGGAGTCGGGTGCTGTAATTACGTACATACTGTACACTACTTGGCACGTAGACACACAATCTACTACTAAGTACCTACCAGTACCTAGGTGTCTAACTAATTACCTACCTACCTAGGTACCTTACCTACCAGGTAGGGAGTATGCGGAGACTGGTGGTGCATGGCCATATGTACAGTACAGTACAGCATGTGCATGCATCTCCCCCCGTCGTCCACCGAGTTCCGTCTCCTCTTGCTGGGGGCTTGGCAGCATGTAAGTTACTGTATTGTACTGTATTGTAGCTCGATGCAACATGCATCACGGACGAGCAGTCATCCTTGGTCTTGCAACGCGGCAGAGCCACGGCGAAAAAAGCTCCGACGTCCGGATCTGTTCGTATCCCGCTGCAGGTATGGCACATGCTCATATTGGCCTGATGAGTAGATGGGGAAAAGCCTGCATTAGCTGGCCGCAGTCGGCTATGCTTTGCGCCTGGTCCGAGACGCTATCAGAAACGCGTTTCTCTCTCCACAGGCAAAGACCCTTATACCGCCTACTGTGGTTGTATGCGGGAGATCAGTCAGTCGCCAGTCGTACGACGAGGCCCATGGATGGACGGATTCTCGACCGGGCCCCATCCCACTCCTCCTCCATTTCCCCTCTCCTCCTCAGCGGGCGCCCGCCGCAGCGCAAATCGAGGGCCGGCGCGTCAATGGCGCAAGTCTTGTTCGTGCCGTACCTACTCCATAGTATGTATGTACATGCGCCGTGCGCCCGCCGCCGAGTCTTTGCCCGACTGGCCTCCAAACCGTACATACACCATACCCACACCCCCCGCCAGACTCTCAGCGGGGCGTCGCCGTCACACATGCATCTCAACTGGGCATGGAGTTCTGGGGACAGGCAGATGCACTGCAACTCCGACCAGCCAGCCAGCACGCACCGTCAGCCCACACGATCTGCCCGCCCGCGCCGCCGATTGCAAGCGATCCCCAGGGCAATCTCGGAAAAAGAGGCCTCGAGACCACTAACCAGGGTCCCGTCTCTCTCTCCCCCCACACTAGCCGTTTGAATCGGATACGGCAGGTCGTTTGTTCAGCGTGGCGCACATGCTGAAATGCAAGTCGTCGTACCTACCAGCCCCTAGATGCTGCCACTGGATCCGGTGTATGTCGACTCCACACGTGCCTCATGGCTGCTTTGCACCGTGTCGTGCGTGTACATGAGTAGATGAGGTGTGCGCCAGGTAATACTGCAACGTCCGAAGTGCGTCGGCTCTTGCTTCTCGTCTGGTCCAAGCATCCGTCGATTTAGGATATCTTGTCTTGGCGCCCCCTGCCATCACGCATCAATCCACAAGTCTTGCTTTCGCCTTGGAGCCCAAAAGGTTCACAGTCAAGACCAAGAAGGGGGCGCCGGCGACGAGGAGGGGGACCGCGATGATGCATGGCCGTCGTAGGCCAGTACCTGCATGCCAATGGAAACACTTTTTCCCTGCCTCTGGTTGGACAATTCGAGCCCGCCTCTTTTCTCTTGTCTCACCAGCTGCTCCGTTGCGTGCAGGGAGCCGTAGGGGTCCGCGTGTGTCACAGGCCCCCCCCCCCCGGTCAGAGATATCGTGAGGCGTCATCTTTCTTGTTTTGTTGCCCAGGAAAACCACGGCTTTGTTCATCGGCCACGGCCCGGCAGCTTGCCGAGCGGAGGGACGAGAGAGGCTCGACGAGGACACTCGTCGACGTGCCCAGTGCTCCCTCTTGGCAACACGGCCAACAAGTCTGGGGTCAGGCGAGCATCACGATACATGATAGGCCGTCGTCGACATGACGTCGATGGGAAATGCCCAGAATCGAGTGGGCACCGAGCTCAGCGAGCGCCCTTATCGGCCCATGCCCGCCCAACTTGACCTGGATGCAGCCGCCAGGGCGAAAGAGCAGCTGGCGACGCTGGAGGCAAATCCCGAGGAGCATTGCGATGGTGGTGCTTTGGCCGGCAAACGGCGGGCGATGGACGAGAGTAGACGCCGGCTCGAGGACAAAGACATGGGCCAGGACCGCAGGCAGAAGCGCGCGACACAAATGGCCAGCCAAGTGGTGAGGTGGGGGAGGTCAGAATAACCTAGCCTTTCTGCATGGAGATGCAACAAAGAGACGCTCACATGCCAGCCGGGGGCCTCTCTGTCTCCGCACCAGCCTTTGGGGTGCCACCACCACCATCATGGCCGATCGAACACGATGAGGAGGGGGGGGTGGAGGAGGGGAGGTCGGGGTCAGCCAGGGGGGAAGCATGTACATTGCAGTATGTATGTAAGAGAGCGCCGAAGCGAAAAAATGACCAAAACACTGGAGAGAGACGACGGCTATGCCAGTGGTTTGCGGCCATGTGTGGAGGAAGCGAGAGATGGAGGATTGGATGTGACGGAGCAAAAAGACCTGAGGGGGCACGTATACGGGATTGCCCGCTGTGGGCGCTGGTAGCCTAGAGGTCGATGCTAAGTACTGTAGGTATTTGCTTAGGGCCAAGAAGACCACTGGCAGCTCAACAGTACCAGTTTGATGTCCATTGCTGCATGTACAGTACGTCAGTCTCTCTTTTTTTAGAAAAAAAAAGGAACATTGCCTCTACCGCCTCTCGACTCCAGGGTGACGCACCTTGCGGAGTATACATCCGTACTCGGACGGACTTTAGACGGACGTGAAGCTGTCCGTCCACGGCTGCCCAGGCAGGTATAGTAAGTAATTATATAGTACCATATATGTACATGGATGCGGTTCACTTGGGAGTGCCTACGAGTCGGGGTAGAAGAGTACCTAAGTACCCTACCTACGGTAGTTGAGAGAGTCCCCTACCTAGTACCTTAGTAACACAGAGGCAGCGGAGAGACAAGGCACGCCTCGGCTCTCTCCCTTGTCTTGCAAGTCTTGAATCAACAATGGCATTGGGACGGCACTGTTGCCGGTACGTGTCGCGGCAGTTTCAAGGTTTCATGCCGTTTTGCTCTAGAGTCGCTTCCATGCCACGCACGCCCACGATCTGCCAGCATGCAACAAGGCAGAGCAGGCAGGGCCTCTGCGTGGGAACAGGCTCACATGCATTGCCTTGGACTATAGGCGCCACGGTGGTGATATTACGTGTAGAGGGAGCGTAGGTAGACGTGTGTGGGCCATGGGATGGTGCCCTCGAGGAACCGCCCACCAAAAGGTCTTGCACAGACCGAGAGAAAACAATTGTCCGTGTCTGATGCCCGAATATTCCCGTCCTGGACGAGTCCTTTTCAGCAAGGAACCTCCTCCGCTAACAACGCATGCCCGTAAATGACTGTCTCCTCCCCGCGCCATCGAAGTGGATCCCGCTAAAGCATTGAATCTCAGCTGGCCACACCCCCTCGCCCACTAGCACACCCCCTCCTGTAGCCCCGTCGCTGCAGTCTCTCTCGTTTGTTTTATCTTGCTCATCGATCCATCTTTCTATCTTTCTCCACCAAGCCTTGATTGATATGCTGATAATTATTCTATCGAGGTACGGTTAATTATGGATGGATACGAGCTGGCATGGCAAGGTTCGCAGAGCCAAAGCTCTGTCTGTCTGTCTGTCTGTCTGTCTGTCTGTCTATCTGTCTATCTGTCTGTCTGTCTGTCTGTCTGTCTGTCTGTCTGTCTGTCTGTCTGTCTGTCTGTCTGTCTGTCTGTCTGTCTGTCTGTCTTTCTGTCTGCCCCACGGCTTGCTTGTCTGCCATTGTCCAGCCCGAGACGACAGCAGCGTTGACCGACGACAGCAGCGCTTGGTGGCCGTGGATTACGACCAAGGCCGCCGGCTATACAGTACATGTCCTCCTCTGTCTGCTGCATGTTGGCGAGTCGTCGTCGGTGTAGCAGCCCAAAGGATCCAATTTCCTGCTCTCCAGAGCCTTGCATGTAGGTACCCCCCCCCCCCCCTTTTGGGTGGACGACGCAGTGGGGGCAGGTACCTCGCCGTTGGTCAATCACGCACATGCATCCGTCTTCACTGGACCCTCGCCGTCGTCGTCTTTGCACCTCTCGTCTCCTCCCAGCAGACAGACGACGCCTGCTCCCATTATCGACGGACCCTACCTATACCTACCGACCTGTATGCATGACATGCCCCATCCAATGGATGACGGATGGGACGGCCAGACAGCCAGCCGACATGTCCCCTCGGCATGCACACGCTTCCTCACCCTCACTCATTCTTACCACCCACACGCCGCACCGCGCATACACACATTCACACACATACACACATACACACACGCACGCTCGCTCATATATGCCCTTTATACGTACCTACATGCATACTGTACGTCTTGTACCTCTCGTCCTTCAACCTACCTTACCCGACCTCGCTCTGCCGTCGTGTATATATCCCCAGACCCCGTCGTCCCCCGTCCTCTCTGCTCCTCGGTCGTGAGTCATGGAAGACAGCGCAGTATCGCGCCGTCCTGGGTTTGGGGATCTGTCCACTCCTCGAGACCTTCGTTCGCCTCTTTGAACGACTGCACTCCCCATTCTTCCCGCGCCTGCTCCCTCCTCCTCCCGGCCTTGGACACGCTTCGAGTCTGCGCTGCATCGGGTTTCGGGTTTTCTGGCGTCGGTGGGATTGCTGCTGCTAATTCGGGGCACCCGCGAGCAGCATCGGGCGTTGTTATGTGGCCTTCCCTTTCATACCTACGTCTACGTGCATCGCGGACGCGTCTAGGCTCCGGGCCTGCTCGCCTCTCTATTAAACCGCATACCTGCCCGCCTTTTCTTTCCTTTCCCTGCGTCGCCCACTCTTCACAAAGACTGTGCCTTGCGCGTGAGGGGGGTTGCTAAGGGAAGGCGTATTGGACGGAACGCCGCCTTTGCCAGAAGGCCGAGGGCGCAGTTCTTGCCCGAGTAACACTGCTTGTGCCTCGTCCCCCATCGTGGACCGTCTCGCTTCGCCGTAACCGAGGGCCACGCAAGAGGGACGTCGCGGCCGAGAGGGCCTCCATGGACCATGCCGCCGACCGACTGGCTGCCATCGCCGGCCGCCTGCTTGTCGGCTTGGCGCGCGACTTCCGCCCCTCGCCCGCCTTCTGGGCCTACGTCTTCTTGGGCTTGTGGTGGGTTCGCAAAGGCATTTGCTGTCGCTGCCTCCGCCCCCTCTCCCCCAAAAAACAGACGGCCGCGCCTGGGCGGGTGTGCTAACACGCTGGGCCGCCAGGCTGCACCGATATCTTCGCCTGCTCGTCCACTGCGTCGCCCATTGGGCCTACCGGTCCAAACCCGTCCCGGACAAGCCCTCGTTTACCCACGACGACGTGACGGTTGTCATCCCGACCATCCACAACGTCTTTGAGGAGCTCGAGCCCTCGCTGCGCAGCATCCTCGCCTGCCAGCCCGCCGAGCTGATACTCGTCACGACGCACGACAAGCGCAGGGCCCTCGAGCGCCTGGCCCGCTCGCTCGGCCACGACAACATCCGCGTCCTCGACACCCCCATCGCCAACAAGCGCCTCCAGGTCTGCGAGGCCCTGCCCAATGTCAAGACGGCCATCACCGTCATGGCCGACGACGACGTGACGTGGCCCTCGACCATGCTGCCCTGGATCCTCGCCCCCTTTGAAGATCCCGCCATGGGCGGCGTCGGCACCTGCCAGAGGGTCAAGCGGGAGCGATCGGGCCCCTGGTCCACGCGCGCCTGGAACTGGCTCGGCGCCGCCTACATTGAGCGCCGCAATTTTGAGATATCCGCCACCCACAACCTCGACGGCGGCACCTCGTGCATGTCGGGCCGCACCGGCGCCTACCGATCCGAGATTCTCTCGAGCCACGACTTTCTCTACGGCTTCAAAAACGAAAAGTGGCGGCGGTGGATCCTCAACGCCGACGACGACAACTTTGTCACCCGCTGGCTCGTCAGCCACCAGTGGAAGACGTGGATCCAGTACAGCCGCGAGTGCGAACTCGAGACGACGCTCGAAAACGGCCACAAGTTCCTCTACCAGTGCTCGCGCTGGGCCCGCAGCAACTGGCGGAGCAACTGGACCAGCCTCGTCCGAGACCGCCACGTGTGGAGGTAGGCCCCCCCCTGCTGTCGGCTCGGGAGAGCACTGCTGAACATGGCCGTCCAGACAGCAGCCCTGGTGCACGTACGCGCTGCACATTGCCACCTTTACCTCGCTCGCCTTCGCCATCGACCCCCTGCTGCTTGCCTCGTGCTGGTGGGCCACGGCCGACTGGGACATGGACCAGCGCCGATGGGCCTTTTGGGCCCAGTTTATCTTCATGTTTGTCTTCACAAAGGTGGTCAAGCTCATGGGGCTCTTCCTGCGCAACCCGGCCGACGTCGTCTTCCTGCCCGTCTCCATTGCCTTTGGCTACTTCCACGGCCTCGTCAAGCTGTATGCGCTCTGCACCCTCAACATGGTATGCCGCCGATGAAGCAAGGCGAGAAGCCACGTCCCGAGCCCGCTGACCACCCATTGCAGACGTCGTGGGGCAGCCGGGCCGATGGTGATGCCAATGACGAGCAGCGACTCACCCCAGCTCCCCAGCCGTCTGGCGTCTTGGATATCCCGCCGGGCAAGGATATTCCCCGCTACAGCGACCGTCAAAGGGCACGGCAGGCTTGCGGCCGGATCGACAGGGAAGCGGCATGGGAGAAGTACGGACATGTCGCCTACGATTCCAGCACTTGCCGCGTATCCATCTGCAAGCCGGAGCCAGTGCTCCCCAAGCTCCTGACCGGGGCGACCAGCCAACTGGTTGAGGCTTCGTGACTGTTGACTGCAGCTCAGCGGGTGGCGGAAAAACGGGGCCTGCGCCCGTTTCCCCATGTCTTTGCATTTATTTCCCTTTGTCTCTACCCTTTTTTTTCCCTTGGCCATTTTCTGGCTTCATCACATCGGGACGGGAGCAGAGGAGCAACAGGACTCTGCCTCGTGTAATACATTGGGCGAGCGTTTTGCTTTTTCACCATGGCCTGCTCTGCGCTGCATTTATTCCTTGTTTCTCTTTTTTACCCTTTTCCCACCTCGGTCTAATCTGGCATGCACCATGATTGACGATGTACGGCTTACATGGGAACCGGCCCGGTCTGGCCAAGTGCGCTTTGTTCTTTAGAGGGGCGGCAAAAGTGAACTTTGGGATGGCATCGCGTGTACGGAAAAGAGATTGGCGGCGGCATGGAAAGGTCGGTAAGCGTTGGGAACTTGACTAATGTTTACGCCTCGGGGGCTGAGGGAGGGCTGCTGGCTGCTCGCGCCACGCATGTGCCAGTAAGGCTGTCCGGGGCCCAGGATCAGGACAGGGGGCTGAGGGGCGCAGGTTCCGCTCGGCGGAGTGCGGCAGCCAAGACTGGCTCACCGCGTCCCTCAAGGCTCAAGGAGCGTGCGGTGGAGGCGCGGCCAAGGCGCATGGGGCTTTTGAGTGTTTCGAGGGGCAAGGGTTGCCGGTAGAGTGGAACGGGCCTCGACGACTACGCAAGAGAGACAGAGGCGAGAGCGGGAGATGAGTCTCGGAGCCCGGAGCCTGGGCTTACTTGTCACTCCATGTATTTTTGAACAGGCTGGACCAAGGCCAAGGTAATCATAGCAGCGAGAAGGCCGCCATTGGGGGTCGGATCAGGCTACCGGGACATGCCTACATACACGCATAGCGAATAGGTGGCTGTGATATTGCCCGAGAGGGCCAATGGACGGCGCGGTGCAGCTGCAGATCTCGATGCGGCGTGCGAGTTGCACGACGGCCGCTAGGCCGTTGGACGGCAGACACCCTGCTGCCTACCTTACCTACTGCCTACATTCTGACAGTACGTACAGTATATGTGCGGGCACGTTGGCGAGGGAGATGAGGGTGCTGATGGTTGACGATTATGCACCTCCATACATATAGCCGAGGCATGTACGGACAGACATGCATACCGAGTAGGTACCGAGGGCGTCGTCTTACATGGCATGCGGACTCTCGCCGGATCACGCCTCGGTTTCTACCCGGTAGAAAAAGGGCGCGGATGGCATCTCGGGAGGACAAGACTTGTCAGGGCTGGATGGGAGACGGTGGCAGAGACGGCAATGGCTAATTGGACGCGGGATTACGTTGACCAAGGACCAAAGAGAGAAAGGAGAAAGGAAGTCAAGTCTGGGAGGGTACAAAAGGGTGCCTATATAGGTAGGGTAGGTAGGTAGGTAATTAGCCACTGTAATTACTGAACATGACAGATCTGGGACGTCTGCGGGGCCTCGTGGCACCGCTGCCTGAGGTGCGTGGCCACCCATCCCGTCTGCAGTTGTGCACCAACGTGCCTTGTGTAATACAGATGGAGAAGAGGGTTGGTTATTTTCGGTCTACTCTTGTACGGCACGAGCACAAGGTGGGCATGGACGATGGATATATATGTGGTGAGTGTTGAGCGCATGTGTGTGCGTGTGTGTTTACGGAATATGCATCCCGAATTGCGCACGATTACATGTAAATATATATATATATATATATATACACACACACATATATATATACACACACAGATATATACACACACATATATATACACACATATATATATACACACACACATATATATACACACATATATATATACACACACATATATATACACACACATATATATATCTGTGTGTGTGAGTACCAGAGTCCGTCCTCGAACAAGGGAGCCAAGGCATCCGGTGACTAATCCTCTTTCTTACCCGCTACTGCAAGGTATGCAAGGCGTCGTCTGTACTCGAGTGTGCCGAATGTACATACAGTACAGTAGGCAAGGCAAGGTCCTATGTAAGTCTGCTGCTGCCATACCTATTATATCGCCGCTGCCGATCTGTGGTCGAGGCGTCTGCTGAAAACGACACTCTGCACCTCCACTCGCCTCGGCACTTTTCCCGTGCCTTTCCTTTCCTTTTCTGTATCTTTTCTTTTTTCGACAGATTTCTTTTCCGCCCCCACCCATTCAAGGAAGGACAGGGGCGCGCCCCACCGATGGAGAACGTGCGCGGGACGGGGGGGAAACAAAACCACGACGTTTTCTCCCTCGGCTCAGGGCGGCGGCGGGAGGGGGGCCGGTGAAGGGGATCGCATATGCGTGGCGTCTCGTCTCGTGGACTCGGTGTGGCCAATGCGAGAGGGGGCGGGCATCGTGTGATGCCGGTGCTGGGGGGTTTGTGGGTGGATGAAGGGCGGAGAAGGAGGACAGTGGATGGAGGCCGTGAGGGCGGGAGAGGCAAGTGTGTGAGGCGGAGAGGGAATGAGGGTGAGGGTGAGGGTGAGGGTGAGAGAGACTCATCAGAGTGAGTGAGAGCGAGGTGAGTGGATTAGGCACCGAGTCTAGTTAATTACGTATAAGTTAGTACCTAGGAGCAAAGAGTTGCACCTACCCTACACACGGCGCCTTTTCCCCCCTCCTTTCTTCTCCTCGGTTTCACCACCAACCTCTCCCCCCTCCCCCATCTCTCACTCCTCCACCACTCTTTGCCATGCCGTCTTGCCGAAAAACACGTCGTCGAGTCCAACAAAACCACGCAGAGCTGCCCAATTCCCAACCGAAAAGGGAAAACGGCAAGGGCCATCGAAGCCCGGCCACCACCATCTGCATCGCCTCCGAGATGCTGGGACAAACAACGACACAAAGCTGCTGGCCCGAGGCAACTCGCCCCGTCTGCCATTGACGATGCAAACAGACGATGCACACGCCTCCCTCTCCCAGGCACAGGCCCCGTCTCCCGAACACGAGGCCCTTCGATGCCGAGAGCAGCCTCGTTCGTGCCCGGTATCGCTGTGGGCTGCTTGATGAAGATGGAAGCCCATGGAAATGTCGTCGTGCTTCCCGTCATCGTGAGTGGATCCCACGCTGCCCACGGCAGCTACAAAGGTGCCTATTATCCAGTATATGTATGCACCTCTGTGGTATATATCCCATTCATGTACAACGCACCTGGCCTCGGCATGAGGCAAGAAGCGGCAGTGCTTCCGCTTCCCCCCAGAGCCTCGGATAGCCACATGACTTCCCGGTCACTGGATATCCGGGCCAAGGCATCTTTGGCACAGTCTCGGATCGTGAGAGCCCAAAGTGAGCACTCGCCAGCCGCCGACCCCTCTTTCTTCTCCCCCCCGCGGCCCCATCCCTCTCCTCTCCCCCCCCCCTCTTCCCTCTTCCCGCCCACATCCCTCCTCTCACCCACAGGTCTCGGACGGACCGTGGTCCCGCCAAGTGCCGAGGCACCCGACGTTTCCCACGAGGCTTGACTCCGCACCACCGCCTTCCCCCTTGTGCTACCGTCACACTTGCTTCCCCTCCCTGGCCTTGACAGCCACCCCCCAACCGTCGATCCCTTCTTCCGCGGACAGATCAAGGCTACAGAACGGCCAGCGGAGTCCGGGATCCCCCTCTTTCCCTCTCTCGCGAAGGGGGGAAAGGGGTTACGTCAAGTTGCACAAAATCGTTCCGGGCCAGATCGATGGCTTATGTGACGGTGCTGATTTGATAGATCAGCACCGGGTATATCTCAGATCGGCAGCGGGGCGGACACGCGGTGGAGGCCGGGGATGCCATTGCCTTCCCGTGCCCCCCTGATGTAGCCATTTCCCTCGTATATACTGTACATGTGCCGTACGTATGCTCATCACATCATATACACGTACGGGACCAGGGCCCGTATGAATACGCATAATCTCGAAGGCTGGAGCTGTCCACATGTGGACACGGGGGCCAAGGGAGAGCGAGGTATCTCGGTTTGTGTGCATGCCCTGAGTGACGCCAAAGCAGCAGCGAGAAAGGCAAAGTCGTCGAGGTTGCAGCACCTCACGGGCTGCTGTTGCTGCATACGCACACCGAGAGCCTCGACTAGCCGGCAGAGTAGCTTTTGACGGACAACATCCGCTGCTCTATCTGCAGGCCAACGAACTGGGTGGGCTTACAGTACGAACACAGCAACAACAACAACAACAATAATAACAACAGTTTGCTGATGACGCGCCATCTCTCCTTCTTGCCTCCCCCGCATGGTGACGACGTTTGGGGTGTTTGCGCCGGTGTGGGCGGCGGCGGCGGCGGCGGCGGCGGCTATCCGGACCCGGGGTGTGATTGTCCCCCCTGTATTGCTTTTTGTGTTTCTTTTCTTGTCTCTGGCCGTTGCAGATATGGAGAGCCCCATGTCAGGACGGCGCGCAAAAAGCAAAACCACTGGAAGAGCAAACGAGGATTGAGATCCAGGGTCTGGTCATTTTGTGTTTCCTTTTTCTAATTCCTCGGCATTTAGGGGTTCTTTCTTTTTCTCCGCTTGTGCGACATTGGGTGATTTGGAGAAATCTGGGCAACGGAAAAGGGGTATGCAGATGTGGCGAGTAGGTATCTTGAGTGTGCTCTTTCTGATGTTGAAATTCAGTGTCCCTGGGCTACATGGTAACTAACTTACAGTACTCACTGGACAAGCAACTGCTGGAGAGCGTATTCGGGATGTTGATGGCAAGGTGGACATGTACAGTACTCCTGGCATGGGCGAAGTGTGAAGGCAATTTACTGATACTTGGCAAGACAATGACACGGGCCGGTAGCACAGACACGCAACGCGACTGCATGAACGCCGCAAAGGGAATGCATTTCCGCAACGAACCTCGCTTGCTCGACTCACTCTCCCTGCCCACACCCTGACCGACACACCTTCAAGGGCCACAAGACAGTGACGGGGAAGGAGAGCACGGAGAGGGGTTAGCAGCCAACAACATGATGCCGAATCACCAAAACACACACGATGCCCACGAGACCAGTCACCTCTTCCTTTCGGAGGGTGGGGACAACCCCCTGACCGTGGGGGCCGGAGAGGCTGAGACACGAAGAAACAAGCACGATGGTAAACTCCCGAGGGCAAGACAAGAGCGAGACAGGGCCCGGATGGCTGCAGGGTGATGAGACGCCGTGATTGGCAGGCGGCAGCGCAGAAACGGGCTTGTGCCAATGAATTCTCCGTCCATGCATACATGTATGTACACTGCAGAAACCGTATGTATGTATGTATAGATCACACATGTGCACGTCGACGCTGCGGCCACATGTATGTGCCGTGCTGTCCATACACAGCTCGACTCAACTTACATGCCGGATAGAGGTTAGCAGCCCGCTGATGGATGCAAGGTGTCGCCCGGCCGGCGCCTCGCTGCGGGCCCTGTCGCCGGCGGGAGCGAGGGCGCGGCCAAACCACTATCGAGGCCGGTGGGCAGGCAGGGGCGTCGCTCACCTACGTTGCTGTGCCGTACCGTACCGGCCGGGGACGACGATCTGGCCCGCAATCGGGAGGCCATGTCGCCGGCGTCGTGTTGCGTGGTTGCGTGCTTGGGTGGTGGGTATGGGAGACACGACTCTGTTTGCGTCCATTTACCAGGTGATGACGATTCGACAAGACGGGGGGGGGGGCTTGTTTCTTTAATGTCCTTTTTATACCTCCTCGCTTGTATGTATTTCGAAAGGGGCAAGTGGAATATCCAAAACAGGTTCTTGATGCAGACTCGCTACCTGCGTCCTCATCTCCAGACACACAGAAACGTCATGAACAGGATATCCGGCAGCTCCAGACAAGAGCCCCGATGGAAACGCCAGTAACGGGGGAATAATGACAAACTGCAACTAGAAAGAAAATGTGCGGTTCCCTGCCCCTGCACATAAGGTACACTCACACAAAAACGGAGATACATGCATGCCTAAGAAACAGGCACCAAGTCGTCGAGTCCCCTTTAGCGGTTCCTGTATATTAACGTCAAGCGAGAGTAAAGGCGAGCTCTTCTACTGCCTCGCTCTGGTGTCCACGTTGGTAAGTCTCCCGTTCGTCGCTTTTCTGCCTCTCCCCGACGCCGGCACTCAACGTTCCCGGTAGGTGAGCCACAGCCTCGTTGCCGCGGAAGAGATCCGACGCCTCGATGGGGGCATGGGGCTCGCCGGCCTGTCTTTTGCTCTACATGGCTGCCCATCTTTCACACGCGTGGGTACGCGCAGGGCATCGTTAAGGGGCTTGTCTACATATACATGCCCCCTGTGGCGTCGCTCCGCTGCAGCACGTCCGGCCTACTCGACTGATATCGCGGAGTACGGTCATGATGGCGAAAAGGGGAACGGGAGCTCCTTGTCCTGTTCATGTCTTGTCTCGTCTCTTGCTACAGCTAGATTCGGCATGCGGAATGAGCGCCCCATGCTCCACGCACTCTCCATCGTGCAGTCCGCGTACGGGGGGGGGGGGATATATAAAGTGTATATATATATGTTATTTGATTAATTCTTTATTTTTTCCCCTCTCCCCCCAAGCTCCTTTCATCCAAGCTGGCTCTCGTCCGATTCGCGTCGAATCGTCACCAGCCAAATGCCGTGTCCATCACCCGCTCCTCCCCGGCCCCTGCCCGGGCCTTCCACCGCGCCCCCTCTCTCCTGGCTCCTCGGTTTCAAGAAATCGAAGCCAAGCCGGGGCGGTAGTCTGTGAAGCCGGTCCCCCAGCGGGCAAGGGGGCCAGGGCGGGAGGTGAAAGAGACGTCATGTTATACAAGAATCAAGAGGAAACAAAACCGCAACGAAAGGGGGGAGCAAAAAAGGGGGGCAGTGACGGGGGCCAAGAGGACAGGAAAAATAAAATACTCAGTCCAGATCCCTGGCTAACCGGGGGCTTCATCATCAGGATTGGCGCGACTCTGGCATCCAAGCGTCTCCGCTGACGTGCGTCTTGACCACCCCAGCCGCCTTGGCCTTGTGTGGCATCCCAGATGCAAAAGGGGGGAGGGGGGAGAGTCAAATCAGGCGCCGGTCCACGACGAGAATCCGGGTCCGATGCAGATTGCTTGTTACATGGATGCATGGTTTGTCGTCCAAGCCCACCCCCATGCTGTAACTCGTCAACTCACAGCACGACAGGCAGCATCGCTCCAGGCCGACTAGGGGGGCGGCAAACCAACAACTTGACAACCACGGGTAGCAGGGCCGGTCTTCCCTTCTCCCTATCACGTCGCCTCCTTCTCGTACCCCCCGCCTGCTCCTCTGACCCTTACGACTTCTCCGGGCCCTGGCCCTCCCCTCCCTTTTCGTGGCGGCCGACCGACCCGCGCCAGATGAAGCAGGCTGTGGGGTGGCTCCCGTGGTGCGCGTGCCCACGGAGTCGCCGTCCTTTGACCGACGGTGGTGGGGAAGGGGGGGGGGAAGAGAGCGGGCGGGGGGGAGGCTATCGTGACCTGTCGGTGGACGTGAGCCTTTTCCGGGCACCCTCCACATCCCCTGCGCCATGGGCGGGCAGCCCGTCCAGTCCAGGGCCCGGTCTTGTTGTCCCCCATGGCACACATGCTGTATATGCAAGTTCGGAACCCGGGAGCCGACCCTTCGTCTGCCCCAGCCTCCCCCTCGGACGTGCGTCCAGACGATTTCATATACGCCAAGCGAGTGCCAAGCAAGGCAAGTAGGCATGTATGTATGGTGTTAGTCCACCTACCCGTCCGCACATACATACACACAGGACTTACATACAGTACTCCGCTGTACATGCGTTAACTCCATGCGCGCTTCCCGACGGGGACATGATTGCGCGCGATGGCTGGCTCGGGGGAACCGGGGGGCGAGGGGTGGGAAGCGCATTGAAGCTCGGCATGGCGCCCGTCCACGGGCTGGAGAGTCGTGTGCTGTGTGGCCTGCCATGCTGCGCTGCGTGCCCTCTCGCTTCCGTCGGCGACCCGTAACGGCTGCAGGGTGACACCCATCGGCTTGTGGATCACGGTGCTTGCTCATTACATACATACATTGACAGACGGACGCGGCCATGTTAACCGTACATGCGGGCCCCCATCATGGCCAGCGCCGGAGGCGTGGAAAAGACCAAAAGAGCCGCAAAGAGAAGTCAAAGACGGCGACTGATCAAGGCCGTGACAGTGAGAGAAAGAAGCAGAGCGTAAGAAGAAGAAAAAAAAATAGAGATGGCCAAGTCAAAGAGATGGAGAGAGTGAAAAAGCGCACCCCCCTCACCCAGAATCTCGACAGCCAACACTCGGGGCTGCAGGACGGCAGGCTGCAGCCCCAGACCCCAAGCTCGCCGGGCAGCGTAGCATTCCTCCTCTTAGTCCGAGCCGACGACAAGCAAGCCATGGACCACTGACAAGCCGACGTGTGAAGAATGCCATTGTCCTCCCCCTCTCCGGCACCGACATGCGAGAAAATCTTGGATATCCCCCCCTTTCCCGCTCAACAACTACACCTTGCCGCCCAAGTACCATATGTTGGCCTTGGCTTGCTTCGACAGCAGCTGCTCCTCTCCGGTGTAGACGTATGCCGCAGTTTCCGCCCACGCCTTTGGGTGTGGCATGGGCAGGTAGATTGTGCTGCCGCTCTGCACCTGGTCCGACAGCATGATGGCCGCGAGCACCGGCAGTTGGGCGCGGGCGTAGGGCAAGTCTATGTGTCCTGTGAGCCCTGGGTATCACCAAGAGATGGGCGTGGAATTCCCGTCAGGGACTGGTCAGCGTCTACTTACGGATGGGTACAGGTCGTGGTCCAGCGCTCCGCCGCCTCTCGCCCGACGGAGAGGCCGCCGCAGCTTCCAGGTTCCTCTGTTCGGCGCTCGCCCGGCGGGTCACGGGGCCCGTGTAGGCTGCGGCTGCCGGCGACAGCAGGGCGGCGCCGCCGTTTGGTGAGAAGGGTGCTAGCAGCGAGCTGCGGTCAAAGTTGGGCGACCGCGGAGATGGAATCGGCTCGGGAATCGTGGCTCGAAGCTCCCGCAGGTCAAACTCTCTCTTCAGGCTGATCGGTCTGCGGTCTCTGGAACGGATCACGGCTCGGACCGGGAGGCGACTCTCATCCGCAATGGGCGATTGGGCTCCATTCGGACCCTCTCCGAGCCCGGCGACGCGTGGTTGCCGAATCTCCTCGGGCACGACGAAGCACGCGTCGTGGCCGGCGTTTCCAAACTGCTTGTGGCCTTGCCGCCATAGGATCTCGCGGTAACGCTGGAACTGGACCAGGTTCCTCGTCGTGGCTGTGAGGACGGATAAAGGCTGGCGGCGGCCTGAGGGCGCTCCGCAGCGAGCGCAGCAAGCCCCGTCAGTCTTTGCGGTTGGCGAATCGACGCCAGATGCCTCCTCTGGCCGCTCTTGCTTGTCGGGGCCTGACGGCGACAGCTCGGCCTTTGCGGAATCGAGAGAGAGAGGCGTGATGCAGTGGTCCGCCGCGGCTGAGTTGAGGCTGCCGAATCTGGCCTCGGTTGTCGAGCCAGGGCGGCTCGCATCCAGCGGAGACGCAATCTCGAGTAGAATCCGGGACGAGCTCGGAGACGCGGTGCACAGGCTGCATCGCAACGGCGTCAAGACCCTCTTGGGCAGGCTCTGCAGGGCGATGGCATTGGTCTTGATGGGCTCGATGGTAGGCCGGGCCCTCTTCTGCTTTGAAAGCGTCATTGTCAAGGAAGCGAGATGAGACTGCAAAGAAAGGCGTAGTAGGAGTAGAGAGAGAGAGAGACAAAGCGAGAAGCGAGAGCTTATATCCTGAAATGCCAGTTATAGATGAAAGAAGGAAGGTCCTGGCACGCGAGCAAAGAAGAGCGAAAGGGGGGGACGAGGCTTCTTGAGTATGCCCACGACCGCACCGGCCGCGCCTCGTTTCTTTCATCTTGGGCACCCGAGCCCCCGCCATGTGCGCGAAGTCTAAAAGAAGCGCAACAGGACTAAATCAAGACACAGCCTGGTTCCTTTGAAGACGTGGCAAGCTCGGATCACCCTCTGACTCTGGAGCATTCCAGCCGCCGGGCGTTCAATAAAGGCGGGATCCCCGCTCGTGTTGCACGAGCCCCCGCGTCGAATGGCCACAAAGGGAAAGTCAACGAGGGCGGATCTGCGTGATTTCGCGTCCGTCTTGGTCAAAGGACGGACAATGGGCCGCGGTTCCGCTGTTTGCCTGTTGGTTGATCCTGGACAATGGAGGGAGGAGGAGGACAAGGGAGACACGTGATTGGCGCATAGCTCTCCGTACAGTATGGGTAGCCGATCCCCATGGGAATCGCCTCCTCATTGGCCGCCGTCCAAGCCACCTATCCATCTGAAGGTTGCTGTGCGGGGTACGTACTGTATTACTCAAGTGCTGTACGAACACGCACGCACGTGACACCGTTCACCCTCCCATCCGCAAAGTTGTCGAGCCTCCATGGATGAGCAAAGTGCAGGCTCGAACATGTTCAAAGCCACCAGCTACAAGCAGCAGAAGGAGGACTTTGTGTCCAACCTCTCTGGCGGCTCCGTCACTGAAATTGGTCTAGTGACGTCTGTTGCACCGGCAAGTCGATCCGTGCTCCCGTCCTGTATGCGGCCGGCGGTTAACCTACGTGCCTCCCCAGGTCGCCGTGCTGCTGTGGTCCGTCCTCGAGGAGCGACAGTCCTTTTTCCAGCCAAAAACGGTCCTGACCCTCGCCGTCGACTATGCTCTCAACGTCGGCGCCATCCTCCTGGCCACGACGCTCTACTCGAGCACCCCGCTTCTCCTCAGCATCCTCCTCGTCGCGCCCATTGCGCTCGTCTATCTGCTGCCGCCCAGCGCCGGCCCTCGGAGGAGGAAGCCCAGGGTCCCGCCCGCGGCAGCGTCCAAGGGCCGGCCCGATGGGCTCAGTGTCCTGCCCGTCAAGCCGTTCCTCACCACGTACCGAGGCTGCATGATGGTCGTCACTTGCGTCGCCATTCTCGCCGTCGACTTTCGCCTCTTTCCGAGGCGCTTCGCCAAAGTCGAGACCTGGGGCACGTCGCTCATGGACATGGGCGTCGGGTCCTTTGTCTTCGCAGGCGGTCTCTTTGCCGCCCGTCCGGTCCTCGCAGAGAGCATGTCGGGCCGCGCAACGCCGCTGCTTCGCCGTCTCATCTACTCGGCCCGCCACTCTGTCCCCCTCCTTGTGTTGGGCATCATCCGACTTTTGAGCGTCAAGGGCCTCGACTACGCCGAGCACGTCGCAGAGTACGGGGTTCACTGGAACTTTTTCTTCACCCTTGGTTTTCTCCCGCCCTTTGTGGCGACCTGCCAGACGGCGCTCAGCATCGTCCCGTCCTATGCCGCCCTGACTCTGCTCATCGGCGGCACCTACCAGCTTCTGCTCGACCAGACAGAGCTCAAGGCCTTCATTCTCGCCGCGCCGAGAACGGACCTGCTGTCCATGAACAGGGAGGGCATCTTCAGCTTCTTTGGCTACCTGGCCATCTTCCTCGCCGGCCAGCATCTGGGCATGCTGATCATTCCCCGAAGTGTCAATGCCAGGACCCGCGCTGGCGTGGGAACGCCGCGCAACACGCTGTTGCTGACCATGGCGGCGTGGGCCGGTATCTGGTCCGGGCTGTACTGGCTGTCCACGAGCTACTCCTTCGGCCTCGGCCTTAGCGTGTCGCGTCGGCTGGCCAACTTGCCGTACGTTCTCTGGGTGGCTGCCTTCAACTCATTGCAGATCTTGGCATTCTGCTGCATCGACATCGTCTTCTTCCCCGCCTTTTACAGTGCGGCAAACCAAACGGCGGAGCGAGAGGCCTACGAGACGGCCACGAGCCGAGTCCTGCGGGCCTACAACCGCAATGGGCTCGCCATCTTCCTTCTGGCCAACCTGCTGACGGGGCTGGTCAACATGACGGTGCACACACTGGACGTAAGCGCGGCCACGACCATGGGGATCCTGCTTGCCTACATGGCGACGGTGACGGGCGCAGCGTTAGTGCTGGATGCTTGCAACATTTCGATTAAACTTTGAGCAGACGAACGTCTCTCGAAGGTTATTGTGGCCGCTCCATCCTTTCCTTCTCCCCTCCCGTAAAATGGAGTGGGCAGGGAAAGCCAATGGGCGACATTATGCCCAGGCGCAGGGCGAGGCTTTGTCGGCAGATGCAGTAGTGTCACTGCATTAGCAAATCTTGTGGCCCTTCAAGCATCACGTCCATTTGTCGGTTTGTGGGCCGACGTTGGCGAGAGGCAGCGATTGTCGTGGAAACGAACACCAGCCAGAGACGCGCATAAAGTCGGATGACGTAGCGCCACAGCGGAATGGAAGATCCATTGCTTCCAGAAAGATTGCGCTGAGCGTGGCGGGAGAATCTGACTCGCGTGGCGATTAACGGGTGCTCCGCATGTGTTTTTGCTCGAGCACGCAGATCAGAATGGGACGCAACTCCCCGGTCCTTGAGATGCAAAGGCGACTAGGTGCCCCAATTTCCGACGTCAATGCCTTGAGCCTGCCGGGCGCGAACCCGGAACGGCCAAGAGGCGTCGAAGAAATCGGCTGGTGGTGCGTGGGTAGCTAGGTAGCTAATGACAGTAGCTTCTCCGTACGAGATGGAGGTTGCACTTATTTTGCCTGATCGACCCAATTCTCCCCACCCTCTCTCCATCTATACGCTCTTTGTTGATGATGTTGTTATTGTTGTTGTTGTTGTTGTTGTCTTGGTGTCCGCACGGCCCCGTCCATCGGTCTGCCTCTGGGGACGCAGGGTGAGGCAGGAGGACGGCACATGAGAGAGAAGGAAGAGACGCTGCGTTTCAAGCAGAAGCCGAGGTGGAAATTACCATGCTACTATTCCGTACTTTGCAGCACGTACATGTGAAGCGTCTCACTAAAAAGAGCATGTCTCGGATTATTGGCGCCGAACGGAGGCGAATGCCTGCCGGCCACTCGGCGCCGCGACCGAGGCAAGATGGCGTCTGCAAGTTCAACGCGACGACGGCCAAGCCGATGAGAGGCTTCAGATCAAAGAATGGGCCATGTGGGACTGTCAATGCGGAAAACAGCAAGTTGAGTATCCGTACCGACCGGGCTCTGCATAATTGGGTTCTCGCAAGCGTGCCGAGCCTCTCCCAAGTCTGGGGAGCGACCTGGATGGGGTGTCAATCGATTGTCATGCATTTCCTTGTTCGCATATGAGGTGGTTTGATTGAATAGTGTTAGTGTAGCCAGAGACATGCAAACACCTTGAGACGATGCGTTGCCGCGTTATTGGGAGAGGCCTGGTAACAAGGAGGATTGGAGGAAAAATGCAGTGTCTCGAAAGAAGCAAGCGTTGGCCCTTTCCCCAGCTCGAGCATCAGCAGCAGGGATGGGCCCGTGGGAGGTAGGGATGAAGGTCAGAGTCGTGGGAGAGCGGTTGCCATTGACATGGCTTGGCGTCCCCTCCGTGTTTGCCAGGCGTTGACTTGGCGGCGAGGACGGACGACGATGATTAGCGGCACAGCCATGGATAGACAGACCAACATGTCTTCTCGACGGCGACGAGTCAGGGATCCGGCAAACGAACCAGAGGCTGCAGGCTACTGCGCGGGCCCAAGGTTCCCTACCTTGGATGCCAATCGATATTCGGCCTGCTAACGGTGGGAGCCTTGCGAGGCCGGGGCCACGGACTCGGCCATTTGCTGTTTCGTTCGTCGACCCTCGGCATCCCTCGGACGGGCAAAGGCACTTGGGCGCCTCGTGGAAAAGAGAGCCGGGAGAAGACGAGCATTGACGAACCGTCATGGCCGCTCCGTCTTTATGCGCAAGAGAGCAGCCAAGGTCTGCGTTGATGTAGCAAGGATGGATCGATGAGGAAGGGGAGGGGGGGAAAAGAGGGCACAGGGCGCGCGTCCCTTGCACCGTGAGAGGTGCGGAGAGGTGCGGAGAGGTGCGGACGGCGTGGCCGACGGCGAGAAGACTTGACGCATGGACTAATCGGCCCTCCCTCCTTTTCTTTTCCTTCCAGGGAGCGGGCGTCCAAGCGAGCAGGGACCCGAGCGCATGCCCGTCGAGGTGCGGGTGTCGCTGCTACTGGCGGTGGTGTCGCGTCGCGTCAGCCAGTCGCCGCCGTTGGAATGCAGATTCGAGCATGATTTTTCATCTCCTCGCGGGCGGCGATGGTGGGAAAAGAAAAGGGCTGCATGCTCTCGTGGGATCCAACCGAGCCTGGGAGGCTTCAGTGAGATAGATACCTAGGTACCTTGGGCACCCGTGCTCCACCAGAGGGCGAGGTAGCTGTACTTGCTCGGCGCTAAGCCGCTTGCCCAGGAACAAAGTCCTTTGTAGCAGTCCAACCCAGCCTGGCCGCCATGCGCGCCCACCCCCCCAAGGCGCGCGTCTGGCTCCCAGGATGGAGACGCGCCGGCGGGCGTAACCTGTCTGTCACTGGTGCGCGCTGCACAAGGAGGTACCGGGTACGGCGGCCGGGTATCCCAGGCTTGCCTTGTATTGTTCCCTGAGGAGCGTCCCGTCATCTCATCAATCTCGCCTGGAACCCGAGTCGGGCCCGGAGTTATGCTGTGATTGCCCTCTCTATCTCTCTGCCCCCTCCCTCCCTCCCTCTCTCCCTCGGGGGCCATTCATCTTGCACCTCCTCTACGCCATCTCCCCGTCTCCCTCCCTCGCGCGCCGTGCCTCTTCTGCCTTTTTCTCCTGCGCAATCCACGTCTCGAACGGGCCCCCGAAAGAAACGAGGCAGAGAAGAAGACGGAGCCTTGGACCCCCGGGCTCGACGACGGGGCAACGTCAACAAACAGTGGACTGCGTTTCAGCAACCGCCACTCCCAACTTCCGTCTGCTCTACGGAATACGGATATACAAGTACGTACGAGGAGCCAACGCCGCGCCGCTGCCCTGCATTACGCGCTGCATTGCACCGCGTCCGTTCGGCCTCGCTTCTGCCCTGCGCTTCTGCCCTGCGCACCTCGCCAAGGCCATCCGCCCGCCCGCCCGCCATCTCAGGGGCCGCTCGCTGCCTCCCCTGGCCACGACGTTCGGCCTGTCGATTCCCATCGCTGGAACCATGAAAAACGGCCAACGCTGCTGAGTTGGTACATTCAATCCCGAATCGTGCGGCTGCCTCTGTGTTTTTCGTGTGCGGTCCTTGTTCGTTCACCCCTTCCTCCTACCCTTGCTGCCACACCTGATTTCGCTCGCCGTGTTTTCCTTTTTCGCCCTCGTTTTTTCCGCCCCCCTTGGACCGTCGCTTGCCCAACACCAGCTGGCGCCCGTTACTACGCACAGCCCTTTACCACTCCTTCCCAGAGCTTCAACGCCCTGTTCCGCCGGCTCCCAGCTCTGCGCCGTCAGCGACGCCTTCCCATCATCGTCGCAGTTGCGTCCGCGTCATCCATCCCGACGGCCATCAACGGCCCCGACTTCCCATAGCCGCACCAAGTTCCAGCCGGGCCAAGGACCATGTCGACTGCCCTGCAGCCAGCTGCTCACCAGCCAGCCGCCTTGGCGTCGCCGCCCATGCCTCCCCCCTCCGGCCGCCAGTACATGTCGCCACACTCGTCCCCGAATCGAGAGGCTTACCATGCCAACCAGAGCGCCACCGCCTCGCCTTCCTCGAGACGCCCACCCTCGCGCAAGACGAGCGGCCACGGCGCCTCTCCCTCTTTCGATCTGAACTCGTACAGGCCGCCCCGGGCCGCCCCCGCAAAGGCCCAGCACCCCGAGCGTCGACCGTCCAAATCTGACCGCCCGTCGACCATGGTTCCTGTCGCGCCGCCACGAACCTCATCCTCCGCCCACCCGGACGTGAGTTCGCGGAGAAGCCATCAGGAGCCCAATGGGGCGGCTGGCTTTCAGCATCACGCGCAGATAGCTGGCTCACGAAGTGATTCTCGCGGTGATGCCAACGTTCCGCCGCAAAATCACAAGAGCAAGAGGTCTGCGAACCCACACTCGGCCCACGATTCGGCCGTCCGCCCGACCAGCAGCCGCGCAGCCGAGGTCTCGATGCCTGTCCGATCAGCTGCAAAGCCTCGCGAGGCCACCGAGGGCTTGTCCGCCATGGTTCCCAGCATCGAAGGACTCAACGGTCGCGAGGCTCGAGCTTCTTATCACGCCGCTTCGGCGCAAGACGATGCGGCGCCACCGCCCGTGGTCAGCCCGAGCGAGACCCCCGACGAACGACGCGCCACCCGCAGCAGGCACGATCATAGCCGAAGCCATAAGGGGACTTCCAAGTTTGGCGACTTCATCCTGGGAAATACCATCGGTGAGGGCGAGTTTGGCAAGGTTAAGCTTGGCTGGAAACAAGATAGCAGCGTTCAGGTATGGGCCTGTTCAACTCCTCGCGCGCTTACCCGCTGCATCGCCCGTGGCCCACTAACAGTCTCGTCCTAGGTCGCCATCAAGCTGATCAAAAGAGACACCGTGGGCGGCAACCCGTCCCGTCTCTCCAAGATCAAGCGCGAAGTCACAATTCTGCGAGGAGTGCAACATCCAAACATTGTGCGATTAATAGACATGATAGAGACGGACAGATACATTGGCATCATCCTCGAGTACGCGTCTGGCGGAGAGCTTTTTGACTACATCCTGAACCATCGGTATCTGAAGGACCACTCGGCCCGCCGTCTCTTCTCTCAGCTGGTCTCCGGGGTTGGCTACCTGCACAAAAAAGGCATCGTGCACCGAGATCTCAAGCTGGAGAATCTACTTTTGGATCGCAATCGCAACATCATCATTACCGACTTTGGCTTTGCCAACACGTTCGACCCCCACGACGAATTGGCCGAGGAGGAGGAACTGAACCTGACGGACCGCGAGTTCGTAAAGCAGATTGGCCTGGACAAGGTCAAGCCAAACGGCTCGCGCAAGGGGGACCTGATGCAGACGAGCTGTGGCAGCCCATGCTACGCCGCGCCCGAGCTTGTGGTCAGCGATTCCCTCTACACCGGGAGAAAGGTTGATGTCTGGAGCTGCGGTGTTATCCTGGTATGTATTGGGGAAGCCCCAGGGCCAAGGATTTCTGTTTTGCCAACTGACGCTTATCCGCAGTACGCCATGTTGGCGGGCTACCTCCCATTCGACGACGATCCGGCGAACCCCGAAGGCGACAATATCAATCTGCTGTACAAGTACATTGTGTCCACTCCCCTGACGTTTCCCGAATACGTCACCCCTCATGCTCGCGATCTCCTCCGGCGCATCTTGGTTCCCAACCCCCGCAAGCGTGCGGATCTCTTCGAGGTGGCGCGACACAGCTGGCTGAGCGAATACGCTCACGTTGTTGAATTCATCACGAGCACTACGACGTCGCCATCCGAGGCTCAGAGCGCGTCGGCACAGCACGGATATGCGGAGCACTCTACCGTTGCAAGAAGTGCTTCTGTTCGCGAGGCTGCTAAGCACAAATCGCCCGCCCCTGTTGCCGTCGGTGGCCTGGCCAAAGCACACGCCAAGATCGACCAAGACATTGAGCAGGCTTATCGTACACCAAAGGATACTAAGCGTCGGACGGTTCAGGTCGAATACGTGGCCCCGACCACGCAGACGCAGCGCGGATCAGACCCCAGCGCCTCGGGTGCGCAGGCTTCGAGAGACTACGAGGACGCGCACCAGCATCCCCCAAGGAGAAAGCCTTTGGCTCAAGACACTCCTGCTCATGCTGACGGCTACGCGACGCCCGCGCTGTCAAGGTTAACGCAGAGCTCGCACGGCAATGTCGGATCCGCGAAGGCCTCACGAGATATGCGGGCCATCTCGGATAATGCTCAAGTGGCCAGTTCTGGCGCGAGACCACAGACGGGAGGCTCGTTGCAGTCAGCTGCGTCGATGGCTCTGCAATCGCGAGGCAACTACGGACAGCCTGTCCCCCCAGCCATCGCTGATACGAATGCTCAGGGACGCATACAGCAGCCCTCGAATGCCGAAGACGATGACGCCTCGGGCATCGGCAGACCCAGCGTAGTCGCGCCATCCAAGTTTGCGAGAATATCTGGCCTTCATGAGAGCCGAAGCAACGAGAACAAGGGCCACAAGCGATCGAGCACCATTGGCGAAATTGGCTCGAGGCTCTTGGGTCGCAGCGGATCCGTGTTTGGCGGCAAGAGTAGGAAGCGACCGGAACAGCAGCAAGCCGAAAAGGCAAAGAAGTACCCCCCCGTCAGCATGTCGAATTCGATGCCCTTGGGAGAGGAGCCGGGGCCGAGACCGTCGATTGAGTCCAAGGCTTCGCGCCGCTCATTCTCGCTGGGCATTGGGAAGAAGCGCAGTGGCAGCATGACGGGCTCCCAAGGATCTTCGGAAAAGAAGGATCGCCGGCGATTCTCGCTGCTCCCGGCCTCGTTTTCGCTCAAATCCATTGGTCTCGGCCGAGAGTACCCCGACAGTTCGCCTTCGGAGGTGGAATCGCGGCAAGATCTCCCCGGCCCGGCCGCTCGCACGAACCCGCCGCGGAGCGTAACGGCGCCTGGGGACGCCCGGGGCAGCTCCCCCTTCTTTGACAACTCGGAGGAAGAGGCTCGAGCACACGAGGCGACGGGCTCCAACCCGGGCCACCGCTCGAAACATGGCACTGCACCGGACGAGGGACGAAGGCCCAAGGCAGCCGCGGCATATGCGCAGACAGGCTCCCACTTCAACGGCGCCTCGGAATCGTCGGAGGAAACGCGTCGACCTCCGACGGCACCGCAGTCCGGAACCCACGGCCACGGCCCTACCGAACAAGAGGGCGACGGCAGTCGTGGAAACCGGGGAGCGTTGCAGAAGACGCACAAGCGATTCACGGACGCATACGAGCAGGGCGACTACCGAGGGCACGAGGGAAGCAGCGGCGCCGCCAAGCGCGTGATGGACTTTTTCAGAAGACGAGGCAGAGCGCGGGGCGGAGACGATCGGTGAAGACTGGACGCGCAGCCGCAGCAGCAGTGGGAGTTTTGGGCGCGATTCGACACATTGACATTTGTTTTGGTGCTTGCTTCTGCATCATGGATGAGCTGGAGTGGCATAATATCCCTGAAAAATTCCCCCGCCCGAATGTCTGCTTGTTTCATATTGCGCGCACTCGTCTCCTCCCAGCTTTCTACAGGTACCGAGGAAGAGGACAATAATGCGAAGAAAATAATGACGACGCTTGTTGCTCTCAGCATGACGGCCGAAGTCATTTCTCTCTAGGCGCTAGGGAGGGGGGGGAGGCTGTCGAGAGCGTAGTTGGCTGATCTCTGTACTTGGTAGTCTCTCATTCTTGTCTGTATTCCTTTCTTTATTGTGTGGGGATAGAGCCAGCGCAATGCCAGTACAACAGCCTGATAGAAAAGAAACATGGCCATTTCTCGGTGTGCCAATACCTGTCTGATGGCTCACGGTCGGGAGCAGATTCGACTGCGGGATGGAATGGAGTCGGGCCGTGCACATACACGGGAAGACGCGTCGGACGAAGGAGTTTGACATGCAGAAGGATGTTCGTAATCGGGTTTGGGTGCGACGATGACAAGATGACAAGGTGCCGAGATGCCGTTTGTGGTACACGGTCTGCAGTTGCGTGTTTCGGAAGTCAGCGGTCTCGGCGCGGGCGTAGAAGTACGCACGTATGTATGCGGTGGTGTGCATTCTCGGGCATGTGCCGCGACGAACATGTTCCGGGATTCAGGGCATGAGGATCTGCGGCCAGCTGTCGAGACATGATTTTACTGCGGCCCTCTCTCCGTCTTGTGTGGTCGGCGTTCGTTGGTTGATCGATGGGACCGCGATTGGGCGCGGTCCTCATCCGGAGGCGGTGCAGGGAATGAGAGGGAACAATGTCAAGATGCATCTCGTCGGCGGTGGTGCCGCGGTTGGCTCGAGGCCCATGAAACACGTCAACGAGCCTGTGATGATGGCGAGGCTGGAGGATCTGCAAAGTATAGTAATACAGCATCCGTACATGCAGACTAGTAGCCACTGCATCCCGATGGGCAAGTACTGTAATTAATTATGTACTGTGCTGTACAGCACTTGGCCGATGGACTGACGAGAGTATCCGGAACGAGGCCAGCTTGGGAGAAAAATGGAAGAGGTATGCGGGTGAAGAAGTCATTGTGTTACGTGTGCAGCAGCCGGACCGTTGGCGGACAAATAACCAGCAGAAACACGGGGAAGGAGGCTTGTTATGGAGAGGGAGAGGCGTGCGTGGCGGCCACCTTTTCGCACGCCATCGACGATGACGGCGGCGCCACGGACAAGGTGTGAGTGAGCAAGAGAAGAGAGGTTCAAAGAGGTTCAAAGAGAGGTCGTAACTTAGGTATGATGGATATGCATGTAAAGTGCAAGAACAGGTGTTGTAAGTTACCTAGTATCTAACGTAATCCACCCCCTTCCCGGTCAGACCCCCTACTCGGTCAGAAAAAGTCTCCACGCGGCGACCCACACTTATGGCAAGACAAACCGAGCACTATGACGGCAACGGGAGACCAATCGGTTCCACGCGAAGAACGGGTCCTGCTCGCCGTCAGGGCCTATCAGCAGGGCCAATTCAAAAGTACCCGCAAGGCTGCGGCCGCATACGACGTCCCTCAATCGACAGTATCTGATCGTACTAGTTAAAAGGCCACCCCGTCACGCTAAACGGCCACCCAAAAGTGGGTCAACTGTGGCTTGGTCGCCGCGCAGCGCCGATGCCGCAAAGGTGTGTGCGCGCATTCGCTGCCGGCATCGAGGTGCGCGCCAGAGGGCATGTTGAAGCCGCAATTGAAGCCGCAAAGTGAAGCTGGCCGTGATGCAAATTCAAGTACGTAGGGCCATGTTCTTGGGGTCGTAGAAAACACACTTCCGTCAATTCAAATGCAGCGTTAACGCCGGTAGCTATAGTAGACCCTCTGCACACAATTCCTGCTGTACAGACTCCTCCTCATCCACCTGCCGGTCCATCTCGTTAAAATCGGCTAAAGGGTCGTCTTCATCCTCTATATCCTCACCTCCTTGACGAATTGAGGGTATCGGCATTGGCTGCGTGGCACAGCGAATCGTGCCCTGCGTCTCGCCCGGGCCAGTAAGCTCATCGTCAGAGTCAGGCGTGCGGCGTACGGCACGCTGATACGCTCGTGGCATCGCTGTGCCAGGCTCGTACGAATCGCCATTGGCTTGAAGGTATTCCAACCCCCGTTTGGTCACATCAGCAGCGCTGCCGGCGGTGTTGACGGTAGCAGCAGCAGCTTTCCCTCCAGCCTTGCCCCCAGCCTTGCGCTTCTTACCCGTAGCCTTCGTCTTCGTACTTTGGAGAGCCGCCGGCGCTGTGGACGGCGGCGGCCTTGTGGCCTCGCTGCGTTCGTCGGATTCCGCGATATCGTGTGCTGACGGCTCTCTCCGCGTGGCCGTTACGACCTCCTGCTGCCTCGAGGTTCAATGAGCCCTTGGGCCGGCCTTTCCGTGCATAGGAGTGGATCGTGAGGAGCATCGTTAGGGCTTGTGCTCTGCCATGCCAGAGCTCGTCAACGTCATTCATTTCGAAGGAACGGCGGCGGCGGCATTGGGCCGCTTGAAAATATCGTGACGGCAAGGAAGGCCAACCAAGACTTGACTTGAAGCCGCAGTGATGAAGAAGATCACAGCGGCCGGGCGGCGGCTTTCTTGGTCGCTTGAAGCGGCATTCCTTGCCACAGCGCGGTATTCGCCCCCTATCTTCTGGAGCCCAAACTTTGCGGTATCGGACCTTGCGCGCGACCAAGCCACAATTGACCCACTTTTGGGTGGCCGTTTAGCGTGACGGGGTGGCCTTTTAACTAGTACCTATCTGATCGACTGCGCGGTGTCATTCGCCGACGCGACGCTCAGATGAACAACCTGAAGTTGACGGCGACGGAAGAGACTGCCCTGGTACAATGGATCTTGTCGATGGACGAGCGAGGGATGCCGCCGACAGTGGCTTACACTCGTCGGATGGCCAACTTATTGCTTTCCGAGCGAGGCAAAGATCCTGTCGGGGAAAACTGGGTGCGGAAGTTTGTTGGCCGCCACGGCGAAATCAAGGCAAAGTACTCTCGCCGATACGACTACCAACGAGCCAAATGCGAAGACCCCCAAAAGATCCAAGGATGGTACGATCGAGTCGCGGCGACGAAACAGAAATGGGGGATTCTTGACGAGGATGTCTATAACTTTGATGAGACGGGGTTTCAAATGGAGTCGCTGCAACGGCGAGAGTCCTTACCCGGTCTGACCGGCGAGGTCGGGCAGTACTCACGCAGCCTGGAAATCGAGAATGGGTTACTGTGATCGAGTCTATCAACTGCCAAGGTTGGGCTTTACCGGCGAAGGTTATCTTCCAGGGCAAGTTACACCAAGCAAGCTGGTACGAATCAGGAGTGCCCGATGACTGGCATATCGCCGTTAGTGAGAATGGCTGGACTTCCGACGACCTTGCTTTGAATTGGTTAAAGGAAGTCTTTGATCCGAATACACGGCGCCGTACGGTTGGTACGCATCGACTTCTTATTCTCGACGGGCACGGCAGTCACGTCACGCCGGAATTTGACAAGTACTGTACGGCCAATTCCATCGTAGTACTCCAAATGCCTGCACATTCCTCACATCTCTTGCAGCCTCTTGATGTCGGGTGCTTTTCGCCGTTGAAAACCATATACGGCCGAAAGGTTCAAGAGAAAATGCTCGCTGGGATCCATCATATCGACAAGCAGGACTTCCTTCCCATGTACTTAGACGCTCGCCGACAAGCACTTTCGCCGTCGAATATCCGAAGCGGATTTATGGCAACAGGCCTTTTTCCGTTTGACCCAAACAGAGTATTATCGCGGTTACAAGTTCAGGTTGACAAAGTCGGTAACGATCACGGCGACAAGAATACTCCAAGTCCCAACAAGAGCCTGGAAGCAGCCAAGACTCCGCATAACGTCAACCAGCTTACCACTCACGCCGAAAGGCTTCTTCAACGCCGGCCACAAAATACAGACTCGCCAGTTTCACAAGCTATCAACCAGCTTATCAAAGGATGTCAAATGGCCATGCACAGCGCCGCCCTCCTTGCCGACGAAAACCGGCAACTTCGGTCAGAAAACCAGCGGCGAAAGCAGAGAAAGAACAGCGCCGTGAATACATTGGCGACGGCGGTACTCTATCGGTTGCAGAGGGCACGGTTAGGATAAAGCAACGGAGAGAAGAAGAAGAAGAGCGGGTTAAGCGACGGAGAGTGGAAGAAGAGGAGAGGACTAAGCGCCGGCGAGAGAAGGACGAGGAGCGGGCCAAGCGACGACAAGAAGGAGAAGAGCGGGCCGAGCGACGGCGACAAGAGAACGAGGAATGGTTCAAGCTACGGCGAGAAAAGGAAGAGGAGCGGGTCAAGAAACAGAGAGCAAAGGAAGATGAGCGGGCCAAGCGACGGCGGGAAGAAGGAGCGGGACCAACGACTTATAGAAGAGCTGAGTGTCCCAAGACAGCGTGCACCACCACGGTGTAGTAAGTGCAGGTCTTTTGAACACACTGCCCGTACGTGTAATAGATAGTCCTAATCGAGTTACTTGTCTCTTGGAGTAAATATGTCGTGGTATTGTGCTCCGTTTGTCTCGCGTAAGGTGCGGGTCTAGTCGGTGGGGAATTTTTGACCGAGTAGGGGGTCTGACCGGGAAGGGGGTGGATTACGTTACCGTACCTACCTGCTCCGTACGAGAGGTAGACAAATAGGTAGGTACCACTGTATGTAAGGTAAGGTACTAGGTAAGGTAGGTAGACACGTTGATCGATAAGCTTGAACTATGAAGGAAGCTTCTACAGCGGAGCCGACGAGGCTTGCCGCCGCCGCCACCGCTAGCCATGCAGCGCGGAAAAGGGAAAGGCCAGGGGGGTTAGGGCTGCTGCAGCTGCAGAATTAAGTGATGATGACAGAGATGGATGGCGCTCCCGGGACCCGACAGCCTACAGTACAGGGCAGACGACGATGAGGGAGCGTCACGCATGGGCGGCAGCGTGATTGCGCCCCTTGTTGATGAGACACGAAAAAGGGCGACAGCGGGCTGGAGGGAACGCGCACTCGGCGACGCGGCAGAGTGCTTGTTTTGGTACCGGCACATGGCGAGTAGGCAAACAAGACATCAACACTGCAGCAACGCATCATTTCGCCGGCAGTTCGTCATACCGCAGCCAAGGCCCAACCAGCACCGCCACACGGCAACGCCCCTGCACGGGCACACGCTGCTACCGGTAGTCCCTCGTAACGGCTGTGGGTAGTACCAACAAGCGCCTGTCGTACCGTGTCGGAGCAGCAAGCGGAATTACTGGATGTGCGTGCATGGCTCTCGGCTTATTGAGCTTTTTTTAATGTTTTCTCCCCCAGCCGCTCTCTTGTTTGTTATCTCTTGTTGGACGGCATCCCACCGCATCATGCAGCGCCTGTACGCGACAGCTTCCTTGCACATACTGCTGTACAGTACATACCTCTAGGTACCTTACGTAGCCAACAACCTTAGGCGCCCGCTGCTGCCCACTTGCCCCCCCTTCAGCTTGTCCCACTCGCGACCCGAAAAGAGCAGCGCTAGGCATCAGCCACGCACGCAAGCCACTGCCCCTCTCCCACCCCTCCCCCAGTCTCCACCCCTGTCCCTTCCTCTTCACACCCCTTTTTGCCCCAGGAGACGCCCCCCCAACTTATCCCACAAACAACCCAGCTCGTCTCTCGCTCTCTCTCGCTCCCCTTGTCCATTTCCGCCTTCTTTCACTCCCCGGTTGCTGCACCTGTTCGCGCCTCGAAAAGACTGCCAGGATTTAAAGCCGTCTCCTTCTCTCCCTCGCACGCAAGCAACTGTGACCGAATCCCAACTCGTCCAGGCATTGGTCTCGCAACCTTTTCGATGAAGGAAACCTCACCCGACCCCCCCGATATAGACAGAAAACGCTCTTCCGCAATACCAAAGGCCCCTTCGCCGTCCCTAAACGAACCCGCCAACAACGCGTCCGATAGCTTCCTCGAAGTCAATGTCACCGGCAACCCTCGCGCTGCCGTCGACGCGGCTCACGAAAAGCTCGTCCACAACCAACATGTCTCCCTCAGCACCCTCTCTGGGCACCTTGCGGCCGCTCCATCTCCGCAAGATGAGAGGCAGGGGTCTGTCCTAGACCCCAAGCCGACCCAGGACAGCGCGAGCAACAACACTGACGACGAGAATGGGAGCATCATCCCCACCAAAAAGGGCCGCGGCTTCATCGCAGAAGTCCGTCGCACCTTTCACATGGCCCTGACCTACAGCTGGCTCAACGTCTTGCTGGTCTTTGTGCCCATTGGCATCGTCGTCGCAAACGTCCCCGGCGTCCATGGCGGCATCGTCTTTGCCATGAATTGCATAGCCGTCATCCCCTTGGCTGGCCTCCTCAGCTTCGCCACCGAGTCGGTGGCTTGCAACATGGGCGACTCGCTCGGAGCTCTGCTCAACGTCACCTTTGGCAACGCCGTGGAACTCATCATCTTGTAAGTCATTCCTCCTCCCACTGCGCAGCAACGAATTCGTTCTAACTCGATCCGATTAGCATGTAAGTATTGTCCGCTTGAATCGCCGTCTACTCGCCGAGAGATACGCAAAAAAGCCTTGGCGGGTAGCCGCGCTGAACGAATCTTTACCCCCCTGCATTCCCTTGCCCGACGAAACACTCCTGCCGCGATGGACACGCAGTGCTGACCAAGCCTTCTCACCCTCTTTGCTGCAGCATCGCCTTGGTCAAGGTATGATGCAGCGCCCGTAACCCCGTCATGGTCGCCAAGTCCCTAACCCTAGCCCAGAATCAAATTCGAATCGTCCAGGCGTCCCTGCTTGGCTCCATCTTGGCAAATCTGCTCCTCATCCTCGGCATGGGATTTTTCCTGGGTGGATTGCGCTATCGGGAACAGGTTTGTGCTCGACCGCTCTTGTCACCGACTCCTCCCCGATGCTAACTCCCGCCAGATTTACAACAGCACCGTGACGCAGATGAGCGCATGTCTCCTGAGTCTGAGTGTCATCAGTCTTGTGCTGCCTGTACGTCATGCTCCGCGGATTGTGGGTTAGCAGCAAATACTCACTCTGCAACAGACCGCTTTCCACGCATCTTTCAACAATGCTGCCCAGGCGGATAAGGAGTCTCTCAAAATCAGCCGCGGAACCAGTGTGGTACGAGGACCTTGACCCAAAACATGAAGATGGAGTTGCCGCTAACTCGTGGGGTTTAGATTCTGCTGCTCGTATATGTGATATATCTGCTCTTCCAGCTCAAGTCGCATGCATACATGTACGAGTCAACTCCGCAGCACATCGTCGATGCCGAGTCAATTCCAGGCCCTGCCGCCGCGTGGCTGGACACGTCGAGTTCCGACGACAGCTCGTCGTCCAGCTCCGACTCGGACTCGTCTGGCCATTCGAGAGATACAATGCGTCGCAAGATGAAGCAGGTTCTCCGGAAGGGCCGGAAAAGAAAGTCATCCTCCACCTCCAGCGACACGGGGGACACGGCCGCCATTCGGAACAGCTCGCTTGGCAACGGGAACGCGAGTGCCCTTGATGAGGCGACTTCGGAATCGTCGTCATCGCGGCCTCACCTGATGCCCCGCATCCCCTCGACAGAGACCAATGACGAAGCTGTCGAGGACGAAAAGTCTCGGAAGCGCAGCAAGAGGCACCGCCTCCATCGCCACAGACGGAGGCACAGAAGACACCGTCACGACGACGATGCTTGCGAACTGCAGCCGACCATCAGCGAGCGACCCGAGACTGGCCTCGGCAGCCACGCAGGGGGTGAACCGCGTCGTGTCGACTTTGCCGTTCAAGACGAGCTCATCCCCGTTGAAGCTGCTGTGGAAAGCGCAGCTTTGCCCGGCCCTTCTAGGCTGCCATTTCCGATCCTTCGTGGAGTGTCAGTCAAGAGTCTCGCGCCCACCGTCTTCGTCCAGAAGCCGGTGCAGCACGGGGCCACGCCGCAAGCTTCGGTTGGTCCGGTGCCCAGGGTCCGGTACGGCATCAGACGCACAAACTCTCTCCCCGACAGACTGGGCAGCCAGCACCAGATGCGGCCTCCAGGCGCCATGTTCCCCTCTCAAATCCCGCCGAGCTCGCTCACCGGTGCCAACGGCGCGCCCGGGGGCACGCAAGCAGGCAAGAGCGACGAGGGAGAGCATCTTTCACGGGTTGCGTCCATCATTCTGCTGCTCTTGACGACTGGCCTGGTGGCGGTGTGCGCCGAGTTTCTCGTCGGGTCCATCGAGGCGGTGACGAAGACGTCGACAGTCGGAGAAGTATTTATCGGACTCATCATCCTCCCGATTGTGGGCAACGCGGCAGAACACGTCACGGCGATTACGGTGGCAATGAAGAACAAGATGGACCTTGCAATTGGCGTGGCCGTGGGCAGCTCGATCCAGATTGCCCTTTTCGTGACGCCCCTGGTTGTCATTCTTGGATGGATCATCGGGCGGGACATGACGCTTTACTTTACGCTGTTTGAGACGGTCAGTCTGTTCGTGTCGGCTTTCATGGTCAACTTTCTCGTCTTGGACGGACGCAGCAACTACCTCGAGGGGGCGCTCCTGTGCGCCGTCTACATCATCATTGCCATTGTGGCCTTTTTCTTCCCGAGTGAGCAGGAGTCGAGCGCATGGGGAGTGTAGCGACTCTGGACAGGTACATTTTGGGCGGCGGCCGGTGTCGAGTCTATAGGCATCTTGAGGCTGTACATGCAACACTGAAAGGGGCAACATGTACATGGCGGAGCAGGAGGCGCGGAAGAGTGAATACGCGACGCCAGATGGGAGAGGGAAGTCTGTCTATACGATTCTTATGTTGGTGCCGTGTCCGCGGCTCAAACCATGTGCACCAAATGAATTTGACGTTTGGGGCAGCCCTACAGGAGGCCCCTCGACCGGAGTTGCACATCTACGGCAGCTGTGAATTTGCGGTTGGGACATGCTTAGGCACGGGAGGCCGCCGAGGCCACGGGGTCCCACTGCAAAGAGCCGCCCCGCCGGCACCGTTGGATTGCCGTGGCCTTCCCCGCCTTTGTTCATCGCTGTTTCGAGCACCTGACCGGGCCTCCGTATCCCAAGGTAACTTTGTACCTAACGAGGCGGGATGATATCATGATTGCAGCGAGCGAGGCTATGCCCGAAGCCAGTATCCGTACCTGCCTCGCCCCGGGACCCTGCCTGGCCCCCAACGCGATGACATGTTGTACCTACTGTACCTACTGTACCTAGCGGAAGTTAGTTCACTTGGCAGGCAGCACAGCCACAAATACTCGGCGGTGCTTCCTGTCGACTCCAAACCTTCTTTCTTCCTCTGCTCCGGGTATGTCAACGCGGTCCTTGGTACTTTTGCTCTGCTTCTTCTCTCCGTCATCATCTTTCTCCTTGCGCCTTCTGGTTTCCGAGGACTTTACGCCAAGGTCGGCCTGAGCTGGTCTTTTACCACGACAGTCACGACAGTCCTCACGGCTACGACAGGTCTGCGTCTCATCTCGCCTAGCAGTCGATAGCCTCCGCTCCCATTCGCTTTGGAACCAGCAGAGTGGGAAACTCGCACGCCGAAGCTGCAATACTACCCGGCCATGTGTCTCGGCAGAGGGGACAAGGGCAAAGGCAAAGCCGCGCCGCCGCCGGGCCCGTCTCACCAATGGCACCAACAAGGAGGTGACGTCAAAGACGGACAGGCATGGAAGCCACCAGCTGGGCCACCACCGGGGGGTCACCACCAGCAAGTCGACTATGCCGCTCCTCGGCCCCCACCTGCAGGACCGGCTCCCGCCTACGACTGGGCTGGGCCTCCGCGGGATCCTCCGCCGCCCATGCACGACTGGCGGACGGCGGTGCCGGACACGGCGCTATTCCCGGATCCTCCCCCGTTTTTCAGTGCCCACGACAGGTCGCACACGACAAACGCCACCGAAGCCGAGGCAGAGGCCGGCGAGAACTGGTGTCGGCAGTACCCGCTCACCACGCCGCTGGTCCTTGACGAGGCGGGCCGGTCTGCGCTGCGGTCCCGCAACATTCGGCTCATAGAGCCCTTTGGCTTCAACGGCCGCTTGAACTGGCTCGCCAAGGGCCACTGGGAGGTCAAGACGAACAATGGGAGCTCTGACAGCTGCATCATCGGCTACCCGCCCCTCTACGTCGTGTGCGAGAGAGAGGCCGCTACGCCGACGACGGTCTATTACGAGGTCAAGCTGCGGGCCGACAGCCGGCACAACTCGGTGGCCCTGGGCTTCACCGCGCTGCCCTACCCGTCCTTTCGCATGCCGGGCTGGCACCGAGGCAGCCTGGCCGTGCACGGCGATGACGGACACCGCTTCGTCAACGATCGCTGGGGCGGCAACGACTTTACGACCGAATTCCGGCGCGGCGACACGTATGGCATTGGCATGACGCTGACGCCGACGACGTATGGCAAAAGAGACGTCGACGTATTCCTAACGCACAACGGCGTTCGCGTCGGCGGGTGGGATCTGCACGAGGAGACGGATGCAGAGGGCGACTTGCCGGTGGCGGGCCTCGAGGGGTTCCATGATTTGAGCTGTGCCATTGGGACTTTTGATGGAGTCAGCGTCGAGGTCATCTTGGACCCGGAGAAGTGGATGTATCGGCAGGTGGCGAATGGGAAGAATTGACACGGCTCGCAGGAGCGGCCAGGATGAGCTAGGACAGCGTCGGGATAGCGTCGCCGCGAAAGGGCAGGCATACTGATAAGTTGACTTGGCAGTCATATGTTAATAAGCATGATTCAACGACGTGCTGCGTTTTCTGTGGCATCGCGATGAACCTGTTTGGCCCGAGGCTGAAGTGCCGAGGCTCAAGAGTCGACCTGGCGCTGACTGTGGCACCTGGGCATATGGCGTATGCACTTATCGCGTAGATCTGTCACCCCCTTTGATACATAGCTTGGCAAACGCCAAAGATGACCCGGCGCCATCACCGCAGCGCATCGCGGGCACCCTGAAAAAGCACCGCAAAGATGGAGCTTGACAGCGACAATGAGCCCCTGAGGAAGATTGCGTCGGGCGACCAAGTCGTAGCGTGAGTGCGCCTTTCCAGACGCCCTGCAACGACTCTTCTCTGCTGACGAGCCACGCCAGGGAATCGTGGCCGGGCTTGCGAAACGACATTCTCGCCCGGCTGGACAAGGTATGCGCGTCCCGAGAGGAAAACTTGAGAGACCGGCTGCTAAAACTTGTCCAGATTGCCCATGGCGCCTTCCCGATACCCAATCTCCCGCCTCCCGCTCCCCGGCCTCGCCTGCTCTCCCCCGTCTCGTCATCGCCCCTCGAGCACTCGTCGCAAGAGGCCAACAAGGAGAACGCGCCCGCCGAGACAGCCGCGGCCCCGGAGCGGGACGAGCTGCCCGGGCAAATCGCCGGCCAGCTGAGCGGCATCAAGGCCAAGCTCGAGACGTTTACCGCCGACGCGCCGCACACGATCCAACGGCTCGCCGAGCTGGTGCTCCAGCCCCGCGCCCACTACCGCGCGCTGGCGACGTATCTCCACGCTGTCGATCGCGTTGTTCAGGTCACCTCGGGCACGGGCATGTACCCGCTCCCGCCGGCGGTACCAGACATGTCGGCCATGAACGGCGGCGGCGGCGGCGGCAGCGGCGACGAGGCTAGGGACCTGGCCGCGACGGTGACGTGGAGCAACCCGACGACGGCGTCGCTGGGGTCGGACGAGGCGCTCGGCGGGGCGCTGCTCACCCCGATCCCCTGGCTGACGAGGAGGAGTCCCGAGAGCAACGGGGACGGCGCCGGGGCGCAGATCCACAGCGAGGGCACCGAGACGATCGAGGGCCCCAACGGTGTCGGCAGCATCGAGACGGTGTCGGTCAGCGTCAACGGCGTGCCCTCGACCGGCCACGCGAGGGGCGTCACGCAGGGCGAGCTGCTCCGCCAGGAACAGCGCGCCGGCGTCGTCCCCGTCAGCCAGCTGTCGCGCAGCCAGGAAGCGCCAGGCGACGAGGACCGCAGCATGGACGACGAAGGCGGCGGCTCCGGCAGCGGCGGGGGCGGCAGCAACGACGAGGAGAGCGAGACGCCCCATGCCCGAGGCCCGGAGGAGATTGGCGTCGACGACACGGGGCTCCAGGGCGTGTCGACGAGCTACTTTAGCGAAGACGGGGTGCAGATGCAGGACATCGACGTCGAGGCCGCAGTGGGCAGGAGACATGACGAGGTCCCGCACCCGGCGCCGGCCCCTGCGGATGGCGAGGACGTCGCTGGCCAAGACGCCGGGCCGGAGGCTGACGCGGTCGTGGGCGCCGGGGGCTCGCGGGCGAAGCGTGAGGCGGACCAGGGGCTCGAGGCCGAGGCTCCTAAGAAGGCCAAGGAGAGCGACGGCGCACACGGCGAGGCGGAGACGGGCGGTTCGCCGGCGGCGGCCGAGGCGACGGATGCGGCCGAGGCAGAGTGCGGCGACGGGGAGGCTGGCGCTGGTGCTGTCGCTGCTCCCGCCGACGTCGACGACGCGGCGGACGCGATGGAGGAGACATGACGTGATGGGCTTCTTACGAGCGGCATCCCCTCTTCATAATGTTCCTTGCTCTGCGACATGGGGGAGAGGACGGAGGTTGGACTACGATACCATGGCTGTTTGCGATGAAAACAAGTAAACACAGGGCGGCGTTTGGGCGCGGGCCGTGTACGACTTATCACGCTGGAGCGACAGGCGGCGGAGAGACGGAGCGCGGGGAAGCACTTTTCGAGGCGGCCCTGCTGGGGGTGCTGCATGCATACACACATTCACGATCACGATCTGATGCAACCAGTGCGGGACGGCTCGGCCGGGTCTTTTTGTACTTTGGACGGGCGTGTGAAAACAGCCGTCTCCGGATAGCTAGCTGACTGACGCCAGCCCGGTCGCGAGCGAATCGGCCGCGACAGCATCAAATCGGCACCTCGAGCGGCCCATGCACCGGCCGTCGCTCAAAAAATCTTGGTGATGCTCTCGCGCATAATGACGCTGTTCTGCCTCTCGTCGCGCTTGACGCGGAAGAAGCTGTCGCAAAAGTCGCTGCAGCGCATGTGCCGCAGAAACTCCTCGTCGTGGGTGATGACAATGAGCTGAAAGTTGCTCTGCGCCTGGCGCGCCTTGATGATGGCGTGCAGGCTCTCGGCGAGGCTCTTGATGTTGTCGCGGTCGAGGTTGGTCGTCGGCTCGTCGAGGGCGATGAGGCCGCAGTTGACGCCAAACGACTCGGCCAGCGCCAGCCGGATGACGATGCTGGCCAGCACCTTTTGCCCCGCCGAGCAGCGCCCGCGCATGTCCATCTCCGTGTCCTGCTTGACCATGCACAGCCGGTAGTTGTAGTTGCGCTTGCCCGTGCTCGACTCGTTGTCGGACCGGATCAGGATCGTGTCAATATCGGTCCCCTGGTACGTGCTCTGCCACAGCTCGCCCGCGATGCGGTTCACCTCGGCCATCTTCACGGCGTGGAACTGCATCACCGCCTTGTCCACGGCCGCCCCGCACTGCGCCAGGTCCTCAATCGCCGCCTTTGTCGTCTCGACGCGAATGTGCGACTCGCGGAACTTTTGCTTGGCGTCCTTGTAGTCCATCTCCCACTCCTGCAGCAGGCGCCCCAGCTCCTCGTCCTTGGTCTTCATGGTGCCCATGACGGACCCTCGCTCCGCCAGCAGCCGGTTCGACTGGTTCTCCAGCATCCGTGCCTCACTCTGGAGCCGCTCGTAATCGTCGTGCGCGTTACGGTCCTCGAGCTCCGCGATTTCCTTGCGCAGCACGTCCAGCGTGCGGAGATGCTTGCGGTAGTTGAGGTTGTCACCAATGTTCTTCTTCTTGCGGTCGCCATTGTCAATGTCTTGCTTGAGCTTGTTCGCCCGCACCGTCACCTGCGCAATCTCCTTCTCCGTGTTGCCAATCAACTGCTCGAGCGCGGCTATGGCTCGTTGGTTCGAGGCCAAGTTCGACGGGCCGCCGCGGTCGACGTAGTCTTGGATGTCACTGTCGAGCATCTTGATTTCGCTGACCGAGTTCGCAATGGCGTCTCTCTCGTCCACAATGGCCTGCTCCTTGGCACGCCCGCGTCCGAGGGTCTCGTCGCGGGCCGAGCGAGCCTCCGAGATGCTCGGCTCCAGCGTCTCCAGTTCCTCGTCCGCCCGCTGCATGATTTCCCGTTGATGGTTATGGTCCTCTTTCAGGGACTGAATCTGGTTTTGCAGCGACTTCTTCTTTTCGAGCTGTCCGGCAGCGCGGCTGATCTTGTTGTTCAGCTCGCTCCTCTCCAGCTCGAGAGAGTTGATCTGATCTCTCATCCGCTGCCGGTCGTTGGCCAGCTTCGAGATCCGGCCCTTGAGACCTCTCATCTGCTCGGCAAGGTCCGCTTGAAGCTCATGGATCTCGTCCGCGCCTCGAGTGGACCCCCCGGACAGTTGTTGAGACATGATGCGCTCCACTTGACTCTCAGAGTCTCCGATGTCCTTGATGGTTTGCGAAATGTTCATGACAGTCTTGGACAGCCCTTCTACGTCCCGGAATTTCTCCTCCTCCTCCGATACTTGGGACTCGAGTGCCTCTAGCTGTCGCTCCAGCACGTCCAACTCGCCTTGAACAGTCTTGCACTCGTCACGAATCCCTGGCACTTCTTTCGATAGTCGTTCATAAGTATCGAAAGACGGCCGGACGGCTCGCAGGGACTCCAGACTAGCCGCGATATCCTTCAGGTCCTTTTCAGAGTCGATTCTGCCCTTGGGATCGAGCTGTTTTTGAATCTTGTTGCTCAGACGCTCCGCGCTCGCGTTGTGGCCGTCATCAAAATGCCTTTCACACAACAGGCATTTCTTCTTCGACTCCAACATGCGCTTGCACTTGGTGTAGTACTCGACGAGGGCATCGAACAAGCTGAGCTCGTTCTTGAGCTCCTCAACCTGCAGCTCCACAGACTCAACCTCTTCCTTGTAGTCCTCAATGACAGCGTTGTCTCGAACACGTCGAAGTGCCGACAGAACTGTTTGTTTGCATTTTGCGGCATCCTGCGACTTGGTCTCCTGAGTCTCCTTGGCATTTCTTAGTCTGAACTCCACCTTTTGCTGTCTCTCTCGTGCTTGGTCTCGTTTCTTGCGCGCCTCTTGGAGGGTCTTGTTTTGCTGTGTCAGGACGGACTGAAATTTGCCTTCCAGTGTGCCGGGTTCCCAGTCCTCACCCACGATGGTGGCCAGCTTAGACCTCCAGGTAGTGGTGAGCGTTTCCAGCTTGCGCTTGCGGTCGCCGAGCTCCTTCTTCCGGAAGTCGAGCTGAGCGCGCTCAGATGCCCGGCGGGTGCAATCAACAAGCTCGCGACCAAGTTTCTCGTTCTCCTTTTCTAGTTGCGACAGCTTGTCATTCTCATCAGATAGCTGTCGATCCCAGTCCGACTTTTCAAAGTCTTGCTGCGCTCGTTGAAACCTCCCATCGATTTCCTCCAGCTGGCTATCGAGGATAGCCTTGGCACCTTCGTCGAAGTCGATCCAGCTTGCATCGTTCTTCAGCACGCTGGTGCGCTTGTCGATGACCACGATCCGCTGCTTCGCAGAAACGCGGTCTTGCGTCCTGGCCGCTTTGCGTCCCTCGAGTTCTGTGATGATGGCGGTGGCTTGGTCAAGCTCGACCGAGTTTTCCTTTTGTAGGCGCTCGAGGTCGCGCTTCTTTTCGTCGAGAAGTTTCTGGATCTTGTCGTTGAATGACTTGACATGATGGTCAGCCAGCTCTCCGTCGTACCCCCTGAAGGAGTGAGAGCGGGCAGCCTCTTGAATCATTTCCAATCGCGACTTGAGCTGTCGTTCGTAGTTGTCCTTGTCCGACTGATGCTTTCCCTGCTCAGATAGCTTGGCTGCCAGATTCTTGCGCGAGCCTGCCAGTTCTCGCTGCAGGTCGTTGTACTGGGTTTTGTTGAGCTCGGATTCCTCGCAAAACCGCTCCATGCTTTGCTCATATTGAGCGAGGGAGTGTTCAAGAGAAGCGTCGTCCTCGTGGAGCTCATCGATCGTCTGCCTCAGCTCATCGACGGCGTCTTGCCGATATTCGAGCTGCTCCCGCTTGTTGCCGAGGTTTTGCACAATCTGTAGGAAGCTGTTTGCCCGTTGGTGCTTTCCCTTGATCTTGTCCTGCGTCTCTTGCATGTCGGTGGACAGAGCCTCGCACTTGTCACGGGCCTCCTCGATTTCACCCTGAAGGAGAGTCATGCGCTTCTCGGCTCGCTCGCCGCGATCCTTGTTTGTCTTGTTGTGCGCCTCGTCGTTTTGCAGCTTGCCAAGCTGTTCGACCTGCTTCTTGCGGAGAACCTTAAGGTTGTCAATGGCCTTCGTGTACTTGAGTGCCTCGAAGATTTCGTCGAATCGCTTCTTCAGCGCGGCGGGCTCGCTGAGGGGCCACAGGGACTCGTCTTGGTGGCAGAAGATGACGGCGTCGAGAATGGCCCGGGATACGCCGAGGCGCTCGGGTATCATTTCGTCGAGCTGCGCCTGTCGCGTGGAGGTGGTGGTGCGCTCGCCGTTGTTGACGACGACGAGTGAGCAGTCGAGGGTCTTTTGCGAACGGGTCGTCTTCTTGACGGTGAGCTGCAGGCTCCTGGTGGCAACATGTTGACGATTGTTGATGGAGCGGAACTGCAGCTTGACTTGAGCCATGACCTCTTTCTCTCCGCAGAGCTGCCGACCCTGTTAACTGGAGCTCGGACGTACGGGGCCAGAGAGATGAGGCTACCTTGGGGTCATGGATGAAAGCGCCACCCTTGCTGTTGGGAGGGAGCTCGCCGGCGGTGGCATATTTGAGGCATTCGATGATGGTTGTCTTGCCGGAGCCATTGTAGCCGACGATGAGGGTCAAGGGGGTGTTGAATTGGATGGCCTCGCGGACGGCGGGGCTAAAGGACCGCACGCCGGAAATGGACAGCTTGTCGATTCGTGACATGGCGGGCGTGGCATCTGTAGGCGAGCCGGGATGAGCGACCCGTCGAGGCTGGGTGTAGGACAAGGGCTCTCCCTCAAGGATCCTAACATCTCATCATCGAAGACATTGGCGAGAGACGCGTGGCGCACGCGTTACTAACTTAACCCGTGCTCACGTGCCCTGGTCGTTCGTTACCCGCCCAGAGGGAGGTACGTACAGGTACGTACTTAGCCTTTTCATCGCCGTCTTCCTTGGGATGTCATTGCAAACTATATTAGCTCCCGCAACGTCATGTGCGTTCCTTAAGGGTGAGAGAGTGCTCCCTGTGAATCGGCTTCTTTGCACCGGACAGATTTGGACCTCTGCACTCGTCTCTCCTCCTTGAATTGTCTAATCAAACCAAACGCAGAAAAGCATGCACGTCGGTCTAATGCGAATGCCGAATTTGCCTCTGGCATTGGCAGCTCTTAAGACTCGGCTTACGCGGCACAAATGGCCGCCCCTGCCAACGCCATCCAGCCAGACGACATATATGGAAGAGTTTTACTATTCGGCCAAGTAGAAATCTCTATTCGGCCAACACTAGCTAAAAGGCGGGGTACCTTTATGTCCCGCATTAGTACCATCCTTTTGCTATTCCTTTTAGCGAAAAATCCTTAAAAAATCCTAGATAGCTCTAACTACGAAGTAGCGTACTCGGGCGCCCGAGCCAGTAGGGGAGGGGTCCCCCTTGGGGAGGGGCCCTACTGTGGGGGTTTACCCCCGCGCGAGGTGAGCGCGCGACGTACAAGACGAGTACTTTAAGATACTTAAGATTTCTCTTTAATGACTAAGGCGCATTGTAGCCAATTAAAAGAGGGGATTTTATGAGACTCTTGGCCGAATAGAGATTTCCACTTGGCCGAATAGCAATACTCATATGGAATTGGTATAATTAATTGAACAAGTGCGCGAGGAGGGGGAGTTGGATGCAACGTTGAGCAGACCATGCTCGTCTGTAGTATGTAAGCTCGCTTAACGGATACTTGTTGGCGGATATGCTGCTTGGCCCATCTCGACACCTAGCATGGCCGCATGCCAGATGCCAGGTGCCGACCGCTAAAGCGTGCAGATGCTGCTGGTCTATGTTGGCAAGGTTAAATAGCAAAGGTTCGCTAAAAGGATTGGCTTGGGCAAGGCCAAGCAAGGCCTGTACGAATACGCCGTACTTGATGCTCGGCTGGCCCCTGTTACTCCTACTCCGTATACGTATCTGAATTCCTTACTGACAAATTCCAGGGTATTGCTTGGCAAGGGACCGCAGTGAAACGAGACAAGAAAAAATAACAAGCTACCCTTGCCAGGGTCTTCGACGGGCGCTCACTACCCCGCCAGAGGAGGCACTAACCGCTGCGATATATATGACTAAGAGCCGTGCCAAGCGGCAGTACAGAGAGAACCTGCGAGGTCCCATGTGTTTTTTCCCCGGCCAGGCAAGTCGAGGATAATGTCTGGAATGGAGCACATGCACTGCTCTAGGCAGTACTCGGAGGAGATGGCGTTGGCGCCTGTCTCTAAGATCCTCGCCGCACGGAGCCCATCTGACCGGCTTGTACATAAGCCATCAGCTACAAGCTGGCAGTCTATTCTTAAGCGCATGCATGCTGGTTTATGCAATAAGGCGAAGTGAGGCGAGGAGGCGACGCTGGGGGGTTGCAGCAAGGCGGCGGCAGGCGGGGTTGACTCCCCCCGTCGCCGGGCACACAGTCATTTCCCACCAGGTTTGGCCTGCGAGGTCCGGCGAGGACAAGTACAGGATACACGAGCAAGACCTAGCACGCAGAGGTGAGGGTCAACATGGACATTTCACTTTTCCCATGTTGCGGCGACATGGCCAAACTTGGGATTGTTGCTCTGGACACGCTGCGGAGTAGGTCAATTGAATTCAGTTAGCCAAGTCCTGTCCATGCTGGACGGGTTGCCGAAACGCCCGGCGTCTGTTGCATTTGCCACCTCGTTTTCCCTTGTCTCGGCCAGCGAGAGAGAGGAGGGGGGCTTCTTGTGGCGGCGACAGACATTGCATTGGATTGGTCACGTCGTCCTCCCCTAGTAGGTACAGATGATGCTGTACAGGAGGGAACAGGCAACTCGTCAACAATGGCTTTGACGTCTCAGACACCATCTGTAAGGTCCCTGGACTTGTATATGCATATACGTACCTATGCTGCGGGAGACTTGGAGATGGCCTGGCCCGTCATTCCAGCATAGTTTGTACCTGCACCTTATCTTGGACCTAATTCCACGGGACCGCCAATGTAAAGTGTGCTGCCTCCGAGCTGCTACCTTAGGTAAGGTGTAGGTAGGCATGTCGAAATATACCTGACGGGGGCAGAGACGGCGTGGTCCCACCGCCTTGGACACTGCTTGGCCATCTCGTCATACTTCCTCTCTCGTCCTCCTAGAGCAACAAAGCATCTGTGACTTGCATTCAGGTACTTATGCAAGTAGACGGGCCACTAAAAGCGACAGCGGGTCTCTCGCTATCCTTGTAGCCGGGTGTCTTTGCCACCAAAGGAGCTTTTGGTCCGACCCTGGCCGGTACGGTAGCAGTCGCCGTGCGCCAGGCGGGGCCTGCATGCCCGCACATGGAAACTGACTGTACATGGGCCTCCTCGCGACGGACGTGCCCATGTATGTATATGTATGTATATGCCGACCTGGCGGGCCTCATGCAGGCCGGTGCCTGCCCAAGACTTGCCTCACTCCGACATCAAGCTTATAGTACGGTACAGGCAAGTACCGCATGTACCCCCTACATCCAATAAGCGTCTTGTATCCGCGGGTGGCGACAGCTCGCTCCTACTGCAGGTACATGCGTGCGCGCCAGCTCGCCCGCCAGCCCCAAGTAGCTCGCGCCCCCATGACCGCAGGTGCCTGCTACAGTGGGAGGTACTCCGTAGAGAAAGCGAAGAAAGTATCAGTGAGTTGGCAAGTACAGCCTGCCTCTCATTTCCATCCCGCCATCTTGTGCTCCTGCTCCTGCTCGGCTGGTGCTGCGGCCGCTGATCTTTCTTTCCAACTAAAATATCCATCATCCTTTACACACAACACACACACTCCTTCCAGGCCCTCGCTCTTGCAAACCTCCTTCTTCTCTGCTCGCCGCCCGTCCGCCGTTACGACCGAGACCCTCAGGCGGCCTTTTGCCCATCGCTGCGCTGCGCCGTGTGTTGCCTGCGCTGCGCACGTCTCAGCGGGCCACTCCCTCTCTATGCTCAGAGCTGCCACTGGCCCTCGCCCGCCTCGTCCCGTCGGGCTATAAACCTTCACCTAATGCAATTCTTATATCGCCTTTGACTGGGTGCCCTACCTTATGAAAGCACCTCCATCATGTCCTACAGGCAACCTCCGCCTCAGGGCAGCTTCTTTGGCTTCTCCGACCTGGACATGGCCGGCCAGGACAGCGGCGATGTCATGGCCCTCTTCAACAACACGCTGCTCAACTCGTTCGACGACCTGCCCATGAGTATGGACTCGGCCAATGAGAGCGCCATGGCCGTCGCCGCCGTCAACTCCAACCCCCCCGACTCAGCCAACGACAGCGCCCTCGTTAGCAACAGCGCCATCACCGACGAGTCCATTGCTCATGCCGAGAATCAGTTCAACACGGCTGCCAACAACGTGCCCGGCGCCGGTCCCGTGCCGCCCGGCGCCTTAGCCCAGATGAGCCTGTCCAACGGCAGCACCCTGACCGAGTTCACCAAGCGAAGAAACTGGCCCGCCAAGGTGGTGGAGGAGCTCAAGGATTTTCTGCACATTCTCGATGCAAATGGCCGCATCAAGTATGCATCCCCTAGCGTCCTCAGCGTCGCCGGCTATACTGGCGAGGAGATTCTCGATGTCTTCCTCAAGGACCTCATCCACACCGACGACCGCGGTGTCTTCGTCTCGGAGCTCAACGAGTCCATAGCGTCGGGAAACCCGCTGCGCATGTTTTACCGCTTCAAGAAAAAGGACGGGTCATACGCCATGTTCGAGGCCGTTGGTCACGCCCATATTGCCGCCGCCAAGTTTGCGCCGAATCCAAACAACCAGTCACCCTTTTGCCAGGCTGTCTTCATGATGGCCCGGCCGTACCCGACGCGCAACGCCGGCCTGCTGGACTCGTTCCTGGAGCACAAGATGGAAAACGAGCGGTTACGGCGGCGCATCGCAGAGCTGCGGAGGGAGGAGGAGGCCGACGCCGACGAGGCTCAGAGGCAGTGGATGCAGAGCCAGGAGGGTCGGTCTGACGTGACCCCCTCGGAAATCACGGTCACATCGTCATCGACACCGCTCTTCCGCGGCGTGGGCGCTAGCCAACCCGATCGCAGCGCCGTCGACATTGCGCTAACAAGGGAGAATCTGGAAGGAGCCGTGGCCGGTAGCCGGCCGGACTCGCTACGAGACAAGATGGCCCGCTATGAGGGGGCGTCACACGCAGACACGATTGAGATGCTGACGGGCCTGCGATACCAGGAGGGAGAGCGCAGCCGGGGCATCACGACGGGCAACGCAAGCCCGACGCTCATCAGGGGTGATGCGGGCATTGCGATACCGATGGACCGAGACTCGCGACCGGGAGAGAAGAAGAAGAAGCTCAAGACTACGGAGGAATACGTGTGCACAGACTGCGGTAGGTTTGCCTCGACGGCTTGACACGGGCAAGGGATGCTGACTAACGCGCAATGGCAGGCACTTTGGACTCTCCCGAATGGAGAAAGGGGCCGAGCGGCCCCAAGACGCTCTGCAACGCGTGCGGGCTGCGGTGGGCTAAGAAGGAGAAGAAGAGAAACAGTGCCAACAGCGGACCGCAGCAGGCGCCCATGATGGATCGCGGCATGGGCTAGGGGTGTGTGGCTTCCGCGCAAGACGGGAGATTGCAACGGCTGGATGATATAAGTCGACGAATGCCGGGCGTTTTTGGTGGAATTTCCAAGGGGTGCATGGAGGCTGGCGCGAACATTGCAAAACACGATTGGGACGACTACTGGGTGAGGGACATACATGCAATGCTTGAGGCTGCTTTGGCCACGCCTATCAAAGCTTGGATGGAGGCCCTTTTTTTGCTTATTCGGTGCTCTTTTTTCCTTTTTTTCTCTGCCTCTTACGCGCACATGATACCTCGGAGCAACAAAAGAGAGGACAAAATACGAAGTAGGAGAGGACAAATACAAATGCAAGAGGGGCGATTGGGCCCATGCTTCGGTGGACTGTTGGGCATGCGAGCGGGAAGTCCGGAGGCTCAATGAGGGTCTCTTGATACGAACAACTTGCCGTCGGTGCGCCCGGGCGGCGATGACGATGAAGCACTTGGTATGTCTTGTCTCGGGCTGGGGGTGTGGCTTGGATGACGAGACTCGGTGGACGACCAAGGCCGGGATCCCTTCGCTCCATTTCGCCATCTCAGCTGTGCCAGCCTCCTGCTCCGGCACCTGCTTGGCTGCTGAGGGTCCGCAGGTGGAGCATCTCTCTGTTGCTGCGTTTTGCCTCAGGCGTGTAGTGTGGAGAGGGAGCAGCCGTCAAGTTGGATCCGGGCCCCGGGATACTTTGCCCACCGGCCTGAGGCAGATTTTCCCCATTAGATTTAATTTGAGCCAATCTAATTAACGGGGGAGATACCACAACCAACCCATCGTCAGGCTATCCTCCTTACCCCTCTTGCGAAACCCAAATAGTATCTCGACTGGCTGGCCAGCAACACCAACTACATCCTCTCTCTGCCACCACCTCGCTTCTTTCAGGACACAAGATAACTTATATATCTGGCAGAGTCAAAATGGACAAGCTCATCAACGCCGGCAAGGAGTTTCTGGAGAACCAGACCCAGGGCTCCAACCAAGGCCAAGGTCCGGGTTACCCCGCCATTCGATGCCCCTCCTCGCCGCAATAGCGACTGATGAGGCTCAATTCGGCTGACAAGACCAGGAGGACGGCCAGCCTCGCCGGGCGGATACAGTGCGTGTGCCCTCCACCTCATCCCCTCGTCATACTGCTCGGCCGATGGAATTCGATGGCTGGGGTGGGGAGCTCCGTCTCGGATTCTCGGATGGTGATGGAGCGAGCAGCGAACCAACAAGGCGCCTGGAATGCAAGGGGACTCATGGGCTGACGTAGCATTCGCATCGGCGACGTGCAGAGGCCCACGACCGGCGCGACGATGACGACGAGCTGAAAAACGCCGACCACGAGGCCTCGAGGCTCGCTGGCTCGTCGGGCAGCACCGACCTCTTCTCCAAGGTTGTCGGCGCCCTCGGCCAGCGCAAGGGGCAGATTGCCAACGAGGACATTGACGAGGAGGGTGTGTCCCCCTTTCTCCCCTATCTTCTTGCACTCTCAAGGGAAGAGAGGGAAAGGAGCTGACAGTGCAATGGTATATCTCTTAGACGTCGCCCGCAAGCACAAGCAGGCGTACGATGACGACTCGCACGGCGACGAAAACAGCCTCGGCGCCGCGGCCGCCATGCAGGCGCTTAAGATGTTTGGCAAGGGCGGCAGTGACAGCGGCAGCAGCAGCAACAAGGAAAGCCAGGGCGGCCAGGGCGCGTTCTTGGCCATGGCCATGTCAGAGGCAAGCAAGGTGCGTCTTTCCAAGCCTGATGCGCCACCTCGGCCGGCCTGCTGACCATTACTGACCATTGCCGACCATTGCCGTAGCTCTTTGACGTCAAGGCTGCCCAGGGCAAGGTCCCCGAGGGCGCGAGCAAGGAATCCACCATTCAAAAGGCCGGCGAGATGGCCATGAAGATGTACTTTAAGAACCAGGCCAAGCAGCAGGGCGGGCTGATGGGCATGGCGTCGCAGTTTATGAAATAGGCTGCCGTGGACGAGAATGGATATAACCAACCGTCCTCTTACAGATGACGTGTCCACCTACACAGGTTGAAAATGGACGGCCGAGTTTATACAGTCCCCTGGCCTATGCGCGCACACATATACGTATACGCACGTCCACAGCCAGCTTAAGCCATTACGCCATCTTGCTCTCCCTCGACAGCTCCATGACATCGACCCACGAATCCGGCCTCCGGCGGCCGTTGGGATACACGGTGTGCAGATACTCCTCGGCCTCGGCGGCCCAGCTCAGCAGCTGCTCCTCGCTCCCCCACTCGGCCGTGGCCAGCAGGCTGACGGGCAGCTTGCCGTCGCCCTGGGCCGGGTCGACGTAGGCGACGGGGGCGGACAGCGACGGGGTGCCCGTCATGTTGGCGAGGAAAATGTACATCATGTTGCGAAAGGTCAGGTTGCCGTCGCTGAGCCCGTAGGCGTCGTCGCCGGCGACGCGCGGCCAGCCGACGAGGGGCGTGGTGGGCGTCATGATGAGCAGGCCCGGGTGCTTTTGGAAGAGAAAGGCCAGGTGGCGCATCAGCAGGGTGCGCAGCGAGTTGAGCTTGAGGTAGTCGACGGCGGGCGTCTGGCGACCGACGGAGAGCAGGATCTTGTTGGCCGGGCCGCACAGCGTCAGCCAGTCGGCCGGGTCCGGGGTGCGGCGGCGGGCCGACTCGGCCATTTCGGTGATGCAGATGCAGCCGTGGGCGAGCTGGGCCTCGGCGAGGTGGGGGATGGAGACGTCGACGACGTGGTAGCCGCGCTGGCGGGCGAACCAGTCGAGGGCGCGGTCGCAGGCCTCGACGACGGGCTTGTCGGCGAGCTTCCACCAGTCGCGGAAGACGCCCATGAGGCGCTTGGCCGACGGCTGCGGCGGCACCGACAGGGCGAAGCGGCCCTGGGTGGCGCAGTCCGGGTCCGGCTGCGACATGACGCGGTAGGCGACGACGAGGTCGGCGACGTTTGCGGCGAGCGGGCCGGTGACGCACATGGTGCTGTTCATGGCGACGGTGCGGTGGTGGCTCGGCTTGAGCCCGTACAGGCCGTTGAAGTTGGCGGGGATGCGCACGCTGCCGCCCGCGTCCGTGGCCACGCAGAGCGGGACCAGGCCGGCGCACGTAGCCGATGCCGGGCCCGACGAGGAGCCGCCGGGGTAGTAGGCCTTGTTGAGGTGGTTTGTCGGCGTGCCCTGGGCGATCTGGCGGTGACTGCGTCAGTGGACATGTAAGACGGATGCATCGAGGTGCCTATCAAGTAGGATCAAGGGGAAGAGAGAGAGAGAGAGAGAGAGAAAGAGAGAGACAGTCCCTTACGTTCAAACCGCTCGTGTCTGTGCATATGGTCAGCGTCTCTCCTATGAGCCCATGAAGCCGGGAGGCAAATCAACTCACCGGAGCCGAGCTCGTGCATGCGCAGCTTGCCAATGACGACGGCGCCGGCCTCCTGCAGCATCCTGACGGGCCACGCCGACTCCTCCTGCTCCTGGAACCAGGGCATCGAGGAGTTATACTTGAGGCCAACGTGGTTGATGTAGCCCTTGACGTCGACGTCGTCCTTGACGCCGATCGGTACGCCGTCCAAGATGCCCAGGGGTTTGCCGGCGGCGTAGCGCTCCGTCGACGCGCGGGCGGCGGCGATGGCCAGGTGCTCCTTGCCGTGGCCGTCGGCCCAGGCGTCGCTGTACCTGGCGCCCGGGCGGGTGATGGCGAGCAGGGCCTCGGCGACGTGCAGGGGCGTCGTCTTGCCGGAGCGGTACAGGGCGTGGTAGTCGCCGACGGTGTAGTAGCGGGCCTTGGAGTCGGCGTACTTTGCCTTGACGAGGTCCGGCCCGAGCTCCAGCATGGGGCCCGTCTTGCCGAGGGGCGTCACGGTGGGCTGGTCATGCCATGGTGGTCAATGCCGGCCTCTTGCAAGGATTTGATGGGGGGGGACGGGGAGGCTTCGAACATGGAAGGTATAGGGCACGTCGTCGAGCTCGGGCATGTCCTTGATGGCGCCGAAGCCGGCGTTGGCCCAGAAGAAGCGCTGGAGGTAGGCGGACCTCGAGATGCTTGGACGGCTGGTGAGCTCGGGACACGCGGAATTGGGGGAGCGGGATGGAGCCGTGAGGGGTTACAGTTCGCCGGCCAGCATGAGGGGGAGGCCTCGCAGGACCGGGTTCTTGCCCGCGTCCGGGTCATATTGGGCAGCAGGGCCCTCGACGGGGTCGGGATAGTGGTCAAAGGCGGCCGGGTGCGCCATGTCGCTGCTGGTTCACGGCGACGTGAGGTGGCGGTTGAGGAGAAGAGGAGGGGGTTCGATCGGGGATGGAGGGGAAGGGTCGAGTGATGTTGTTGTCAAGGGAGCTATGTGGTGTTAAAAGAGAGAGAGAGCGAGAGACAAGACGGGAGAAGCGCCTCGGCATTCAACGTACGTGGGCGCAGGGAGCCAGTGCGGGCGGTGCAAGTTGAGCCAAGTTAATTAGGATATAAGCTGCAGGTCGTGATGAATTGACTCTATCCCGCCACGGCGAGTGAGCCGGCCGGGTAGGTTCAGCCGACGTCCCTGGTGGCTTACATGCTGGTACGCCATTGATGCCGCTCCTCGTCATGAATAGCTCCGGACTCCTTCACGTGAAGAAAGGGACGGCTCCGCTATAAAGGCCGGATGGGCCGGCGGGATGCTCGGGACAAGCTGGAGCCAGTCCATGTTCCGTCCTCCCGGCCTGCGGAGAGGCGTGTTATCGGTGTTGGTGACTCGACGGCGGGTATTTTTTGTATGCGGATACACGTGTTGAGAACATGGGCAGCTCTCTCTCTCTGTCTGTCTCCATCTCCCTCTCTCCCTCTCTCTCTCTCCCTCCCTCCCTCTCTCTCTCCCCTCCCCTCCCACTTTTCTTCATCTGGTGCGGAGCAGGCCGCAATTCTGGCAGCTCTCCATTCATCATGTTCCCCAGTATTACTGACTCCATAGCCGTTGATGGGGTAATTCCGCACAGACGCGAAGAGTCAGTTCAAGCCCCAAGTCGGGCTTCGTCACGGCCCTTGGCAGGCGCGCAGAGGAAACAGTTTGATGTGCATGGTGCTCCCTGTCTGCATCTGTAATTACAGTACAGCACACACGTACCACACAGCACACCACCACGCACACACACTCGCGCGCGCGCTGCTGGTTGACGGCGCCGGCGGTTGGTTGGTTGGCTCTCTCGCAAGTCTCAGTCAGCGTCTCACCTTGTCCGTGCCGCAACGCCAAACACGGTGCTTCTGACAGGGAAAAAGACAAAGGAACCTCGGGACTGTCTCTGATCCGCCTGCTCCTCACCTCGGGCCGTCACCTCTGTTGCGGACCCAGGCGGCACGTGTGCTTTTTTTGGCGCGAGTGACGAGACGAAACGGACGGCCTTTTGCCTCGGACTCGTTTCACGCTGGGCCGTCGTGTTACAGAAGTGAGCCGTCTCGTCTGCCCTGTTTTGTCCTCCTGCTGCAGATGATGCAAGGCCGGGAGTACAGGATGTGCATACAAATTATGTTGGCTGGCAGCAGCATGCACGGAATCTTCTCTGGACAGAAAGCAATGCTGTTCTTAGGCTTCTTAGGCGCACTCGCCATGTCTTGTGAATATCGTCTGCCACGGTTGTACAGGACAGGCGGTGGCGGCGCCTCGAGCCCGGGAGCGCGCTGCTGAGTGATGACAGGCAGGGGGAAAAGAGACGGAACTAGGTATCTGCACTTCTGCACCCCGTACGGATGGATACTCGGTGCACGATACTCGGTGCACGATACTCGGTGCACGTACGATATGTCGCACAGGAGAGCGCGCCTCGGAGGGGTGGCCGGCCAACAAGCCCATCGACGACGGGTGGCCGGCCCGTCCGTCATTGCACTTGTTGATGCCGGACCCCAAGAGCTTATGCAAACCCTGTACAAAGCGCGGCGCAAGTCATGGCTCGTACGAGTAATCGCCAACATGGCCGTTCTGTTATACTGTACGGTATCCGTTCATAGGTAGGTATCCTCACCATGTCTTCTGAAGTCTGTCCATTCCAGGGGCCTTGGGCTGGCGGGAATCATTCCCTGACCGGGCGGAGGAGAGAGCACAGCCCCCCCTCCCCCGGAGCAAGGGCCAGTCGGCCTCGCTCGGTACTTGCCCCGACGTAGATGCCCGGATCGCTGCCGTGGGCCTGTACATGGATACGCGCTTCTGCATGTACAGTTGCCATGTAGGTATCTACCTACCTACCTACCTAGGTACTGTACCTTAGATAATTACACTACCTACTGTATCGTATCGTGTCTGCAATGCGTCTATGCCGCGCGTGCCCCGCAAACAACTTGAACTCAATTACTACTGTAGTACCGTACCTAATTACCTACCATTTTGAACTTGTTGGCAATGGGGCGGGCTCCAACAGAACAGAGGAGCGTCCGCGTCTGCTCACCATGTCTGCTCACCATGTCTGCTCACCATTCTCTCTTCGCGCTCACAAAAAGGCCACAGGGCACCAGACCAAGGGGGGCGTCCTGCCAAAGTCTCACTCCGCCCCGAGGCATGGGAGGGGCTTCTTGTTTGAAGAGTCAGGCCAGAGCACTGCCAACCAACCGCCCTCCGTACCTGTACTCGGCTGCCGCGCTGCTGTACACGCTTCCCGCCGCATCCGCACACGGCACCCCGTGTACCTTGCACGCACTGGCTGGTGCACATGACAAGGCTGCGCTGCTGTACTCCATTTCAGGCAGGCACTTAGGTACCTTACCTCACTGCCCCTTTTCTCTTGTCCCCGGGTACCTGCCAGCCCTACCTCCCGTCGTCCGCCCTCCGGTCCCCTGTAATGTACTCGCCGACGCACGCTAGCATCACTCAGTACCTCCCCTTGGCTGCCGCGTGCTAAGACACAGCCCGAAAGGCGGGTACAGCGGTACACCCGCTTGGACGCCACGCGCAGACGCCTTCTCGACAAAAATCCTCCCGAGCCCCCCCCCAACTCTAAACTCCCCTTCCCCTCCCTGCCCTGCTTGGCGGCCAAATCCACATCCTAACAATCCATTCATCATCTCTCCTACGCCTCTCCTACGCCTCCCCTACGCCTCTTCAGTCTCTCGTTCCTCAACCCCGCCGCCTCTTCCCGTCTGCTCTGCCGTATTTCCCCCGACCGCGACCGACTCTCTCTGTATTCCCCCTTCGAGTCCGCTCTCGACCTCGCTTTGTGCGCCGCCTTTCGCCATCGCTCGTCCGACCGTCGTTGATCTTCGGCCAACCCAAACAGACCTCATCAGCTCGACCGGTCCGTATCGCGTCTCTCTCAACCACCACTCGCCATCGCCCCCTCCGCCGTGCCGTCCATCGACCCGTCCTCGCCTCGTTCCCGTCCGCAGACTCCCGGTCGGAGTCAACTTGTCGCCCGCCCTGGCTGCCAGGTTAGATTCTCGCAAGTCCCTGCTGGGCGCCGATCCGGGCTTCTCACACTCCAGCGCTCAACACAGTCCTTCCTACAACCACAGCGCCGAATACTCGCGAGAATACGGCCAGGCTTATCCCCAGCCTGCATACTCTCTGCCAGCCTACGCAGAGAATGCCAACCTGAACAAGAGCTTCGACCAAGGTTACGCCCATCGACAAGGCGTCACCCCCTCCACCCCGGCCCGGAGCGTCCATCGTGACAGGATGGGTTTCCTCAACGCAAAGTGGGCTGCCGCCTTCATGGGCGTTACGAGCCTCCAGGCCATTGTGTGCTTGGGCTTTGAGTCGTACGTCCGCTCCCGGCGCTCTGCTCTCGTCGTCGCCTACTGACAGCCTACGTCCTAGATTTGTCTTTGCAAAGTTCCAGATGAGTCTCGGCAATTGGGTCGAGAAGCCCGAGGTCCAGTCACAGTACAAGACCATCCCGACCTTCTTGACCCTCTTCATCTTCGGCTTTTTGTACGAGCTCGTCGTCGTCTGGGATGCGCTGCGCATGAAGAACACAATCCAGGTCATTGGCGTCTGCATCGCCAACCTCGCCCTGCTCGTCTACACAGCCATTCAGGTCGATCAGATTCAGGTGGCTCTCGAGGTCCTCGGCGTCGAGGCGCTCAAGGCGGGCATCACGCCCGACGAGCTTTGGTCCGACGTCAAGCCCTTTCTCGTCGCCATTCCTGCCGTCATTGCCCTCTCAACCGTCGTCTTGATGTTCATTTCCTGGAAGCTCTACCAAGAGTTTGCCTGGGATATCCTCAAGAACATTGGCGCCGACTACCGCATGAAGAAGCGTTTCCTTCACTACCAGGTCAGTACCCACTCTCCCGCCGCTCATGCTCGCGGCGCTGACATGGAGGCAGATCTATATTGCCCTGCTCAAGTTTGATTTCTTCTTTTTCCTGGGCTTCATCATTCAGTTCGTCGTCATCGTCGCCCAGAAATCCGACCCCGAGTTCGCCCTCACCATTGCCACGATCCCCATCACCATCGGCATCCTGCTCGCCGCTGCCTTTTTCACCCGCAGGGAGAACAAGCCGGGCATGATGGCGGTCATTGTCCTCTACCTAGGCGGCCTCACCTACTTCATCTTCAAGCTCGTTCGCATCTACCAGCCCGAGTACCAGGAATCGTACAAGGCCGTGCGCAAGTCCCTGACAGCCTTTGCCGTCATCACCATCCTGTTGATTCTCCTCACCATCACCAACGCCATCATCTGCATGCGCAACTTCGACAAGGGCCTCAAAGCACACTTGTTGTCCCCGCGAAGGGTCGAGGAGAAGCCGGATGCCCACTCCATCAGCCTACACGACGTCAAGCCGCAGCTACCAAGCCGGATGACAATTGACTGAAATGCGTCATGTTCGGCGCTCGCAGAGTGCGGTCGGACGACTGGAAGCTGGAAATATGCGTGTACAAAGATACGAACTTAACGAAGAAGAAAGTGATTCCCCCCTCAAACGCCTTGGCGCCACCCAGACGGTGCTGGCTCACGGTGGTGGCGGCGGCCGTAGGCTGGTTTTCGGCGCGATGGAATACGTTACCGATGATATCCCTCACATAAAAAGAAACATGTGGACGCCTTTTTTCCCCTTGGCTTTTTCCTTTCATCTTCCTATTTCGTCGCACCGTCCGCGGCCCTCATCTGTCTCGGACGACGTGGAGTTTTTGGATACGCGCCTTTGCGGAGGCGACGGGTGGGCCGCCGCCGGCCAGGAGAGATAGTGTGGACATGTATAGCGATTGAACGGCCTTATTTTCCTTTCGTGGTTTTCCCCTTTTCTTTTTGCGCTCCGTTGGAGCGTCGGAGAGACTTGGCGGCTCAAGGGCCGATAGGATGTTGTTTGATAGATGAACTTGCGTTTGTCCCTCGTTCTCCGCAGACGTGGTGGTTGTGTCGAGATGTCTGCACGAACATGCCTTGTTTCATTGGATCTGCCGTGAGACGTGTCATGACCAGAGTGAATCGCTGTCGCCACCATGGTTGGCTGCAAATCTTGGCTACTGTGGAAAACACTGTCCTGGCTGCTGTCGATGGCTATTACAGGTATTCCTAATGAGCCCCGGTCCCGACGCCGGCGAGTACCTCGGGACGAGGGGGAATAAGCCAGAAAACAAGTCCGCCCACCCCATTCAAGAAAAACAAGAGACACCTGGTTCCGCAAATGCTCGACTAATCACAACGCTGTACCGAGCCTCTGTGGCCTCAATAACGCCGCCTGAACCCGCCACCCAACAACGAATGGAAAACCGGCCCGGATGTGGCAGCCCAAAGACAATGCCCCCCCCCCCTTCCCCTCCCTTTTGGAGCCAACAAGGAGAGGACACGCGCCCTCAAAAGGTAATCTTCATTGCGTCCTTCATGTGTCCTTCGGTCGGGCAGTAGGGACACTTGTAGCGCGAGCCCTTTGCGATGCGGTGCAGGCTGTCGCGGCAGACGACGTGGCCGCAGGGCAGCATCATGGCCGGGTTCTGCTCCGTCGTCTGCTCCTTGCTGACGGGGCAGACGAAGATGGGATGGTAGATCATGGACTCGGGCAGGGGCGTCTCGAAGGCCAGCTCGTTCTCCGTCGTCCACTCCGTCTTCTTCTCGCGCATGTACGTCGTGTACTTGATGAGGCGGGGCAGGGCGATGGAGCCGGCGGTGACGGCCACGTACATGGGCGACTCGGCGGAGAGGCCGAGCAGGGAGCAGAACTCGCGGGTGAAGGAGACGGCCACGTCGTCAAAGGCCGAGTTGATCTCGAAGACTTGGCGGTAGGGCGACGCCTCGAGGTTGGAGATGTAGATGAGGGCGCAGGCGAGCTGCTGGATCTCGTGCAGGTGGCGCGACTGGAAGCGCGACAGGTGCCGGTGGGCGTAGGCGCGCGCGCCCCGCTGCCCGTTGCTCTCGTCGTCGGGCAGGCCGTTTGCGGCGTGACCCTTGAAGAGCCAGATGTACTGCAGCTTGCACAGCTCAAACTCGAGGTTGCTGCCCTTTGCCTCGAGGCGGATATTGTTGACGCGCGCCCACTCTATGGCCGGCGTGAGGTTGCGCTGCTTGAGCTGGGCGAGGATGCCGTACATTTCTGAGAATCTGTCTTGCAAATCCTCGGAGAGGTTCTGCATGGCCGAGTCGCCGTCGTCGTCCGCGTCATCGTCCGCGTCGTCTTCGTCGTCGTCCCTCTTCATCTCGTCGTCGCCGTCTTCGTCTATCCGGGAAGACGCGGTATGGTACACTGACATGGACTCGTCGTCCTGCCGTTGGTCTTCCTCCTCGCGGAGAAAGGTCGAGGCGACCGAGAACTGGCCCTCGCGCAGGAGGTGCATGGCCAGGGCGCGGTTGATGAGCGCGGGGTGATCTGCCATTGCGTCCGTCTCCATGGGGAGCTCTCGCTGGGGGAATGCCTGGGCTGGGTCAGCGCCTGCGTGCTTCGGACCGGATAGTACTGACCTTGTCGAGGGCCTTGCCATAGCCCTTCTGGGCCCTGGTCACGTCCTTTAAGTCGCTGTTGATGTCCTCGAGCTGGGCCTTGACTGGGTTTTGGAGAGCAGTCATTGTCATGCCGATCCTATGGGCGTCGACATCTAAGAAAGGCAGTTAGGGCAAAGTCCGGAGCGGGCATCAAGGGTCGTTGGTCTGCCATACCTCCGGCGACCTGCTCCCGCGCCTTGGTCAAGAGGTCAAGGATCTTGTCCACGTCGTCGATGGCAGTCTTCAGATTGGCTCTTCGCATACGAGCCAGATCGGCCAGTAGCGGGGCAAAGGGAGACTGCGTGTCTTCATCGGAGCCGGCCATGGCGCCGCTGGAGCTGATGGGCGTTCGACTCGATAAGAAGGCACGAAAGTGGCGGGTCTCTAGATAGAATAAGTGCGTGTGCAAAGCCGTGTATCCGATGTACTCCGTATGGCAGGTGCGTGACGAGAGAGGCCGGCGAAGGGCGGGATCTGGCAAGGTAAATCGTCGTCGTCGGCTGTCGTGGAGGCTCTGGGAATGTACGGAGCACGAGGACGCCCAGGCTCTACCGGCAAGTGGCTATCGATAATCAGCACATCAGGCAGGACGATTAAGTACCCCACTAGATACATAAGGTCCCGGCATCCGGCATCTATGGATATGGGTATGCGTCTAAGAGAGCTCCGGTCGGCATTGGCCTTGACCTTGCCACGGCGGTTACGTGCTGGAGATGAGATTGGCTCGGTCAAAAACGAGCTGTAGCAGGCCAACTGTAAGAGCAATCATCTTTGTTGCTCCAGAATGAGAATTCGCCATGGGTGCTAACTGTCGCTTCCGTCGGCGCTTTGCTTCGGCACCTCTCTTTTCGAATAGCCCCGATATGTCTATAACGCCATCTGCCGCGCGTGTGGGGTTCGAGAGGGACGTTTCAAGCCACACGATAATTACACCCTTGTCGCGGTACTCTGGAGCAGCAGCCACGTACTGCAACTTGGTTGCGTCACATGTGTCGCGACAGCTCCAACACCAGGAACCTTGCGCTCGAGACAAACCACACATCGCCGACTTGATGGTTGTAGCTTCGGGGATGCCCATCTCGTCAGCCTGGGTTGGCCGCGCCGGCAGATGGCATCGCATAGGAGCTTCCCCCCACCTGTGCACCAGGACGGGAGACTTCATCGCGACGATGAAGCGCCCTCCTCCAAGCCGGGGGCCGCGTTGCGCTTCTCCAAACAGGACGCTTCTTCGGCGCCGCCAGACGTCCAGATGCCGGATGGCGTAGCCTCGTCGTCGCTTGCCACTCCGGTCCCGCGGCGCAGCATTGTCTTCCCAGACCCTGTTGCTTTCAGGTACGGGCAGCAAAACACCCACGGGTGCGGTCCAATGCCGAATGCTTATGACTCCATCAAAGATTTCTCGAGGAAGACGCTTGCGTGCAGATTGTCGAGCACCGGAGCGTCATGCGCGGATACGAACTCTACCTCGTCGAGCAGTGGGCGTGCTCGAGAAAATCGCCTACCCTTGTCATTGCGACGTATACCGGGGACGAGACACACTCCATCACTGTCGGCGTGCTCGCAGTCCCGGAAGACGAGGCCCTCTGGTCCGCCAGGCTGCACATCTACCTCAAGGCTGCCCAGCAGCATCACGCTCGGCCCAAGGCGACTGATCTCGGGGAGCTGCTGGTCACGAACCTAAGCAGCTTTCCCTCCGCCCTCACCGTCATTCCCGTCCCGGATGGAGACGTGCGGAAACACCGACAGCTCTTCATCGTCAACGAGGACTTGAAACGACTGGGGTGCTCGGGCCGCTCGGGCTTGACTCTCACAGACCCGACCGAGGCAACCCAAGCCAAGTTTCATCAACTCTACAGGACCAGTGACCGGATCCCGTTTCTCCAGTCCGTCGCGGAGCTCATCAAGCTGTGCCAAGTCGCCCTCTACATGTTTGAGAAGCTAGACACCGAGTATATCGACGGCCTACTCTGCGATGTCACCGAGACTGCCATCGCCGACTGGTGGACCGAAGTCGGAGCCGAACACTACAATTTCGAGCCCACAGACGGCATCCTGGGGCCCTCGACCGTGGCCGCTCTTCTGGGGATGCTCATGGGGGCAAGAAACAGGCTGCACTGGTACGGGGCCCCGGTGTCAAAGGACGTCTTTGACATTGAAAACACCAAGCGCGGGGTCGCCTACTTTCAGAAGCAGCAGAAACTGGACAAGACACGACGACTGGACCGCCAGACTCTGTTCAGACTTCATACCGCCACGGCCAAGGCGGCCTCCGGGGAAGGCTGGGGCGTGCAAAAGGCCGTCAAATCGACAGTCAGTGAAATCGGCGGCAAGAGGGGGGAGATTGTCATGGACATGGTCTCTGGCAGGGACAAGGGAGGGCTCGCAGATATCGAGACGCTTGACATTGACAGATTTGCCAACCTTGCCTACGGTGAGCGGCCCAAGTGGCTCTGGCACGGGAAAGCCCGAAGAACGCATACCGAGCACGCCGACTATGATCAGGAACTCGGAGGCACCGTCTTGATCAAGCACGATACTGCCGGCCAGGCGGCCAAGCGCACGCAGTCCTTGCCCCTGGAGGAAGATCTGGAGACGAGAAAGAAGGAAGATGGCACCGCCCCATATTCGACGTTTCCACCCGGGCCGCCCACCAGCATAGCGGACAACGCTGGGGACCGGGACGCACTGAGGAGAAACGTGTTCAAGAGTGTGGCTGGGAAAATGAACGATGCCCGATCAGGCCTGGGCAGGATCAAGGACGCCGTCGGCGGCAGCCGTCGAGGCCACGCAAGCCGCCCGTCAGCTTCTGCAAAGGAGGACTTTTGGGAGAGCGGGAACACGAGCGCTGTTGCGGCAGGCGCTGCACAGGCATCTGCCTTGGCTTCCAGCCCGGCGGTCGTCTCGAGCGCCTTTCCCTTGAAGAACATGCCTGAAGAGTACCTGGCTGGCATTAGACGAGGAGATGCGGATGCGTTGCCACGGTCGTCGAATGACTATCGCGATGCATCAGCCTCGCTTTTGGATTCGAAAATAGGCAAGAAGCCGACAGACGAGAGGTCGTCAGACTTGGAGAGCACGCTCGACAACATTGGGACAGAGATACGAAAGGACATGCTGCCTCAATCATTGTCGCGAGCTCGACCCATGACGGACGAAAACGATCTTCAGGGGCCCTTTCTTGACGCAGAACGCAGGTCGGAGGGAAGGCAGCTGGCGGTGTCTCGACGGCACAGCTGCGGGGTCTCGGATCTTGCTCACAAGCACGCCATGAACGAGAATCGATGGGCGCGTCGGATGTCGTTTGGTGATGCGGAGCCAGCCATTCTCACGTGGACCGAGATTGTGGACATTATGGATACGACGGGCGACGTGGACCTTTACGGGGCTAGGGCGGACGGAGCCGAGCATCTCGGGCGGCTCATCGACGGCATTATGCACGACGCCAAGCCCTGGGTGGAAGAAAAGATGAAGATGGTGGAGCTGCTCAACGAGCGCTACGTCCGCCACAGCTCGGAACTGCAGAACCTTTACCAGCAGCTAAACGAGGCGTGCCAGCGAGTGAGGCACAACTCGGATGAGCTGCTGGCTGTGGAGCGCGGCAGCCTCGGCGAGAGCATCAAGGAGATCGAGGTTCTCTTTGCGCGGCTCGAGTACGAGATCGACAGCCTCGTGCAAAAGGTGCACGATGTGGAGGACGGGATTCAGAACTTTGAAAGGCAGGTGGACGGCGTGGAGAAGCGGGCCGAGCAGCTCAAGCTGCAGCTGGAGACGGAGAGCTGGCTGCACTGGTTTGTGAGGACGTTGACGGGCGTGGGGACGGGTCCCAACATTACGCGTGAGACGGGATGATGTTTACACTGGCATTTGCGCTGGAGCTCTGTATGAAATGTCCATTTTGGTATATGACGGCTGCCCGTTGATAGCGTCGTCTTTTTCCGGTGAGATTAACTAGCAGGCAGCAAAAGATGAGAGGGTGCCTCATTGTGAGATGGCGTCTGGTGGGCGAGAATGTCCATCTACATGGGCTCTCGCCGCAGCCGGCCGCTGCTTTTGTATACCAAGAAGAATGTGCCCGTTCAATACTCGTACAAGTGTCTCCGACCCCCGTCCATTCAGTCGACGTTGACCATGGCCCTCCCCTTTTCCCTCGTCAAGTGTATCGTCAAGCCACCCCATCCCGTCTGTTCCCAGGGACCGGCCCGGCTAGAAGAGGCCTCCGCCCTGCTGGGGCGCGGCGCCCATGGCCTGGCCCTGCTGCTGCATAATCTCGGAGACCTTCATGGAGGTGTCGAGGAACTTTGCGGTGCAGCGGTCGAGGCAGACGGACTCGCCCTTGTTGAGCTCGGCCTCGCGGTAGTCGGTGGGGATGCACTTTTTCTGGCATGCTTTTTGCAGCCTACGTCGAACGTGGGAGCGAATTATAGATCGTTAGCAGAGCCGACGGCGACGGAGATTGGCTTCGAGCAGGATACGAAGCAGCACAGGGGACGAACCGGTTGTAGGTGTCGGCCATCATGCGCATCTCGCCCTCGACGGCGGCAATCTTTTGCTCCGACGTGGGCTGCTGGCGGCCGAGTCCGAGGAACGACATGGTGGGCTGGCGTGTCTGGAGGGGAGAGGGAGGGAGGCGAGGGACGGGCGCTCGAGGGACTGAGCTGCGATGGAGAGTTGCCGGTCGGGGAATTCGGGAGAGGCGAGAGGTGGTGATGAGATGGAGAAACGGCCGGGCAAGTCGTCTCAAAATTCCCCCGTTTGGACGGCCATGGATTACCCGGCCCGGAGGCGGTGGCGGTCCATCTTATCGATAGGGCATGCGCAAGAATTAACAGAGACTTTTCCTTTCCTCTTCTGTTCCTTTTTCTTGTTCTACGAACGAACACATGAGAATTCATTTCATGTTCATTGGCATCGCTTCTCAAGACTTGATATGATGCAGACATTGCCATTCGAGGCCATCGTTGCTTGAAATAGAGAGAGGCAAGTCGCGCGCAAAGCATCCACCCTTCAACCCCTGCCCAGCGCCCAGCCCATGAAGAGAGCCCGAGGAAAGGCAACTCTCCCGGCCCCAAACCAGCGTCTAATGTTTAAAGGTGACATTCTTGGTTCTCACCCACTCGTCCAAGCCTCGGGCTGCGTTGAACCGCCCGTAGCCGCTAGCCTTTGCTCCGCCGTGCGGCAGGACGGCCTCGTCGTGAACCGTCTTGCTGTTGATGTGGACGGCCCCTGTCTCCAGCTCGCGCGCAAGCCGCAGTCCCCGCCCAAGGTCCTGGGTGAAGACGGCAGACGACAGGCCAAAGTCGGTGTCGTTTGCGAGGCGGATGGCCTGCTCCTCCGAGTCGATCTCGACGAGCGACACCGTGGGACCGAAGGATTCCGTCGTGTAAATGTCCATGTCCGCCGTCACCCTGTCCACGATGATGGGCCGCAGCCTCGTCTCACTTACTTGCGGTGCGTTGATGTCCCCGTAGATGATAGATGCGCCTCTGTCTGCGGCGTTGGTGATGAGCTGCTTGTTCCTCTGGACTGCGGCGCTGCTGATGAGCGTCAACGCTTCGGCGCTCGACGGGAATTCCTTTTCGACTGCGGCCTTGAATCTGTCCACAAACTGCTGCTTGACGGCCTTGTGGACGAGAATCTTTTCCGTCGACATGCAAATCTGGCCCGAATGGGCGAAAGCCCCCAAGGCACACTGCTCGGCGGCGAGCTGCAGGTCTGCGTCTTCCCACACGATGGCGGGCGCCTTGCCGCCAAGTTCCAAGACTACGGGCTTGAGATGCTCTCCAGCGAGCTTTGCAATGACGCGGCCCACGGGCGTGCTGCCCGTAAAGTTGATCTTCTTTACGTGCGGATTCGCAATGAGAGCCGCCGTGGCCGAGGCAGCCGCAGAGCGCTCATGGACAATCATGTTCAATACACCGCCGGGCAGTCCGGCTTCGTGCAGGGCAGAGACCATGGCCCATATGCATCGGGGCGCCGTCTCGGAAGCCTTGAGAACGACGGTGTTGCCGGCGGCAATGGGGAGCGCAAAGGCCCGGACGCCGAGGATGAAGGGGGCGTTCCTGACGGCGTGTAAGTGGCCTGGTCCGATCGGGGGACAGGGGACATACCACGGCGCAATGGCCAGAACGACGCCGTACGGCTCCCGCATGACGATGCCGCTGGAGTCGGGATCCATCATGGCCGGGAAAGATCCCTCCAAAGTCGCGATACGGCCGGCGGTATCCTTGAGCATTTCCGTCGCATGGTCGATGTTGAAGTCTGCCCACGACCTCGCGGCGCCGGTTTCTTCCATTAGACAGCGGGTGAGCTCCTCGCGCCGACTGTTGATGATGTCGGCCGCTCCCAGCAAGATGTCCCGCCGCCGCGAGGGCGTGGTCCGCTTCCACGACGTGAAGGCGCCTGCGGCAGCGTCGACGGCGGCGGCGGCATCGTCGACGGAGGCGGCGCTGCACCGATGGGCCGTCTTTCCGGTGGCGGGGCTGACGACGTCGAATGTCTTGGGCGGGTGGTGTTCTTGGCCGTTGATGAAGAGGGGCACGGTGAAGGAGGCCATGGCTCTTTCGTGTGCAGGGTCCGGGGAGCAGGGGATGTGCGGGTAGGCGGTCTTGCGCAAGGGGGGGAGAGGGGATGGGATCTACACAGCTCAGCATAAGCAGCAGCGGGCGGTTTAGTAAGAAAACTCGTCGACGAGCTGGTGGAGGAGAGGGATGGAGGAAGAGGGGGGGATGTTGGCTAGACATGAAGATGCCGTACAACAAGGGTCGGAAGCAGATTGGGCCTCTCGGGCATCCCAGCCCGTGATAGGTGCTGACATTTCAGACATTTCCTGCGGCATGCAGGACCTCGATGGAGTCACGCAAGTGCAGGGAGGATGGGCAGTGGACTTGCTCTCTCTTCGGCTACTTGGTGATGCTATCTCCACTGCTCCAGCGCGGCGGGATCGAGGAGCGGCTGGGCCGGGGCGTTGGTGTTGATGCGCACCACCTCTGCAGAACAGGGGAGATGAGCCCATAATTATATATCATACCAACTTGTATAAACATGCCTGCACGTACCGTGTTCGGGACGAGCGCCCGGCAGGACGAAGCGCACGGCCGCCTTTGTGCTGCATGGTTCGGCGTGCGTCGACGGCGCGGGCCGGAGCACCATCTTGGTGGGAGGCCGAGGTGCCGCGGCCGACGCTCCGTGCTCTCTTCTGTCGGCCATGGACGAGACGGGAGGCCAAAGTCGATGATGTCGGTGGGCTTGCCTCGGTGAGGGACGCAGTGTGACTGTCGCAAGGGAGCGGCTTCGTCCAAGCGGGCACTGTCAGGCAAACATAGACGCCGCGCGTACAGGCCTTGCTTACGACGCTAATAAAGAGGATCCTGGATCCTGGCCTTATCGAGTTAAAGGTATAAGTTACTAAATAGGTTTAACAGAATAATCATCAAACCGTATAGATGGCGAGAACCGCCATTGGCCTGCCAACTCAGGCACGAGCCACGCTCCAGGCGATGAGGCCGTGGCGAAAAGTAGAGCAGTCTGGAGTTTGAATCCCCAGCACACAAGGCCGGGTTTCTCTGGAAGCCGATTCCACATGGACGCGGCCAAGCAGTGAAGTGGTCAAGAGGCCATTGCGAGGTCGTCTTTGCCGGACCAAACGTTCTCTCCCGCTGTTTATCGCAAACACACGATTGCACACTTACATGGGAACAGGACTGGCTCCTATTACCTTGCAATGAGTGTGATGACTGGTGGAAAGTTATGGAAAGTTGGCGGCGTTGGCGGATCCCATCTCTCCTTTATTCGGCGGTTTAGATAGTTCTCGTCAATTGCCCGACGCGCTCTCTGGCCCTTCTGGAGCCCAACGTCTGACCCTGGTTGTCATGTAATTGGCGCCACATCTCGCAGACTTCTACAGTGATCAAGAATGCCGCACTGGGAGGCCAATTTATCGATGAGAATTATCTGGAGAGAAAAAAGCGATAGTAGCCATCGCACACGTTCGTGCAGCCAAGTCATACCCTGATCATCCAACACACAGGTTTCCGTGTGATGCGACAGGTGGCGATACCAACCCAACGAGCGACCATCTCGACAAGCTTGAATGAACCGGCGTTTGCATGGAATTGACACGTTGAAAAAATGGACTTTTGAGTGTTCGCCTCGCTCGTACCAGAGCCTTTTGTTCTTCCTACGTGCGCCTAGAGAATCGCGAGGGCGTTGGCTGGCGAGCCAACGAGGCAAGGATGATTCAGAGGCGCCGATGTTACCAAGAAGGAATACCGCTTCGTCTTTTTGCAATATTCGGACAGGTTTTTGAGGTCCCAGAGTTCGCCAATCGGCATGCCAAAGAGGCCGAGCAGGTAGTGGTGAAGAACTGCCAAGATTAGTGTCGAGGGCTTAGCATTGCGGAACCTTGGAAGTGAAATGTTTCACATACCCAGATTGTCCAGTTCGCCGAGCGTTCCGTCAGGCTTCACCGAAGTAAAGGCTTCGAGAGCAAATGTGTCGGATGCCACGGCTGCGAATCGCTTGTTCCAGAGCCACCTTGCCATTTCCTCACTCCCGTCAAGGCCACTCATCCGCCCCGACGCCAGCCTTTTCATGTCTTCCTTGGCCTGGTTCTCGAGGGCATCTGTCGTACCGGTTCGGATGGTGAGAACGTCTCCGGGCCGGAACTCGACGCCAAAGAACTTGGCGCAAGACTCAAGGTCCTTTACTTTGATGGAGATTCCGTCCAGGGGGCTGAAGGGGACGCCCGTCTCTTCTGCAAATGCCTTGTAGTCGAGCAGCACGCCTCGTCCGACGAGGCCCCCGTGGGGGTGCCAGTGGTCCAGGGTGGGCAGTTTGTTCTCCACGGTTGATTTGGCAGCAAGGGACTGCTTGTCCGGGCTGAAGCCGTTGTAGACGAGGCCAGACGGAAGGTGGTGGATGTGGCACAGGCTATCCCACTGGCTGCTATCCTGCGTGTTGAATTCAAGCTCGTCGTCCCACGACTTCCCGACGACGCCCTTCATCGTCTCCGGGAGATACTTGACGTTGTGTTTGGGCTGCGTACGGCAGAGGGGTTCAACCTTGCTGATGGCATTGAGAGGCCAACTATAGGAGCGGCACTGGTGAGCGGAGCCCAAAGCTTGCTGGTGTTTGCATCGCCGACCGCTATGAGATGCTTGTTTCTTACTTGAGGGAGATGGACACGCCATCCGTGACCTCGGCAACAGCTGCCTTGATGACAGTCGGCGTGAGAAAGTTGAGCGTGCCTACAAGGTCCTTCTTGCCGCGCTGGTCGAAGATGCCCCAAGCGCAACCCTGGGGCATGCCCTTTACCTGGGGCAAGTGGTCGAAGTCTGGCACAGACGCCGGCTCAACGGGCATCCTGGCTGGGAGGAGGAGTAGTTGCTTCTCCAGTCCGAACGATGAGGTAGGTAGCTGGGTCAGACGATGACTGGCAAGGGAGCAGGTAGGACGGACGGTTGAATAGTCGCGCAAACTTCAAGAACAGTCGGGATTTGGGACCGGGAAAACGGGAGAAAGATGCGAGGGAGATCAAACCGCTAGCTTGAAAGAGAGGCGAAGGGCTTATAGCAGCATCGATCGCGGGAACTCGAGACACCTTCACGTGCAACATCATTTGGTGGGTAGCATACGTAGTTTAGCAAGGCGGCTTGTGAACTCCATTCGACGGCAGTGATGGATCCGGTTCTGCGGCCTGGTCCCCGCCCATAGCAGAGCTCAATCCAATCGACGATGAGGTATAATGCTTCCAAACCTCTCTCGGTACGACGGCGCTTTAAATTGGTCAGCTTGAGCCTATAGCATCGTGCTCGAGGCAACGAGTCGACAACTCCATACATGCGCCCCCAGGAGCCAGTCATAACCTCGATCACACCACCCTCGTACAAAAGAACCGTCGTATTGTCGGCGACTGGATTTGCAGCGCACTGTATTCACGTGATAGTTGGCCAACTCGGCGAAACCATGCGTCGCAACTCATGGATAGGTGCATCCGCAGTCACCCGTGCCATGCTCTACTTATTGGAGCCCGCAGCGCAACAGCCAGTAGCTAGGGTCCAGAATCTCAGCTTCCCGATTCAAGTCCCTCCATCTCAACCAGGACCTCGTGACAAGCCGAAATAGAACCACGTATTCAAGAAGCGCTTCGATTTACGGCGGCAGCCAAAAGAAAGAGGCGAGGATGCCGAGCCAAAGACGTACTTGGAGCAGAAGGGCTGGAGAGAAGGGCGGACACGCTTGGAAAGGTCCTGAATCCTGAATTTCCGATCATCGGATCTCGTTCTGTCGTTTCAGTCAAAGCCCCTCAGACTAGGCGTCAGAATCTAGCCTTTTGCTTTGTTAACTAGGCGCTTTGTGGGAATCTGCTACGGATCCGGTTAGAATCGGCTCGCTTCATACTTGGAAGTTGGGGGTCTTCGAGTCGATCAAATCCCCGAGACTTGCCTTACAGTCTGGGGGAAACGAGGACTACAATGCCGCCCACTATGAATCGTGTCGCACAACATGTAAGTGATACCACTCTATAGTGGGTGCAGCACGGTCATCTACTACGTTCGGGGAAAGAGAGAGCCAATGAACGGCATAGGACTTGATTGTGTTTGACATGAACGTGCTGCATAATATCCCACGGCAATACGGACCGCGTAGCCGCCGCTCAAGCACGAGCATGTCCAACGCTTCACATGATGCCTTCTTGTCGCACGAGCTGCGGCGGACATATGCTGCGTTTGACGTGTTCAGAACCCGTCGGACTGCAGGCTGAACCCGCAGTTGCTTTACGCTTTGCTTGCATGAACCAATGCAACGCAAAAGAGCACACTGCAACGCGTCTTATCGACCCCAATATGAGGCAGGTCCCCGAGGGTGTCGCCCCGCCGTCGTCATAATCGTGAACCTCGCAGTGCCCGGGGCCAGAGTCTGAGTCAAGGCATTCGTTCCGCAAGACAGGGAGCTGCTCACATATGACACGTCAAGAATCAGAGAACTGATGAAGTCTCTGCGCCGTTGTTAATGGACTCGGGCCTACATGGCAAGTGAAGGGTTTGTCAGGCCGATATCAGGTTGCCATATCCTGCCGTCTGTTGCCGTTTCTTCGCACTGCCATCTGCCCCCTTGCTCAGCCAAATGGCACTAACCTCAGTGGAACCTAGGCGTTGGATTGCATTGTTCCCGATGACAAACTGAAGCCATGAAGGAAATCGTTATGTTATTTTGTAGGGAATTGAAGTATCTATTCGGATTCGGGTTCTCTTGGTGCGCGGATCGATCGAGTGCGCTGAAGAGGCTCAGGCCCCTTCACTTCAACCACTAAAGCTGTCTTCGTTTCTGGCCCCGCCTCCTTCTCGGCGGGTTAAAACCCACCACAATGGGGTTCTTTAGACGCCTGCTTCCTAGAATCGCTTCACGGGCCGCTGGAGCTTCAGTCGGACTCATAAAGCGTCTATGATGCATGAACAAACATATGGGCCACCAATTCGAACCAGAAGTAAGAAAACTCATCGGAATTCGGCTGGACAAACGCGACTAAACGTGGAACGGTTCAAACGATCCTAAGAGATCAGGCGACCGGCCACGTTTTGCCGCTAATTAGGCCTTGCAATATAAGTTCAAAATGCATAGATATCCCTGGAAGTTCAAGGCGCGAATTTGCGTTCGAGGTGTCCTCTAATAAAAGAAGACGCAACAATAGGGTCTGATTATTTCAAAGGCGGCAGGCATTAGGTTTTGAACTCGAATCGTCTATCACTAGCCTTGGCCGCACGTCAAAGCCCGTCACTATTAACGTCAAGCTTAGCTTCCGACAGGCCAAGCTCAGAATCAGACACCCCCGGCTCAGTCCTCGATTTATCATATCTAGAAGATCCGTCGGCATTTCATATTACCCCTTCTACATTTCTCCCATGGCCCGGCATATAGCATAATTCGGAGGTCGGTCGCACGAATAGAGTGTTGGATAAGGCCTCAACACAATCTGTATATCTCGGCAGCCTCGCTGTAATTAAGGGCACCTAACCATATTAATATAAGCAAAGGAAGAAAATAGAAGCATATACCTATAATCTAGGCAGGCCTAGCCTTTTTGCTACTATAAGTGTAGCGGGCTACTACTAGCAATCCCTATACTATTATGTGCCTCGATTCGACGAGTGACAAGTAGCTCCTAAGGCGGCGCGGATGGCTCTATCCTAGTAACTGCTGCGAGATAACGCCTATATCGCTGCTTACTACTTCTATAAGCGTTATATGCTGCTTAAGACTATTCTCCTAAAGCAGAAGTCTACCCTAACGGAATTTTATAGCCGTTACGAGTAGCAGAGCAAGGGTTCCGGTTACTACCATGCCCCACCCCCCTTTCGGTAACACCCACCTTTCGGTAGCGCATTAGAAAATATCCCCACCAAAAACCATCAATTTCACTTACACGGATTCCAGCCAGCTTTGAAGATATTCACAAGCCGTCACTTGGAGTAGATAGTGGATTGATTGAATTCTACTTTTCGATGGTTGAATGTTTGTACAGGGGTCTGCGGCCTGTGCGTACCTTGCACGCGAAATTACCATCCAACCCCCTAATCTCCTTCCGCCTCCTGACGATGATTCTTCTCGTTATTCCTCCACCACATGACCAAAATGACCTTAAAGCGGCCTCGGAGTATTTATACGGAGGATATTATGGCTAATGCGATAATTGATGTCACAAAAAACGGCTTGTCCAGGGTGGTTTTCCATATCTAAATATGGAAATACCCTTTCCATGAATGGCATGGAATAGGTATGGATATGGATCCATGTATTTCCATACTATTGGCTGAACCACGCCACTAACAAGGGTTCCTACAGGGGCTACCTACAGGGCTGTGGGCCTGGAACCCCGCTACAAATCCGCACATCCACAAAATCAGCCTCACCACCAACCCACAGCATACCATTATCACCTGGCGACAATGGATTCTGAGCCTGTGTTAGTTATGTTTCTTCGATTCTGAATCCATTGCTTCGGATTCATTCGCGTCTATATCTCCCAAGACAAGAAAAACCTGCTTTTGGATCATGAAAACATGCTCATCTGGCAGTAGTGTACCGGTAGTAAAAGGGTTAGGGGAAGCGGAGTTCAAAGGCAGGAACCGCCTCATATATTATCTTTATTGTCCCCAGAATGATCCCTACAGTACTTCTGTCACAGCCAGCTTTCGAAAACACCCTGAGGGCAAGAAAGTATGTCATCAACGTCGCAGAGAATTTATCTCCTCTTCAACCGTCCATCATCGAAGGATTTGATCAACTCTACGGGCAAGCGTGGGATCTGGGCCGTGTCTTCAAAGGCTACCTTGACCAAGAAATTATCAATAAAGAGAATTCGCCCTATTACGCCGCTTCTTTGGTCCTTCATCCAAGCTATCGCACGACGTACATCCACTCAAATTAGAAGAAGTGGCATAAAACTGCTTTCAAACGGGTCAAAGACCTTTGCTACTCTTACCGAAATACAAACGACGGTACAATTTCGTATCATGTACTGGACGAAGAAGAAGACAATGGCCTTGATGCATTTGATCGTATTTCAAGAAATCTGCAGAATTGTGCTCGACCTACAAGTCAAGACGAGTATGAAGATTACATCTCAGGTGATCCATATGAGATTGCGCCAACAACTGCTTTATCATGGTGGCTTCAAGAGCGACATAGGAACCGACGGCCGAAGTTATCACGAATGGCAATAGACATCCTATCAATGCCAGCGATGAGCGACGAGCCGGAACAGGTGTTTTCAGGGCTCGTCGTACGATCTCCTGGGAAAGGGCACAATTGGATGCGGACCAAATTGAAAAGGAGAATTGGTTGAAGCATTGGGTGAAGAACAATGTCTTGAAGAGGGAAGGGGCGGTGGCGTGACCGTGGCGTGAGAATTCGTGCAAATTCCCGTCTGATTTCCCTCCTCGTCTTGGAACAAAACACGTAAGATTTGCCTACCCTCTCTTTTTGGACATTATCATTGAGCTCAATCAATTACTTCGTATTTTTAATTCACCATATGGTGTGAATTTGTCCATCTTGTCGAAGGTGTCTTCAGTGACATTTTGTCGTCGTGCACGGACCAAGTATGGAAAGGTGTATTGCAATACTTGCAATAAATGTGGGGCCGATACCGATTATCGATTGCAGGCCTTTCCATGTATGGAAAACCACCCTGGGCTTGTCGCAGTACCGCGCCGCCCAAAAGTATGACATACCTCAGCAGTCTATTTCCGACAGACTCAAAGGCCAGGTAGCCCTGGCTGATCAGATCCAGCCTCGTCAACTCTTGAGTAAGTCTCAGGAAGCTCGCTTGGTTTCTTGGATCCTCCGCCAAGAGTCTCTCGGCTATGCTCCCTCCACAGTCAGATCCGCATGTGTGGAGGCTCTTATAAAGCAACTGAACAACGAGCGGACAGTGGGGCGCAACTGGGTCTCTAAATTCATCAATCGCCATCCGGACATCAAGAACAAGCGTGGGAGACGTCAGGAAGCTAACCGATTTAATGCTTTTACGCCTCGGGCGGTTCACTGGTTCTTCGATATCAGGGAAAAGGAGTATGGATGGATTAAACCAGAAAATACCGTGAATGTTGACGAAGGCGGTATTATGTCTGGCTTTGGTGAGTATTTGGCTTGTCTTTCATTACTTTTACTAACCAGACTCTTTTTGCCAGGTTTGGATAGTCTTGTGGTTGGGAGTGCAGACCCAAAACGGAAGGCCCTTCTGAAAGGGCCACAGTCCCGCAACTGGACCTCATTTATTGAAGCTATCACCGCGGACGGCCGTGTCCTTACCCTGGCATTATCTTTAAGGGCAAAGAGCTTCAGAAACAGTGGTTCTTGACGGAATTCGGCAAAATAGCCGACTGGCATTACATAACGTCGCCCAACGGATGGACGGACAACCATATCGCTATTGAGTGGCTTGAGAGGGTCTATTTGCCCCAGACGCGACCAGCCGATGCCTCAGATGCTAGACTGATCATATTAGATGGACATGGAAGTCATGCAACGGTGCGTTTCTTTATCCACCTCTGTAGGAATTACTGTTAACCGAGACCAGGATGCATGGATGGCCACATGCTTTTTGAACAACGTTTATTGCTGTTACCTTCCTGCCCACTGCTCTCATGGCCTCCAGCCGTTAGATAACGGTGTATTCAATGCCTCCAAGGCAGCTTACCGGAAAGAACTTCAGAAATTGACCTGTTTGACCGATTCTGCGCCTGTTCATAAGGTCAATTTTATACGGGCATATGCTAAAGCGCGCGAGGTTGGAATGACGGCAAAGAATATATTGTCCGGCTGGAGGGTCACTGGGAATTGGCCGATCTCACGATCCAAGGCATTGCGGCATCCAGAAATTCACGCGGACATTGTAGAGACGTCTCCAAAGTCCGCGCCATTTTGGGTTCTGATGATACGCCAAGAAACAGCCGCCAGATTCGCGATTTCGGAAAGAACAAGACTCCTGGCACCCGGAGACGATACGCCGTGATAGCTAGAGGCTTTGAAGCCCAAGAACAGACGCTTGCCGAGCACAGCAACAGAATCGCGAAGCTAGAGGAAGAAGTGGCCCGGCTGCAGAGAGGCAAGAAGAGGAGAGCAATTCCGAACCCGAACAGACGGTTCATGACTCTCAGTGAAGCTTTGGTGGCTGAGGAAGCCATTCCCAAATTAAAAGCCAGAGATAGCCGTTGTGCTGAATTCTGACACAGAGGAGGAGGCGGTCTCAGAGGTGGAGACAGCTTCAGTGATTGAAGTCAAGGTGGCACGAAGCCCTTCCAGTCACCACCAGATCCGGGCGAATGGTAAAAAGCGCCGGTACATATAAGAGCGTCCATTTCTCTACGGAATGATATATTTTTTGTGTTTATAATGTTAAGTTCTGATCATATTTCATGTAGTTCAAATGGTAGACTTTTGGTGGAGAATTTTTCAATTGCGCTACCGAAAGGTGGGTGTTACCGAAAGGGGGGTGGGGCATGGTACTATGGCCTATATCAGTAAGTGACCACCTAGACTTGGATTATAATAATAATAAGGCCAAGGAGTGACTCGCCTAAATCTAGGGATATTATATATCTGCTATCAACCTAGAGTCTTAGCGAATATAGATAGGTACCCAGGGAAGAGGATCCCTTAGTTGGTAATATACTAGAGCAGCCCCTCACCGTTTAGTTCCTATCGATGGTAGTCAACCGTATGTAACGCTACCGCTGTGATAACTACCATATGCAGCTTAATAAGCATACCAAGCAGGGTAAAGTGCCCTTTAGACTTCTTTACGGCCAGCGCCTGCTAGTCTCCCTTGACAAGGTTCTTTACTCTAAGCGCTGGAGATTTAGGGGCGAGCAGAACGATGGCCAGCTAGATTAACCACTACAAGCGCTTGCTTACCGTTGCGTGGCTAGCCAATGTACATGTTACGCCCTACACGAGTCTACAGCAGGTAATCGATTACGCGGCCAAATACTGCTCCAAGTCTGAGGATGCAAACCACTCAACGGCCGCAGAGCACGCCGACGCCTGCCTGGCAGAAAGCAGACTGAATCATCAGTCTGGTCCGACGGACGTAGACCGGACCGCCAGTCCAGTGCGAGAGACATGTACAGGACCATTAGTCCATGGACTACCGGTCTGGACTGCAGTTTGGACTATTAGTCCTCTTAATGGTCTGGACTATTATGAGCTCTGGCAATAGGCGGCATTTTTTAATCTAACGGAATAATTGCATACAAAGATCGAAGGCTCGGACATAGTAACCCGCCGTAATAGTTCTCCACCCATAACTATGCTTCCTTTCCGAGGCAATCCGCAGGATCGTCAAATCGGAGACCCTTATTGACTCACGGGGCCGTTGTCAGGAAGAACTTTCTTGGCACGAAAATAATGAAAGGCCTGGTGTATTCGCATGATCTGGCCAGTCGTAATCTCATTCCTGCAAGCGCTTTAAGCAATGCCAGTCAAATGCCGATGTGTAACGGGTTCTACCGATGACCACTTACTCGAAATTATAAGTCGTAATATTGTTCACAGGATCAGGGCCATGAACGTCAATGCAGGTATTAGCTTGAAAACCTTCCCCCGACACGAGTTCTGGGACGCAACCCGTGGCAGAACACCTCAATTTCGCGGCTTCACATCCATAGGTAACGGCAGCTTGAGGAGGTGTGTCGGGGAGCAAGTCGACATTTGAATCGCAGGGGTGCCGACCGGGAGACGCGTCATAAAAGGGGTGAAGAAGGCTCAGCCAGTGGCCCGCCTCGTGGACAGCAGTCATTCCCAAATCGGTAAAAATCCCAGGGCTACCAGGAGCAGTGGATGCTAGTACGCAGGCACCATCCAGTATGACTTCGGTTTCATTTGGAAGACGGGGAGAACCATCGGTGCTAAAATACCAGGGGAAGGAAGCTCGGCCTTGAATTTCGGCGCCTCCCTGTGAAGGTAACTAACGAAATATAGGTTAAAGCTGGAGAAGTCGCCTCTTCGTAGCTCCTTCTTCATTCCAATCTCGTCCTCACCTACGGTCCATTTAGGATTGGCTGTTCGACTGATGTTACTGAGGGTAAAATGGACGTTGGCAGGACGATATATTCGGTTGAGAACCTCCATCTGTTTGTTGATGGTGTCATTCTGCCAAAAGAGTCAGTAAGTATACCCTCAATCACAATAGAAAGGGCTTGCTTACACTGACGAAGCTTTCGTCAGGCCAGGTTCGGAATGGAAATATAGATAAAGATGGGCTAGGTAAAGCATGAGTACAGTAGAGTCATTAGATGAATCGGGTCCCACCCGAGTGGGAGTCGCGTCGTATGGGTGTGGCCAAATAGAGATTTGGTCTTGGGCAAGTAGTAGGGCTGACGCAGAGAGTATACAATTGTATTTGACTGGGAAGAAGGGGTTTACCCTCGCGAACGTGGTTATTCGCCGACCTTATCCTTTGGGCGCCTGTGCCTTTCTTCACTTTTAGTAGGTAGGCTCGATAATAAGCAGCAGCTTCGTGGATGTGTCCCGGCTTTCCAAAGGAGACTCGAATCCCACCGGGCACAGGCCGAAACCATGCATCCTTTCTCTTTGAAGCCTTTGAAACTCTCGGCGTCGGCGTTCCCGGCCATCAAATGCGCGTTGGGGGGGGGCCAAGGACTCAGCCATAGGGCAACATGGTTAGGCCAAGCCCCCCGACAGTGGAGTGCTCTCCCCCCGAAGCAGATGGTGGAGTGCAAGGCCCACTGTTGCCTGCTGGTAACCAGTGGTGGGACGCATCGGGCATGCCAGCAGCTCAAGTCGGCGCCAGCATGCCCCTTGTCACGGACCTGAGCGCCAAGGATGTCACGCGCGCCATCACGTGACATGGCTACTTTTGTCCTTCGCGCGATGAAGCCACATGGTGTCTTTCTCTTGCTTCCTTGCGCTACGTCTGGTATCTAGAACCGACGTATGCTGCTTCTTCAACCAACCCTTGCCTTGGAGAACATTGCTCAGCTTGATCTCGATACGAAACCCTCACACCACTGGTGTGGGTTTCCAGTAACTGAACCGGTGGCGCTTACAAGCTGCTGGTTATTAGCCGTCTCACCATCTTGGTTCGACCGCATTTCATCATGTTTTTATTTACACCACCATTCAATAGCGACATCTTTGATCTTGTCCAAAAGGCTCTCCCGGTTCCAGGCGCTGTCCTCGAGGCGCTGTACCTGATGTACTCTGTGCTGTGACACCAGCGGGTCCGCGAAGACAACTCGGGTACCCGTTGAGAGATGGCGGATGAGGTCCAGGCCCGGCGAGTTGGTAATGGTTGGTTGTCCAGCCTTATACGCCACCCCGACCACGAGCACCCGAGGCTTGGTCTTGTTGAATCGCCCGACCATGAGTTGCCGAATCGCCCGCTTGGCCATGTTGGCAGGCCGGCGTGACATGGTCTCGCTGGCGGCACGCAAAAGGGGGAATGGACAGGTCGAGAGGAGATAGTAGGGGTTGACTGGAAGGCAAGGGCCGCCGACGCCGACTCCCGGGGTAAAGGGCAAATATCCGAATGGCTTCGTCGACGCAGCAGCGCATACCTCAAATGGGTTGATGTTGTACGGCATGCAGGCGTCGGCCATCTCATTGGCATAGGCGAGGCATATCATGCGCTGGCAATTTTCGTACAGTTTGGTCATTTCTGCCACTTCCGGGGTCGATACGGGAACAAGACGTCGGAAGACTCTGCCGTATAGCTGCGTAATCTTATCTAGAGAACCAGGAACCACGTCATCCAAGCCCGATACCACCTTTGGTATGGCATGCGCAGGTGGCTCCGCGCGGCCCGGGTCAATGCGCTGTCATGCTTGTAGGCACGGTTAGCAAACAGAGTCTGGTTAGCCCAGGCCCATGGCCAGACGTGCCTCAGGAGACATTCCCGCGTAATGACGACCGTGCTTCGCCAACGGGCCGAGCAGCCTCCTGGTCGTGCCGAGGGCAACAGAGCTTTCTATCACAATGGTGGACCCCCGGCGGGCGTGAGCAGCCACCGTCTGGACCGCATCGCGCAAGCACGACAAGTCGATGCTCTTGTCGGGGAGAAGGGGCGTGGGCACCGAAATCAGGTAGTGCGTGGCTTTCTCTAGATGCTGCGGGTTGGCTGTCAAGACTACTCGTGAGTTGGGGGAAAAGGCGTGCTTCAGGTTGTTAATGCGGGTTTCAGACAGGTCGTAACCCAGCGTGTCGTATTCCCGTGAGAAGACTTCAACCAGGCATGCTCCAACGTACCCCACCCCAACGACTGCAACGAGTGGTGTTGCAGGCGGCTCTAGGAGCATGTTGAGATGCCGATCCTCGTGCTCGACTTCATATTGTGGCTGACGACGGCTGGCTGCATGTGGGTACATGTAGCAGACGGTGTCGAGCGCCTCGGGCGTAAAGCCCACCGGGGCCATGTCTGGGGCGTTGGGCCACGGATAGGTGGTTCTGTGGGGGGCGGAGGAAGAAGCGGCAGTCATGATCTTGCCGTCGAGTGTGTTGAATGTCAAGTGTACGGGAACGTCCAGCGCGGGAAGTGTCGGCTTTAAAACCCCCGTATCAATATTAGCCCCTAATTACATGTATGTGTCCAATGTGAATTGACGTGTCAAGTTGGACATTCCCAGCTGAATACATGTATACAAGATGATGAATCGAAATCCTCAAGAACCGGGGGTGTCTGCCAAGGTGAAAACTACCTAGGTAGGTTAGTTGGTGACAGAAACTCGGGTTTCTGTTACCTTCCGACGCAGCAGAGAGGCAGTCATAGGAGTTCCTGAATGGGCAATTGATAGAGAGACTCGATTGATTGATTGATTATCAGAACGGATCATAAAGATTGATGATGATTGAGGGGAGGGATCACCCCGCTGCGGCTGAGAGCTATGCCCCTCCCTGACCTTACGGCCTTGCAGCCCAACAGTCCCTTGACTATATAAGGTAAGTACGAGTAGCCAACTTCGGCCTTGACCTCAGCGTTACAGAGAAGGAAGTGGGCTATCCGTGGCTTTGCAGGCGCCCCGACGACATACGGCGAGAGATTGGGGTCCTGGAGCTTTGTGTCATCATCACAGATAACGAGGGAGGCCTAGACAATGCTTCCCCCCAAGCATAGCAGCAGCAGTGCCTTCATATGGGACGGCACTAATGACGTCAACAACGCCAGGTAAGGGGGGGGGAGAGGGTGCGGCGGAGAGGCGGCGGCAAGGGGGCCAAGGGGCCGCTCAAACGACACCAACAGCGCCCTGGAACAACAGCCCGACAATCCTGCCGCCGTGGCAACCACAGCAGAAGAAGTAGATGAAGGAGTCCCGAGGGCGGGAAACGATCAGCTTCATGTTGACTCCAGCCGGGACGGCATGTTACATGTACGAAGTATATACGCCAAAGCCGAGCCTGACATCAAGCAGGCGTGGCAGCTACTTGTCAAGGTCTTCGGGCCGCGACAGGGGTACATTGTGACCTATATCGTCAAGGAACATTGAAGTCATGCCTTGGGGCGAGAGAGCAGTGGGCATAATGCTTCATCTATCATCATCACAACTTCGGGCAGAGATTGAGTCAATCCCTACGCATACGGCACATGCAGGAGACGCACGACTCGGCACTCACAGGGCACCCTGGCCGGGACACGCCAAAGACTTTGTTGAGTCCAAGGTTCTATTGGCTGGGTCTGGATGCGGACGTACGACAGTTCGTGAAGAACTTTGATGTATGGGGCCGAAGCATCATTTGGAGACGCCATTCGAGCTGTTACGAATCAGGCAGAGACTATCGACAGCGTGGCATCCCGAGACAGATTGTGCGACGGAGAGAGCCAATCAAGAGGTCGGGCGGTTCATTCGCATATTCGCGACGTATGCGCAGAATACATGTAACTAGGACGAGCTATTGCCTGCGGCCACGATTGCCATCTGGCATCAACAGTCGCAACTGTACCTCCACAGGTCTCAGCCCGTTCTCCCTCACGCACGGATATCATGTTGAACCCGTAGGAGTCTCGGCACCGCTCTTGACGAGACCCATACGAGCTCTAGGGCCTTCGAGTTTTTATCTCCTTTCTTTTCTCTCCAGCTTTAGGATACTCGTTGCAGGCGCTCAATTACTTGTCAATACACTCAGTTGAGACCGTTACAATACCAGCTGGACGAGACCAAGGGTTCCTCTCCCAGAACTGCTTCCAGGTTGGGCGCGACGCAGCCTGAATCGGCAGGCCGTCATATAACACGGACTCGGGACCCATATCTCGAGTCAACCAGCCTGTCTACACGCATCATATTAGGCCAGCTTATACATAGAGTAGGGGACAGCAGATTATCCGTACATGGTTAATAGTAAAGAGGCAGTAAGGTGATTGTAAGGTATAAAATCGCTGGAACAGTGGAAAGCAAATAATATTCGTAAGGGTAAGTGCCTGAGGGTGCTTGACTAGAAAGGTAATATCGTGACAGAGTTCGACAGCAATATTAGCCCAGGTTAGGGGATATCTCGATCTATATAGACCATATTAGTTTTTATTAATCACGCCTCTTGGCAAATCAGGCTTCCTACCCGCTTAATGCATCGGATTCCATGCCAATTAGAAAGATGAATATCCCCCACAAGCGTATAATTCCAGTCAGCGGGCGTATAAGGTTGTTAATAATCTGCGTTGCCATGCGCGGATTGCTATTAGAAATTTATTAGTGATCCAATACATAACCAGGAAGAAAGACGGGCACCCGACTTCATAAACCGCGGGATATAGAAAACAGTTCGCCAGGTCACTCTTATCGAGTTGCGATGCCAGCGCGTACACTGCCTAAGAAAGGCGCAAGAGTCTTTAGCAGTACTAAGGACTTCTGCCTCGGGATTGGACTGGACCCTAATAGACCAGCCGTGCGATTGGACCCATCGTGTAATATACACATCATCACCGGAGTCGAGGAGGTACTTGCCGAGCCAGTAGTCGTGGGTAAAGGCGTAGAGGAAAGCGTCCTGGCGTAAGATTTCGGCGCGATATAGGGCGGTGCGGCCCGAGAGGACAAAGCAGCCACCGCCAAGAGCATTATTAGCGGCCTCGTTGATTCCGAACCTCCAGTTGCGCAATGCGGCGGCGGCCTCCCAGCAGTTCCACTTATGGCGCCCGGGCGGCGGCGCGGCCGCCCGGCCCCGGCCGCCGACGCCGCCCACCGAGGGGTCCTCGAAGGGAGCGAGCAGGTGTGCCAGCACCGAGGGTTTCCAGTACGTATCGTCGTCGGCGACGGCGATGATGGCGCCGGTGCTATGGCGGATGCCGCAGCTTAGCTGGCCGCGCTTGGTGGCGCGCGGGTGCGTGAGCACCGTCACCGGCACCCCGGCCGGCACCAGCGCCGCCGCCACCAGGGCTCTGACCCGGGCCGCGTCGTGCGGGACCGTCACGACAATGATCTCCTTGGGGCCGGCGCTGGCCCACGTGCGCAGCGACGCCGCAAATTCGTTGGGCGTGTCGACGGTGGGCACCACGAGGCTGACATGTCTCCCGGCCTCGTAGCTGGGCTTCCTCGGCACCGGCACTGGCTTATGCTGTGCGCTGAGATACCAGGTCGAGGCCGCCTCCAGGAGGCGCAGAAATCTAGAGCGTCCGTTCCATATTAGCGATAGGACATTGTCGGCTAGTATAGGCACCGCTGTTAGTAGGTCACCTGAAGGATCAAGGGAGGGCCACCTGAAGGATCATTATGAGGCCATGTATCGGGGACCCATAAAGACCTCACGTATGGGGCCAGTTTGGTGCCTATGTAAGTCACCTGAGGGTCCCTCTGACTACGGCATAAATAGGGCCCTGTGGCCGCTTCTTTCTAGCTAGATCATGCATCTTTATCCTTTCTTGTGCTGCCCCTACCTCATGAGTACCAGATTAACAGTCCATCGACAGACATGTATGTTCTGCTCAGCCTTGGCAGGAGCATCATGGGATGTTATGCTTACGTCGCTATAAAGGTTATAAGGCGGCACGGGTAGAATTGAATGACGAGGAACCACAATGCCTGTGGCAGTTGCAACCATTGAACGGCATAAAGGACATGGGGCAACATGATTGCAACAGCACTTTTGTCAGAAACTCGGGTTTCTTGCACCACCCGACGCAGCAGAGAGGCAGCTATACGAAGTAGGATTGCCCAAAAAAGCAATTGATAGACTCAATTGATTGATTGATGGTCAAAACGGATCATGAAGATGATGGAGGAGGATGATGTTAACCCGGGTCCGTAAGGCGGCGTCCGTAAGCAAAGTGGTTCGGCGCGCATAGTCATTGCCTAAATATATTCACGGCGTGTGTCACACGCTTAGAGACCCGAAGTGGGGATCACGAGGCGCGGCAGGACCTATATAAAGACAAGGGGGTAACCACAGCTCACTGGGGGAGCTCTTTAGAGATCAACAACTGCATCTTTTTTTTTATATCATTACTCGCATGCAGCCTCTAGGGCCATGGCGAGGCTAGTAGGGGCCTAGGCCCCTATTAGCAGTCCTAGCTAGCTATAGAGCCCGGGGGCTTACAACCAATTAGGGAAAGGGTAGCTATAAAGGCAATAATAAAGGAAAGGTCAGTCTGGTTCCTCCCGCGCGGTGATTTTCCCCCCTAAGGGCCCTAGGGCCCCTAGGTTACTCCTTTTCGAGCCACTTAGCTGTCCCTATCTCTGTTTTAGCTAAGAAGGTTAGAAGGGCTTCCCTTCCTTCCTTAGAGCTATAGAGAATAGGTAGGCTAAGGGCCCCCTTCCGTCTCTTAGAGGTCCGGTAAAGGACCTCTCTTTCCCTCCTATAGTTCAGGCACCTTAGGATAAGGTGCCTAGCCGTATGCCTTCCTTAGCCGTAGCGGCAGTCGTCTCGGTCTACCTTATTAGTCCTTTTTAGGAAGGAAAATAAGAAGCCGGCCCTAAAGAGGAGCTAGTAGAAGGCCGAGAGGGTCGGCCTAGGCCTCCCTATAAGGTCCTTTTTTAGGCTAAGGGCTAGGCGGGGGGTCTTTTAAATAGACGTATAGTGCTTACCTAGGCCCTTAGCCCTAGGGCCTTTAGCCGCCTCGGTAGCTTAGAGTCCCTTTTAATAGTCCTTAGTAGCTTGCCGGACCTTTCTTTATAAGTAGCTAATAGAGACTAAGGGGGTCCCTCGGGTAGGGGCCCCTAAGCCTCTTTTAGCTAGCTGGTCGGCTAGCTAGTTACTAAAGATCCCTAGGTAGCTAAGGCACTAGTATAGCTATACGTTATAAAAGGCTTCTAAGCTAGATAGGACCCTTTTAATATATATAGCTAGGTCTAAGAAACCTATAACCTTCTTTATAGCGGCTTAGCTATCTATAAAGATATAGGTATCTATAAGGGGGTTAAGAGGGCTAAGCTTTAAGGGCCGAGGCCTCTTAGCTAGGTCCTCTAGGACACTTAGTATCGCGAATAGCTCTATATTAGCTACTTCGATCGAGGGCCCTAGGTTCTCGTAGTACGTCTTAATAGGCCTATTTTCTAGGCCTATTTCGTAGAAGGAGTAAGCGTTAGTCTCTATAGGGGACCCCTTAGGGCACCCCTTAGAGCCGTCGGTATAAAAGGCTAGGGGCCGTAACCCGAAGTCTTTTAGGCTAGCTAGGCTAGCTAAGAGGCGTTAGTATTACTTCTTAGCTAAGAGCTTAAGGGCCTTTATTATTATAATAAAGGCCTTAGGCTCTAGGGCCTATAGGGGCTCCTAGCTAGCTTTCCTTCTTTCTAAGTTATAATTAGGTCCTATAAGGGCTACTAAGCCTTTAAGGAGGCGGAATAGCTACGTATATAGCCTAATATAGCTTAAGGCCCCTAGGTCGGAGCCCGAGTCGGCGAGGTTATCCCGTATAGCTAGGTCGTAAGCCTGCCTTATAGGGTGACTAGGTAAGAAGTATAGGGTCCGGAGGGCATAGGAGAGGCATGCCCTTTTAAATCGTACCTTAAGTAGCGGTAGGGCCGCTTTAGCTTCTAAAGCCCTAATAAGGGATCCTTTAAAGGCCCCTAAGACCTTTAAAAGAGCCTAGTTTTATAGCCTTTAGAAAGGCTTTATAAGGCTCTTAAGGGTCTTAGGCCCCTTATACTAAAGTTAGGCCCCGTAGTCTACTATAGAGGTTACGTAGGCCTAGTAGAGCTATCTAGAGGCTCTAAACAATAGGCCTTTTTGCGTAGAGGTTAGGCGGGATAGTCCTTCGAAGGCAGCTTATACGGATGCTACCTTCTTCTCGATATATTATTTAAATAGGAGCCTAGAATTAAAGAAGACCCCTAGCTACTATACTAAGGGCTTTGCCTCAAAAAATAAGCCTCCTACTATTATACCCTCTAAAATAGGCTGCCGTTGCCTACTAAAGTAAATAAGTTCTATCTTTAAGGGGTCGAAGTAGACCCCTTAGTCTTTAGCTTATTCGAATAGGTTAGCAGCTATTACTTCTAGCTGCCGAACGTTCTTCTTAGCCGAGGTTAACGTTATAGAGATACTAAAGTTATCTATATAAGATAGCTAGTATCCCTTAGCCGCTAGTATCCCCCTTACGTATAAGAGGAATAAAATAGGGCTAATAGGGGACCCTTAGGGCACCCCTATTACTAGGTCTATAAGGGGCTAGACTTACCCCTCGAAGGCTAGCTAGATCTTCCTTTCGGTAAGGAAGTAGTCTACCTAGCTTATAAGGGCCTTAGGGAGGTTTAATTCCCTTAGGACCCTTATAAGCTGTTCCTTCGATACGAAATCGAAGGCGCCCTTTATATTTAATAGGAGGGTACTAGTAATAGCCTTCTTATTAGACTCCCGCTTCTTTTAGATATAGTATAGAAGGAGGAAGGCCGTGTCTATAGCTAACCGCTATTTTCGTCCCCCTAGCTACGTAGGGTTTAAAAGCCCGGCCGTATTAGCTAAATAGCTTAGCCGGGTAGCGTATAGCTTTTCGAGGACCTTTCCTAAGTAGTTAAGTAGACTTATAACCTTATAGGCCTTAAGGATAGTATAGTCTAGCTTATTTTACTTAGGAAGTATAATTCTTATAGCTTCCTTTTATGCCTTAAGGTAGTATCCTTAGTTAAATAAAGCTTTATAGGCCCTATTAAAGACTATAGGGATAGCCTTATACGCGTATTAGATAGGGAGGAAGCTAAGGGAGTCTAGGCTAAGGGCTTTCTTATTAAAAGAGCTAAAAATAGCCCTCCTAATCTTAGGGTCCTTTAGCTCTAGCTAGTCCTACTTAACCGTGCCCTTACTACCTATATAGCTTAGGGGCTCTTCTTTTTCTAGGCTCTAAGGGGGGCTAAAGGGAGGGCTAGGGCTAGGGTCCGGGGTCGGAAAAAGGGTTATTAAGAAGGCCTCGTATTTTTCCGTAAAGGTATTAGCTTTTACCTCTATCCCTTCTTTTATATATAAGATACTAGGAAGGGTAGGGTTAGCTCTAGCCTTAGTATAAGAAAAGGCCGTAAAGACGTCCTTTCCTACTACTTTTATTAAGAAGCTCTCTTAGTATTACTTTTTAGTAGCCTTAATAATATACTTAAAGCTATTTCGGGCCTCTATAAAGCTCTTCTAGCTCTCCTTATCTTAGGCTAGCCTATAAGCCCGTTAGGCTAGGCTTAGGGCTTTCTAAAGGCAGGTTAGCTCGTCGGTCTACTAGGGCTTAGATCCCTTATAAGGCCTCTTTTTCGGTATCGCTACGTTCGAGGCCTTTATAAGGGTTCTTATTAAAAGGGAAGCTATCCCTTCTAAGTTATCTCTTTTTATAGCCCTCTCTATAGCTATAAGGAGGTCTTATTCCTTCTTAGCTAGGTATTCTAAGAATACCTTTTAGTCTACTTTCCTATAATTATAGGTAGTAGGCCTAGCTAGTAGTAGCCTATTAGGGCCCCTTAAGCTAGCTTTAAAGGCTATAGGCTTATAATCTAAGCCTATAGCCTCTAGGAAGCGGAAGTTAGCCTAGGTTAGCTATTTAAAGGGGCTATAGAAAGTAAGGTCTATAACCGAGGCCCCTTTTAAGCCTTTCCTTTAATAGGTGCCTTTTATAGCTACCTTAAGGTCCGTTAGTAAGGAAGCTTTATAGCGGTCGAGCTAGCTAATAAGGGCTTCTACCTTACGGGCCTTAGAGGGTTCTATAAAAGGGTTCTAATAAGGGTAGTATAGGTTAAAGTCCCTTACTAGTAGGAAGGGCTACTATAGGAGCTAGGCTATTAGTAGTAGCCTTTCTATCGTAAGGGGCCCTTACCGGCCTTAGCTAGCTAGGGCCCCTTTAACCTCTTTTTCGTTATATAGGTTAATAAGGGTAAACGGCTCGGCGCCTTTTACCCTTATAGCATATATATTAAGATCGTAAAAGAGGTCGAAGCTAGGGCTAGCTTTTATTTAAGCTTCCTTCCTCTTATAAGCTATAACCCTAGGCCTCTTAGCGAGCTTAAGAAAGTTAGTAGAGGGGATAGGGGTTATAACGTTATAGGCCGGATACTATATAGGGATATAGCTATTATCGATCTTATAGAGGTAAGGCTTTTATAATAAGATAAGGTCCGCTCTTATTTCTAGGGCCTACTCTAAGATCGATAGGTTAGCTATTTCCTACCTATTAGTATTATACTATATAATACTAATAGGGTCGTAGTTAGGCCTAGGGGCCTAGGGGCCTATAAGCGTAAAGGGGCTAAGGCTATTAAGTATTAGTTATTCCCTTATAGACTCCGTATTATACTTTATTAGTTATAAGGTGCTCTCCCTTATAGTTATAGTATTAGACCTTAAAGTAAGGGAAGCCTTAGCTAGCCTTATAGTAAAGGCAGTTATAGTCCTTAGTTAAGTACTTTTCCGGGTAAAAGGTATACCTAATAGGCTGCCGGTAGGTCTAAGGGTTATAGCCGAAGGAAAGGTACCTATAGCACTACGTATATATAGTATATTCCTTATAGGCCTTAACTTAAATCTATAGACCTAC